CGAAAAAGGGAATTTACCTCCCACGGCAGATCACGTGACTGACAGCCCATTAATCAAACCGAACTTTACCGTCCTGCTCGAGTCCAAGGCGCTAGCGGACGAACCATGAACTGAGATTGGTCAGTGGCCCACATGCCACCACACGTGTAGACTAAGCATGTAAATCTATATATTCCTATTTATTTTTAAAGTTACTCGCATCATGTTACATGTAAATTAAGCCTTATGTGTAATTTTTTTTAAAGTAAAAATGAGATGATGAAAAAGCAAATTGCTTGGCTACCTTAATTTAATATTAAAAGCTTAAAAAGCTCGAGCTTCAATTTTAAAATTGAAAGATTTGAATTTAAATTTTAAATAACATAAATGAGATTTATGAAAAAAGAAAAAAATATTTTTTAATATAAATCGACAAATCTCCGTATATTTGTACTTCAAAAAAGAAAAAGTGATTCTCTGCCCAGCATTAACTAAGGTTGCCTTTTGTTTTTGGATCACTTAAAAATAAAAGCATGTCAACTTAGATTCATGTTTAATTTGACCTAAAATAAAAGGTGTATATTCATGTACAACTAGAAAAGGAAAAAACAAAGGTCTGAATTCAATTGGATGAGGTTGTCCACTAAATTGGCATAAAAAAAAAATGGGATTAGTCAAATACTCAAATTTAGTTTTCTTCTAGTTCATAATTATGTTAATGGTTTTGTGTAATGATGTTAAGTTTTACCCTGTTTTATTTTATTGTAGCATCATTAAGGATAATATAATATTTATGCTTATATTACAAGTTTGTTAAATATATATTCTAGAAAAAATTAAAAAAAGCCAATGTATAACATGTCAATAGCCTTTTTCGAGTCTCTATTGACTAAGATATATAGGGAGGAATGATTAACATACATTATATAACTTTTACATTTTTTTGAATCCTTATATCAAAATAAAATTTATGATTTATTTTAATCAAAAGAATATTTTTAAATTTTATAATTTTAATTCAATAATAATAATAATAAGAGCTACATTGGATTTTTACTATATATATATATATATATGTACGTGTGTGTGCAAAATTATTGTAACCACATCACCAATCTATTAAAAAAAAGAAAAACAATAAAGATTTTTACTAGTATTATTTTAGTAATGATAATGAGGAAGTATACTTCACAATTCCAAAATATAAGGTAGATTATTAATAATGAGCAGTTTGGGTGTTAATTTTTTTAAAATAAGGTCATAATTCGAAAATAAAAGAAAAAATTATAAATATTAAAATTTAAATCATATATATTAAATATTATAGTTTAAAAATAATTGTATAAATAAATAAAAAAAGAAGATTAAATCTCAAATCTGTATGTTGATTTATTTGAAATTGAGAAGAAATTGGTTAAAGAGAATTTAATTTAGTCTTGTTTGCCAAATTGATGGTTTGTTGGTGAAGATTTAAAATAATACAACTAAAGTAATCAAATGAAAGTTGACATCTTGGGGGTACTTGGAAAAACTCAATAATCCAAGCTTAGGACTTAGAGTCAACTTGTTAGGTCAATTCATTCGTATAAATCAAGTTTGTGAAATTAGATTTATGCAAGTCTTTAGACTTTTATAATCAAGCCAAGCGAAAATATAGGAGTCGACATTCTAATGTCGATTGATATTAGCTAGCCTGTCAATTAATTTATTTTTATGCACATTTTTATCCTAATTTTTATATCCATCCATTGAATTATTATATAACAAGAATAATTTTTTTCAATTTATCCTCTCTCATAAATTTACTCAGTATCTAACATTAGATGAAACTTAATTATAGAGTTTATCTAATTGATAGGCATAACTGGAATATTTTTACGGTGGAACGGGTATTTTTTATATCGCAAAATTAGAATGGATTTGGATTAGACTGTTGGACCCCTTTAAAATATATGCAAATTATTATGGTTAATTATGCAAAAAAAATAATTGAGAGGGATAGAAATTTAAAGATTGACCTTTGGTTTTTTAATTTTAAAGAAGTCAGAGAGAGGCGGTTTGTGGGCCCAAAGTTAGGGGTCTGCGAGTAGGATAATACAAATAGAACTCTTTCTTTTTGTTTGGACTTTACTTGTTTGAAAGGGACTTAAAGTTTTTGGAGTGTACTGCCTGGCCATTGAGGTGGGCCCCTTCTTAGGCCCACTTCGGCCCGCCTTTGCCTCCCTTCTCTCAGATATAAAAGGAGAAATCTATCCCTGGACGCCGACCTATGACAGATTCTGGCTCTTCGTTTCCTCCTTTTTTTTTTTTTAATGTTGTTCTTGTATTATCGCCAAAATCAAAAGCTGGGCCCACCTGTAATAATTTCACTTTCTCTTTTCGTTTTAATTGTTTTTATTTGGATTTGTTTAGTTTTTAATTTTTGTCTACATGCTGACGTCGCCCTGACATCAACAATGACATGTCGAACCCATGTCAATTTGTGGCCCGAACCTTGAGTCCCACCCATTGAATTGGGTTTGGTTTGGTTGGCTTTTTTTCATTGACAACCCTGGAGCCTCACCTATAGGCTATGGCTAGGGACATTCTTTATAAAATGGGCCCGATTCACCTTTGTTACGAGCTTCATCGGCCTCAAGGAAATTTATTTTTACAAAAAACCAAAATTTAAAAATTCATTATTCACCTGTACAAATTAAAGAATCAAAATTTTAAAGAAGGGAAGGTTTATCTTGATGGAGGTTTGCTTCTGGCTTAGATCAACCGAAGTTCAATGGAGTCTCGATACGCCTCATGAGATCGAACAAGCCATAAGTTTAATCAGTCTGATCGATCTGATCATTAACCGTTGGTAACTATGCCTTTATTATCATTACAAACATGCTTGACTTGAAAGACTACTCAAATTTAAAATCCGTAAGTTGGATGCATGGGAAGAGGTGAAAAGTTTGTTGGAGAAAGAAAAATTACAAATAAAGATAATGAACCTAAAATAATGAGATTTTGTTGTTAAATAAAAATATATTTGTTACAAAAAATAATAGATATTGTAAAAATTATTAAATAGAATAGAAAATGCTAGAAAATTTTTGAACTTTGAGTCCTTAATTGGTAAAAATGAAGGCTGAGGCTTTAAAATTTAGTTTTGTGTAAAAATTGAGTCCCAAAAGTTGGTTTTAGATCTATACTAATACTTTCAAGTGACTCATTGAGTTAGTATTACGGAGTTAAAAGACTCGAAGTTAAAACTTCCTGACGCCAAATACAACATTTGGAGATGAAATCTTACCTTTCACTAACGTATTTTTAAAGATTGATTTGCTACTACATTTGAGTTTATAAAAGTTGGCTTTAGATTCAAAGAATTGTCTTTTTTGTAAATTTTTAAATTAATTTAAAATATATATATAATAAGATTGTTGAAATAAGATTAAGATTTTGTTGGAAATAAAAAAAAAGAAGTAGTACTACTATATATTTCTATTTTTTAATCTCTAAAGATAGATTATTAGATTACAGCCATGATTATTCCTTTTTGGGATCTGACACCCGTTTTTACAATTTTGTCCTTTGATCCTTGCATCAATTATTTCCTCTACTCATAGGTTATTTATGGATAAAATATGTACTTATATTAGTATAATTTTTATATAATTTTTTATATTTTTGAATAAAAATTAAATTTATGATTTATTTGAATTAAAATAATATTTTTAATTTAATAATTTTAATCTAATGATTTAAAAAAATTAAAATTATATTAATGTAAGTTGATTTCTATTTTTTTAATATATATAAAAATTTGTAACAAATGAAAAGAAAAAAAAATTATAAGTTTATTATAAAAGGTCTGATAAAAGGAAAAATGGGGGAAAGAAAATTGCATACACCACAGAGGTTCTCAATTATATTATATATTTCCTTTTTGTCAAAGTTTAATAATAATTTGGTCATGTAAGACCGACAAAGTTAATCCAAGTTAGATATAATTCTAAGCCACAATTATGATTCGATAACTTTATAAAGAGTTGAGACAGAGAAACATACCGACTCATTTCATTTGAGAGGGAAAAGCATTTAAAAAATATATATATATATATATATATGATGAATCATTTTTTAATTATAATAAAATATTTAATTTGATTTTAAATTTATAAAATTTTTAATATGATATTTGAATTATAAATTTATTAATTAATATAATATTTAAATAATTATTTAATTAACTAATATGATATTATTTGAAGTTAACTATGTTAGAAATAAATATTATTTTTTTAATAAATTTTTAGTTTATGTAATACATTAAAATTGTTTACAATCCAAATATTACATTAAAATTTTATTATAATTAAAAAGTTATTCATGATTTTAATATAAAAAAAAAGGATATACATTTTAATTAATTAATCTCTAACTATTCAAATAATGATGTTACTACTTCTTTTTTTTTTTTTTGTAAGACCATACAATATCTTAACATGTGAAAGTTTCTTGTATATTATTATATTCGTGACATAAATACGTATTATTAGTCCAATTTTATACAAGATGTCATTATTTACATTTGAAGCTATTTTGACTTTATATATTTAGAATTATATAATTAGAAGCTATTTTTCACCATAGGATGCATTTTCTTTTTCATTTTTTAAGAAAATATATATTAATTATGAATTCACATATATAATTTTATGCAAATTTAATTATAGTTTTGAAAGAAGTTGGAAGTGTTTTGTTAGATTATTATAAGACTAGTCAGTAGTTTTATTTATTTTAAATAATTGCAAAATATAAAAACTAAAGTTTCATAAATGGTAGTAGATTTTAATATTTGATTTGAATATTGTAAATAAAAATATTTATTATTATTTTTTGTAATTAAACCTTAAGCTTTTTCTGTAATAAATTCATTGTGCGGTTTCTTTTAGAAAAAAGAAAAACCTGGACCAATTTCAGTGGGCCATGAGAGGCTGGTCTAAAACCCATAGATCCATTCAAGTTGACCCAAAATCAAAAGAAAAACCCAATTCTAACATCGGACCATCAAACCCAGGTCGGAGCTCTTTCTTTCCCCGGTCCTGATCATGAAGTTTGAAAACCTAGAGCCGTACAGCTCTCTCTCAAAACCTCACTTAAAACCTCCATTTCCATTTTCAATTTCTACTCTTTTTTTTTTTTTTTTAAAGAAATAACAATAAAAAATGGCAATTTTTGGATCAAGAAGATTTCTGTCACGAAGCTTTTGGAGCCTTTCTCCTCATCCATTACGTGTTTGCATCGTTGGAAGCGGTCCCGCCGGCTTCTACACCGCCGAAAAGGTATTCAACTTGCTATCACTAAATTATACGCATTCTAAGTAAGCTTAATTGAATTTAATTTAGTTAATTTTTTCTGATTTGAGCTAAATCACCAGATGTTGAAGGCGCATCAAGGATCACAAGTTGACATCATCGACCGATTACCTACGCCCTATGGATTGGTACGCTCCGGCGTTGCACCTGATCATCCTGAAACTAAGGTTCGTTCTTTTTCTTTTTTCTCTAAGTGGCCCTTTTTTTTGGGGGGGGGGGGGGTAGAATAACTTTCTTATTTAAACTGAGTTTTGGTAGAATGGTTGCAACAGAATGTGATTAACCAAGTCTCTCGGGTCGCGCAAAATGGGGGGTGCTCGTTTTTAGGAAATATCGCTCTTGGATCTTCCGTTTCTCTCGCGGAGCTTCGGGAGCTTTACCACGTTGTAAGATTTTAGAGTACTGAATTTTTCTTTTAGGCTGCAGCAATTAATCTTTTTTTGTTCCTTAATTTAGTGAATATTGAATTTAATTGAGCAGGTGGTGCTGGCTTATGGCGCGGAAAGTGATAGAGTTCTAGGCATTCCAGGGGAAGTATGTTCAATGGAAATTTAGAGTTTTCTTGATACAGTTGAATGGTTAATTGTTTAATGATTTTGTGTCTCTGAGAAATTGTATTTTTTTTTTAAAATGAAGCCGTAATGGTTCTTGCTCATAAACTTTTTGATGTAAATTTTTTATATAGGATCTGAAAGGGGTACATTCAGCTAGAGAGTTTGTTTGGTGGTATAATGGGCACCCTGATGGAAGAAACCTGAACCCTGACTTGAAGAGCACTGATACGGCTGTTATACTTGGTCAGGTACTTCTTTTTTTTTATTTTTCTTTTATTAAAATTGCTATGAAGTTAGCTTGAAAGCGTTATGACAACACTTGGGCTGGTCATTTTAAGATTTTTATTCTCATTTAAGTAACAAAATTCGGGAGTAGTTATTCAAGTCCAGTTGGATAGAGTATAGTCTCAATTCACGGGGAATCAATGACACGCAAAAAGGATTTGTGAGGCATTAGTTAAGATTAAGGGCTATTGTTATAGAGGATTTGGCCAGTGGCAGATTGATTTCAAGTTTTCATCAAATGAGATTTCTGCAGTCATTCCATGTTCAGGTATGCCTTGAAGGCTTTCACTGGATATATTCAATGAAAATAATCCGAAGTTATGACTCCTATATATGCAATCATATTAATGATATGAACAAAGATCAAGATTTGGGTTAGGAAACAAATTAAATATTTTGGTAAGTTATATCCAAAACTCTCTAATAGTGACTGTTGTTCAAGGCTGCTCTAGATGTCTTATTATCTGCTGAGGATGAATTCTACGTGTAAGATTTATGCAACTTTCTAATTTTGGCTCCCTGGAAATGACTGGTTTGTCAATTTGTAAATTTTTTCTTCAACCATGAGTGAAATGAAGACTCTTTGTAGCTTCACATGTGGGCCTTCATGTCATATTTGGCAGTATTAGCATAGTGCAGTTTGAATAGTTTCGTGCTTTGCAGGGATGCCAGCTAGGCTGGTGTCTGTTCACACAGCAATGCAAATCCATTATTTTCAATGCTTTTCCATTTTGCACTGTTGTGGATGGATGTGATCCCTGATATGTGTGATAGAGTATAGATAGCTGTAGGTATGATGTATTTATTTTTCAGGGAAATGTAGCTCTTGATGTCGCTCGTATCCTTCTACGACCAACATCTGAACTGGCAACCACAGATATTGCCAGCTATGCTTTGACTGCTTTGGAGCAAAGCTTTATAAGGTTTCTCATCATCTTCCTTTAAAGTAATTGCATAAATCTGTTAGCCATTTATCAGATCTTTAAACTGACTACTGTTACAGGAAAGTATATATGGTTGGAAGACGTGGACCAGTCCAAGCAGCTTGTACTGCAAAGGAGCTCCGGGAAGTTCTTGGTAATTCCTAAGAGTCTGGGGATGCTTTTTTATTCTTAATCACAGTATCTAGAATGTTTAAATAAGGATATGCTGTTTGGCATCCTCTTTGAATTGATGGTATTGGCACTTTTGCGTGGAGACTAAGGAATATTTGTCAATCTGAAGTTTGTTTGGGACGTGGAGTTCTTAAAGTTGTAGTTATTATTATTTTTTTTTAGCCAATAAGTTGTAGCTTAGTATGACCGTTGCAGTTTTGCTGTTACCACAATGCTCCATTAACATTATTGACAGTCCATGCTGAGTAGTTTGTAATCGATCATATCATACTTATGATCATTTGCAATATGACTAATTACTGCATTCCATCTTAGGTCTAGGGATTATTAATACTTTCAGAAAATGCTGTTAGCGGAGTACAATATTGTCCTAAATCTCCAGAATTTAGAGAAGTTTTAACCCTTTTTTTGGCAGGTATTAAAGATTTATGCATTCACATAAAGGAAGCAGATTTGAAGATAACCCCAACAGATGTGGTACATCTTACCTTCTAATGCTTGCCAGTTTTTGAAACTAATGTACATCATGTTCTTTCTAACGCAAAGAATGATAATGATTGTTGGTATTTGCCATTTTTAGTTTTTTTTTTTTTTTGGGGGGGGGGGGTCTTGGGCTATGCAATGAGAGGTATCCTTTTCATCCCAGAGCCCTTCCTTCTTTCCAATGTTTGAACTTGAGGCCTCCAAGTTGAAAGTTCCTTGTTCTAAAATTTGGGTGTTCACAAGGGGACATTATTAGGTCATTTTTTTGCCACTTCTTGCATAATTATTGTAAAAAGAATATCTCCTATCCTTTTCCTTTACTTCATCATTTTTAGTTCTTTCTATTTATGTTTTCTCCATCTACGTGTTGTCCTTTTATAAAGGAAGAAATGAAAAACAGTCGTATTCACCGGAGGATTTATGATTTACTCTCTAAGGCAGCCGTTGCTGGACCTTCCGAACCTAGTTCAGGTCGACGTGAACTTCATTTTGTTTTCTACCGTCAGCCTGCTAGATTTCTAGAATCATTTGACAAAATGGGATATGTTTCTGGGGTACACCTTGAGAAGACAGCTCTAAAAGGTATCTCACTCTCTTTGGCTCTCTGTCATAATTTTTGCAGTATATATGCTTTCTAGCTCTCTCATATACAAATTTATTAACCACTCAGTATTGAGAGATCATCTTCATGGGTCTTTTCAAGGCTGTGAAAACACAACTGAAATGATTCCATTAAATAGTTTGGTAACTTGGTCCTTTGTAACTTCATTTTGTAGGTACTGGCCCTGGAAAACAGATTGCCGTGGGTACCGGACAATCTGAAGATCTTTCTTGTGGGTAATTTCTTTCTTTTTCAGTTTTTTCTCGTCCCTGGATATTTGGCTTTATCTTTTAATATACATTTCCATCTACAATGTTGATGTTTTGCTCAACTCTTTTGAGGAACTTGCTTGCGGAGATGTTTTTAGTATCTTTTATTCCACTTCCTGTTGTTCAATATTATGTGACATGTGGCTTGCTGATTGCTTGTTCAAAGGGCTAATGGTTTGGGTTAGAATGAGTAAAAGACCCTTGTTTATAGTGATATGACCTGCTTTCTCACTTAGTTAAACAACGAGTTGTGACATATTGAAGAATTTCTTCTTCCCTCTTTCGGGAACCTCAAGTTTGAATTCAAGTAAACTGGGTTATGGTACTGTGTAATAACATGTTCTTCTTGCAGGATTGTTTTAAAGAGTATTGGCTATAAATCAGTGCCGGTAGATGGTTTGCCATTTGATAATCCAAAAGGTAAAGCAAAAGAATAGCTTAAGTAGTATTATTTCCAACTTCTTTGTGCGATCAGCTATATACCTTATACAAAATTTCTGTGGCCAGCTCAAGTCTTTCTTAACAAATGTGAAGAGAAAAGAAAAAAAAGCTTGCTTACTTCTAATCTCATGCTATATTTCTCCAGGTGTGGTTCCTAATATTAAAGGTCGAGTTCTAAGTGATAATTCAGGAGATCCTACATTACTTGAGAATGGCTTGTATGTCTGTGGATGGTTGAAAAGAGGACCAACAGGCATTATTGGTACGAACCTTTACTGTGCCGAGGAAACTGTAAGTTCTCTCATGTTGCCCAAACAGATACTTTGAAGTTTGTTTTAAGGACCAGGAACAGCTTTGTTGGTTGTAATGTTTGAGCATCTTACCAAGAGGTACATGTGGTTGCTAAACGCACCATTGTAATGGTAGGTTGCAAGCGTTTCAGAAGATCTTGAACATGGAGTCTTAGCATCAACAGCCAGCTTGCCGAAACCTGGAAGAGATGGACTCCTCCAGATTCTGGACAACAGAAATGTCAGAGTTGTACAATTCAGTGCTTGGGAAAGGATTGACGAGGAAGAGAAGAGACTAGGGAGTTTGAGAAATAAACCCAGAGAAAAATTGACCACATGGGAAGAGCTACTGAAGGCTGCCTCTGAATGAATTAGCACTTTCTCTAGAAAAGCACGCATCCTTTCACGTAAACTTTTATGCCATAAGATTCATTTTGGTGAAAAGGTAAACGGAGAAATCTGTTGTGCCTTATTTAAGAAAGGAAAATAAATTCTATTGTAATTGCCCCTTGGAATTTGTTGGGCTTAAAGGGAAACCGGTTTTTCATTTTTACGTAGCCTTTTTGAAACAAAACAAAAAATGATGTGAGAGGGCAGAAAATGAAATCCCTCAACCTACAGCCATTACATTGAATTGTTAAATGAAATTTGAACTTTGAAGTTTATTCCGAATTATATATGGATTTTTCGTGTACAAAATTGTCGACTGGTCTCTTGCTTGCTGAAGGTAAGAACTTGCCATCCAGGTTAACGAGGGGTTGTTCCATGGCCAATTTGAGATGGTCCTTTATTGGACCATGTACCCAGCCACCTCTTTTCTCAAATCTAGCCCAAATTATTGGGCTATGCACTGGGTAATGTTTTCCGATATTTTTTTAAACAAAATTTTGCGCCTTCACCGATTGAAGTAATTTACAAGTTTTTTCATGGAATGGTTAAGATTTCCTTAACGTGATAAGGCCGTAAAGAAGCACGAGTCACCAGCTTCCAGTTTAATTAAATTCATTAAGTTGTTTGTTCCAATTATGCCATTTCTACTCCAAATAAGGTCATCCCGGCTCAGGCCGATGGTTCGTTATTCAGGTTGGGATGAGAGTGGTTGCCAAGGCTAAAGATGGAATATCAGTGTTAAAAGTATTGCCCGGATGGCTGTACATTTTATCAGTGGTTAAAAAAAAAAAAAAAAAATCAGGGTGGGACATCCATAATCCATATCTAACAACCAAAACGTCCGGAACAATTTTAAAAATCTGCATTGCTTCTGCCAATATGGCAGCTGATTGAGATAGAGCAATTAAGGCCATCTTTGATCATTGTTTAGCGATTGAGAGAGGGGTTGAAGCCTAGATCTATTGAGAGTTTGCATTGAATTGCAGATAGAGCATGCTTTTTGTTCTTTTGATACTCTCTTGGATTATTTGAAGACACTTTTTATCTCTGCTTTTCTACTGAAATTTGCCTTTTTTCTTTTTAATCTTTTTTGGAAGAATCAATTATCTTCCAATTCATATTATCGAACCACATAACAAAGAGTAATCTTTCTTTAAGCTTCAAATGGAGGAATGATATATGGCCTCAACTCATAAGGTTGATTTTAAATGGGTTGACTTTTCTATAATATGATTAATTGGAAGTGAAAGCAGAAACGACCCTTTTTTTTTTTTTTAGCTTTTAGTCAGATACATCTCTCCTTCCTTCCTGACTCCTACGTGTAACTGTGACATTTGCTTCACCATTTTAACAGCCAGCTAGATCCCTTCCTAATTTGGTTTTACACTAATTGGTGCTAAGACTTCTTTATTTCAAATATATTTGTCTATCAATGAGCCAAAGTCCAACTGACAATTCCTTTTGGGCAAAATAGATTGTGAACAAAGTCAAATCCCACCCATGTTTTTCAATGCCAACCACTAGCCAAAAGCCACCATCTCCAGAGTGATTAGCTGCTCAAAGTCTTCCGATATATACTATGCAGAGTTGTACACTGTTATGGATCTTATCATGAGAATTGAGAATTTAGAAGATTGAAGATTGAATTTCCAGAAACCTAAGGGCTCCTGATGTCACATCACCCTGTCACTTATTGCACCAAAAAGGATTCCAACTATATCTTCCACTAAACAGATTATTACTAAAAGCCTTAGAACTGCAAATTGAAAGAGACTTCCCTTTTTGGGAAAACAACTATAGTTTTCCTCTTCCCTCTCAATTTACTCTACCACATGGTTTTAAATTATTAGTCGGCTAAAATGTGAAACGATACACCTCCCAATATCTCATTGATTCTTAATTTTGACATTATCGTATTGTTCGTGAGTCATTTCATATATTTTACAGTTCAAATGTCAACCCAATTTTGATCTTTCTAATTCTTTTATTTTAAATACGATCATTGCAGATTTTCCTGTCTGTACTATAATCTATTAAATGCAACAATCAAACAAACGTGATTCTCATATCCAATCTCAGACTCTCGATTATAGCTTCTAAATAGGCAAGTTGAATCCATTTTTCTTGTTTGTTGCTGTTGTTGGGCTCAGTGAGAAGGGGAGAAATGAGTTGACATTTTAAGCATCAGTTAACTTAAGACATTTGCATATCAAAGGAAAGGTCTCGTTTGATGTCAAACTCGGGTCATTTCTCAGCCAAGAGATTTTAGATTTCTTGATTGTGATCTGATTCTGTTGTCACAAAATGTAGCCACATATTATAAGGAAAATAGTACAGTATTTACAAGAAGCAAAACTTTTTTTCCCTTCTTTTTTTTTCCTAGTAATAATTTGATTGCCTATATATGAACAGGACCTGATAGGACATGTTTGCCTGCTTGAAATTAACTTTTTTCACGACAATGAATTACTTAACTAGAATGACTAGTAATTAAAATATTGCACTTATTAGACTGTTGGGTAATCCTCTTTTTTTTTAAAAAAAAAACTTTTTCTATATATTTACTTTACGATTGAACTTTTATGCTGAATTCTTACTGCCATTTTGTCATATAGCCAGTAGTAGCCAGTGTGATTCTACTGTCACCACCAATTATTATTTCATGATTTCTCCATGAAAGCGAGCACTGACATGTCTTTTGATCTATACTTCCGGCAACAGTATCTTAAAAAACCTTCTTTTCCTGCTTTTAAATTATAGGGTTTTGCTCTATTAATTTTTATCATAAAAGTAATAAAAGAAGCCATAAATCCATGAGATTCTTGTCCAAGACACATGCTAGCCATGGCTTGAATCTTCAATAAACCAATGCAGATGCTTACTATGTGGCCAAAATGGTTCAGAATCAGCTTGGATATTTGCAGTTATGGAGAACAGCTATCATAAGTTTTCAATCACAAAGAAAACCTTAATCAATATCTGTATCGATTGTTGTTACATGATGAGGATTCAAGCCTCCTCACTCTTAATAATTCAGATGATGCCTTTGGGGGCCCTTTGATAGAAAGCTAGTGGAAGTACGATAAAGAAACTGCAGGCTTTTGCCGTAGTCCCACTACCTAGTGGTTCTAGGATTGATGCCAAGCTCCAAGTACTCTTGTCTTCAAAAGACTCACTGTTTCAGTAAAGGGTATGAAGGGTCATTGAATGTCACAATTCTTGGATGAATTAAGGGGTACTTCTGCCTTATTTTAGTCCATGGAATTGGAACCAATTCCGAATCTTTTTCTGCATGCGACCTTTCAGGGCTGAATCTGATCTGCTTGAGAGAAACTGAAGATCAGTTCATTTCTTACTAGAATCACAGTTGCCAGCTAGAATATTAATAAAAATTGGCCTAACTATACCATAATTGGAATGGATTCTTGTGGTGATAAACTTGTTTACCCTGATAATTTTCAGCAGGGAGCATCTTGGAGGTGTAGTGATCGGTAACATATGGTGGTGGGGTTCCATGGTTCAATATATAAAAGATTTAGTGTCTGGTATGTGCAGCTGTTGTTATTATTCATAAAGGGTATGATGGTCTATTCGAGACTAAAAAAAGTTAGTGATTCCTCCCCATATATTTAATCAAATCCTGCATGGGGTCGAAGGGTCCTGTTTGAAGATTCATGTTGTCCCCTATCCCTTACCAGAAAAGTCTTTGGTCCGATTATGACAACCATTTTCACTTTCTGGAGTTGGACATTTTCTAAAGCTTCTGTTTGCTTCTTGTAGTTAGTTTTTAGGTGTTTGGACCATGATTCACTTGAAATTACGTTAAGTAACAAAGTTTCAGTAACGACTACTTTATCAGCTCTTCACAGGGTTTGTTAGTTTTTCTCAAACTTAGGTCAATTTGATCAGCTTGGTCATGAGGTATGGTTTCAGGCAATGAGACACTCGACCAGAAATAGACCACCTTAATGTTCTCTTTCTGTCAGAGAAAGAAAATGATTAAAGGGATAGTAATTGCTCATGTCAACGTTTCTAGAATCTGAATATGTATTTATGTCAACGTTTACAAATTAAAAAATTCACTGAGTACAAAATTTTAAGGAATAACTTTTGGAAAAACAAGTCAAATCTTCGAATCACGTACACATAAAAAATATCATTAAAATCCAAACTTAAATCACTTTTTAATAAAATTAAGTTACAACTTCAACTTCATTCACTGCAAAGCAATAAAGATAAAAAAAAAAGTTGTTGCGAGACTAACAGACATAGGAGTCTATAGGCTATATATAGCTTTTGGTGGGGTTCAGACTCAAAACTCTCAAAACCTTTCTCTCCTATTCATCAAACAATTTGGGATCAGTAGTTTAAACACTATGGCCATGATCTCCTTCGACTATGACTGCCATTACTGAATAATAATTGATTGAAGGGGGAAAAAATTTTATACCAGAACTAGAATCCTGGTGTGAGTGGAGGTTAAAAAGCTTTTTAGCTTATCGCATTATCCTGTTAACCACATGGTTTCCCTGTAAGAAAAAAAAAATCCATGCCAAAGGGACAGAGGACGCACAAAATGCCCACCACCAAAGGAAAAAAAACATTTGGTTAGGAGGGATATAGTTGAGCTTGGCCAAACACAAAAGAAAAGCATAGATGAAGGAGCCAGCCAATGGGCTCCTATTTGGTGGAAGTGGGCTGGTTCCACACCCACACTTAACACTGCTCCCTAACCCTAACACCGGCTTGATGTAGATGTGGTCTTTTCTTTTCTTTTATCTTTCTTTTATTATGCTGATAAGCATGGCTAATTATGGAAAGGTGGGCCCTTTGAAGGACACTTCCCAACAACGTAAAAAGTGTACGATGACAATTGGCAGTTGGCCATGGATAGGCTGGTTTTTTTTTTTTTTTTTAAGTTTTGGGCTTTTGCAGTTGAGTTGGGAAATTTTTGTGATTTCTGACGGCAAGCTTGAAGCGTTATCGGCTGGAGGGCTGCTCTAAGTCTAAAACCTATGAATTAAGACAAGTTTTTATTATATTATAAATTAGAATTGAATTTTATTAAATTTTGTTAGTATACTTTTTTATTTTTATAAAATTTAACAGGATTGATAGAACTTTATTATTTTCAATAAGGAAATATTTTAATTTTATTGTTTTATTAAAAATTAAAGATAAATAAAAATATAATAATATTAAATAAAATAAAAGCACAATGATAAAATTTAAATATTATACGTTAATGATGATATCGTAAGAATTTCTTCCATCAATAATTTAAATGATGCATTTAATTATCAAGAGTAGCTAAGTGTTGGACAGGGAAGTAACCATCTTCAATTTGTTGTTTGATATTGCTGAACAGCTCTAAAGTTTTCTTCTTTCTTGTCTGTCTACATTGCTTTGGGACATCTTCAGATTTGTAAAAAGTAGGTTAAATTGTTTGTTTTCGAATCTGTCAAACAAAAAAAAAAAAAATCAGACAGGTACCGCAGATTTGAAGACGGTGCCAACATGAAAAACAAATCTAGATGTGGAGCCAGGAATTTATTTATTTATTTATATATTTTTACTTTTGGAAGATCTTTCTCTACTGTCATAAAATCTTGGCTGTCTGATTAATATAAGTTCAAGATGTTGACAAATTCTGAGACACTGGGCGAAGTTCAAGAAAGTCCATTTACAAGCCAATAACCAAAAAAACTGCAGTAAGTGTAGTAGGCATCACAGAAAGAGAATTCACAAGTTGAAGTCCATCGATAGTCACCATTGTGCTCTCTGACCTACTCCCAACAGTTCATAAAACAATATATACAGTTCGTTTCGGTTTAATTTTGAATAAAATTTTTAATTAATGAACATTATTTTTGCTTTCTAAAATTCAAATCGAAACCAGTTAAGTAGATATAAAAATTGAATCGATTTCTAAATTTTGAGATTTTTATTTTTTAATAATATTATTTTTACTTTATTTAAGTAAATTTATAAATAAACATTATTCTCTAACAATAACAAAATACTATAAAATGCTAATAAAAACATAAAATTAAGTGTGGTTTGGATACTTTTCATTTATTTTTCATTAAAAAGCAAATATCAAACCCTTCAATTATGAACCACAAATCAAACCAAACAAGCCTTTTTATGATTCGAACCTAACACTATTATTTTTAGGTTTTTTGCTTAGTTGAAAGTGATTTCATGGTTATTTATATATATAAAAAAAAAAAAGTAATTTAATGGCTTTGCTCCATTAACTCCCGACACGATGATTAATCACATACATAACTATGTTTATAAATTTTCAATCCATGGTGGTTAGCACATGTAGTCATAGCAAAAACAATTTGCAGAGGGTAAATTACGAATCTGATTATGTTTGTGGGGACTGGCTAGGTTTTTTAAGTGAAGAATATCATAGGCTCATACAAAGAGCAGGCCAGGAATAATTTGCATTCCTGGAAATAATTTATACAAAATTCAACTATAAATGGTTTTTTTTTTTTTTTTGGCACCAAAAAGACTTTATATCCTTGGTAGGAGGGATCAAATTATAAGGATTTTAAAATTGAGTCCTATTATACGAGGATATAATTTAATTTTAGTTTTTTTGTTAAGTTATTTAATTTATTAATTGGTTTCTAATAACGAATGTAATAATATCATATTTGTTGAAAATTGTTCGATTACATTGTAATTTTCAACTTACAATATAATGCTCATAAGACAAAAAGATTTTTACTAAATTAAATTAAAATATTATATTTTGAAAGTAACAATTTAAATAAAAGTTCTTACAACAATAATTAAGAATATATATATATTTTTTAATTTTCTTAATTAAATATTACTTTTTAAATTTGCTTGAAATAAATAATTTATTTTATTCTAATTTTTAATAATGCAAAATAAATAAAGAATACTGGATAAATTTTGCAACACTAGTGTCAAATTCTCAATCCAATTTTCTTATTATATATTATTTATATGTTAATATAATTATTTTACTTTTTATAAAAATTACAATATATATTTGGTTAAGCAATGAAAATTTCGAATAAAACATTTTATTTATTTTATTTATTTTTGTTGAAGTGAAAAATCCAAAGATTTGCATGAGACCGACGACAACCAAAAAAAAAAAAAAGAGAACATAACAAATACAAAAACAAACACAAAATATTTTTGAACAGAGTCACTTCTCTTTCACTTCCTCACCACCAAAACCTTCAAACTGCCGTTTTACCCTTCCGTTTCAGCCTCTCTCTCTTACTTTGCCAGCTTTTTTTCTTTTTTCCTGCAATCCAAACACCAAATCAGCCAAAAAACCACCAAGGCCAATTTTTTTTATATTTATTACTATTATTTTTTCACTTAAAAATATGAGCAGTTTTGGCCGCTTAAAGAGTAACACTTCACAACAAAAGCAAACAGCCTCGTCCTTTCCTTTTCTTTGATTCCGTGCGGTTTTCCTCTTTCGATCCTCTCATCCAAACGCTGTCTGAAATAGGGGTGCACTTTAACTAAACCCTTGACACGTCAGATTAATGACGGTGCACGTTAGTACAGCCGGCGCATTTTCATTAGCTTATAATTTATTACAATTAATTTTTTTAAAATGGGTCATTATTGGAAAGTTTGCCGGAAGGAGACTTTCTGTGACGTTGTCGGAACTGGTTCCTCACATAAAAGCCGTTTTATATAAAATTTAAAAGTGCACAACTTAAACAAAGAAAGCCAGTCTTTTTCTTTTTTAAGGAAGTACAAATAAACAGTTCCAATTCAACTGGATTTTTACTTCACTTTATTACAGTGTAGAGACTAGAGAGCAAAGTAGATTTTTTTTTTTTGAGGAATATTTTTTGTGTTATTATAATTTATATAGAAACAAAAGAGAGTATATACTATATACCCGAAGGCCAAAAGCTTACAAGAAGCCCTTTTTTTTTCTTTGCTTCATGATCTAACCTCCAATCTTTCTCTCAGTTACTCTAAAGAAAACAAAAGTTTTTTTTCCCTTGTTTTTGTTTTGTAGTTGATCTCTTTCTTTTACTTCTTGATGTTCTCTTTTTGATGTCTAAGCCCATAGAGCATGATTACATAGGCTTGTCAGAGCCGCAGCTTCCTTCAATGGAGAAAAGCTCTGATACTAATAACAAAAAGAATGCTTTACACTTAAAAGCTACTGAGTTGAGACTTGGGTTACCCGGGTCCGAGTCACCAGAGTGGGATGATCATGACCATAACGTGCTTTCACTGAAGACTTTTGTTTCAGGGGCAAAAAGGGGTTTTTCTGATGCACTCGATGGTGGCGGCAAATGGGTTTTTTCTGGGGGGAGTGGAGGAGGATCTGAAGGTTTGTTTTCTCCTAGAAGTAGCGGTAACAATAATGGAGGAAAGGGTCTTTCCGGGTCGGATTCAGGTTTGGGTGGTCCGGTTTTGAAGGATGGAGCAACTCAGAAGCCAGTGGTGGTTCAGGAGAAGAAGCCTCAGGCTGCTAGTGGTGCGGGTCATGGGAATGGGAATATTGCCCCTGCGTCAAAGTAAACTTACTGCTTCTTTTTCTTTTATTTTTTGGAGGACAAAATCTACTCTTCTTTGGTAGAAGGAGAAAATAAATGCTGTTGGTAGAAAGTTTTTGACCTTTTTTCTTCCCTGGATTTAGTTCCTTTTATTATTATTTTTTTGGTTGCTGGATTGTTGAATTTGGTGGGCTTTCTTTGACCTCTTTTTTTTTGGGGTTGGTGGAGAAGATCTTAGGAAAAATGAAACTGTGATTATCGGTTTCTGTAAGGGAAAAATTAAAGAAAATTATCTTAAATCGGAAAAAAGTTGATAACAACATTTTCTGGGGTAAGCAGTGGAATAAGGCCAAAAAAAAAAAAAGTGAACTCTGAAGAATTAATTCTTTCATAATCTAGATACTTTAGCAATTTTGAAACTTTTGATTGGTAGTATAAATCAATGGTGTTGTAACTTGTAAATATTAAGAATCATTGTAAGGTTGATCTCAAACAATTGAGTTGCTTCATTTTCTCGTTCTTTCTCATTTGTTACTTATGATTTGCTTGCGAATTGAATTTCTTCATGTTGGTTTTTACCTGCTTCATATTTTTGTACTGTTTAAACTTGTCTCCTCTGTACTTCTAATGCAAGAATATATTTGTTAAGTACCTTGCTTTTCTGGTGTCATAATTTCAAGTCATGTACTCTTTTGGTCTTCAATAAGAAATTTAATCCCTTATCTTCCTATTCATATTTAGCAGGGCGCAAGTAGTTGGATGGCCACCAATTCGCTCTTTCAGGAAGAATACAATGGCTTCTCATCCTCCAAAGAAGGATGATGATGCCGAAGCGAAGTTGGGATCAGGATGTCTGTATGTCAAAGTTCGTATGGATGGTGCTCCATACCTGAGGAAAGTTGATCTCAAAATCTATGGCAGCTATAAAGAACTCTCCTCGGCACTTGAAAAGATGTTCAGCTGCTTCACGATTGGTAATTTTCCTTTCTAACCCATCCCGTATGTTTTTGTTCTTCAAATTGTTTTTAATAACCCTTTTGTCTTAGTTATGTGAAAATCTACATGCATGCTTGAAAGGATCTGAATGTGATTGTAACGATGCATTAAATTGAAATGGCATGTGCACACCTGCAGGAATGAGTCTAATTTGTGGTTTCTAATCGAGTGGTTCAGGTCAGTGTGGTTCTCATGGAGCTCCTAGCAGGGATGGGTTGAGTGAGAGTCGATTAATTGATCTCCTGCATGGCTCTGAATATGTACTCACGTATGAAGATAAAGATGGTGACTGGATGCTGGTCGGTGATGTTCCCTGGGAGTAAGATGACTTGCAACTCATGTTAAATAGCAAATGAAGGAAAATTGATTGGGTGAATTGAAAATCAGTCAAGCTATTTTGTATCAGATTTTTTCATGGAAAATTATTAATTGAAATTTGAAAGTAATTATAGAAATATCTTAAGTTAGTTTTAAATCTTTGATTCGCAGATTTTATCCAAGCACTGTCTTCTCAATCATATAGTGGTGTTTTAACTAAATGCTTCATATTTCAATATTGATAAATGTTTCCAGAATATAAGAGAAGCAAGAACATTCCACTAATATAAGTATCCCACTCTGTTGCAGGATGTTTACTGACTCTTGTAAGAGGTTGAGGATCATGAAGAGCTCAGAGGCTATCGGTCTAGGTACGCCATAATATGATTTACATTTCTGTGGGGTTATCAAAAGGTTTAACCAATAAATTCCACTATGTTCTTGTTGGTTTCGGTTGCCTAGTCATGGAAAGCAAAATGGCCACCATTTTTATATCCACGTATGGAACGTTTGTTGACAATGAGATGTCCTGAAAATTTTGTATTGATTGTCAGAAATCCTGTTCCTTTGGTTACATGATGGTGATTAATGCTGGAACAAGCAATCATTAAACACATGTTTTGCATTTTGCAGCCCCTAGGGCTATGGAGAAGTGCAAAAATTGTACCTAGACGATTTGATGTTGCTATAGGTACAGAGGAGAAGATGGAAGTTGCTACCATCTGAATGTTAAAAGCTTTTTACTGTTCCCAAAACTGCGTTTTCTGTTTCCTGCTAAATATGTTTCTAAGCATTGAAGACTTATGTACTTTATAAGAGCTTAGATAAAAAAAAAGACTCCTTGTAGGCAAGATTTACTATTTAAGACATTTCCAAGTCTATAGGTTTGTTTCCTCCCTCGCGTTTATGTCATGTATTTGATTGTTGTCTCTGCTGAAGGCTACTTTGTTTCATATGTAAATGGTTTGCTCTCTCTCTCTCTCTCTCTCTCTCTCTCTCTCTCTCTCTCACACACACACACACACACAACAAAAAGAGGGAAATTTTCTGATAATATTCATTTGATAAGTTGTCAATTGTAGAAGTTGACCAAGTTAAAAAGTTAAAAAGTTAATGTTAAAAGCTTGGTAGAAACATAGATTTAATGATAAAAAGTTAATAAAATTAGAAAAAGCATGTCGTCAAAAGAGGTCAGATGTAGTTTCTCTCTTTACTTACAATGTGTCTTGAGAAATTGCGGTTTGGTTTGGTTTTTTTTGGTTTGATTTCGTGTGTTTGGGATCTCTGACGTTCTTTAACAATTGATTGGAACGCTCTTCTTCTCCACCTCAACTATGCGTAAGAAAATGCAGAAAAATGGGGAAGCTCCACTTCCATTCCTTATCAACAATAACATCAATGAAGACGATCACTGCCGTTTGCATGAACTGAATCGTTTACCACGGTGGCTAATGCTACACTAAATCAATTGTTGTTCGTTTGTGACAGAAAAAAGACTCCATCCATGGCGATAGGCCAATTCAAGAACATAGCAGTGAACTGAGCACAAAAATCATCCATTCCTTCATCTTTCATTGACCTACAAGCTTGAAGAACCCGATTGGCAATTGTGCCAAGAGGTTCAAATTCATTCATGTTACCAAAAAAAATTTTTTTTTTTTGAGGAATTTCAATGAAAATTGACAATTCTAAAATGATAGTCATTTGGTTTTAACGGAAACAAGAATAGAATACACAGGAACTGGAACACAAAGAAACGGCTAAAAGAGATGAAACTAATATCACAAGTGAACAAAACCCAGAATTGCATTCAAACTAATTCACTCTAGCATCACAGTTGTCTTCATGCCCTAACTACAAAATCAATTGGGTTTTGAGACCACCGTCCAATTTCATAGGAGTAGTTGTGCCTTTGATTAAATGCTGCTATCCAGGTCTAAATAAAGTAGGGGAATGCTACAGGAAACATGTTCAAAGAACATATCTATAGGTGACATAACGACCAGCAGTCTCACTAGGCCGGATTATCTTCACCACTTGCCCACGCTTCAGCCCATAGTATCTTGCGATTGGATCACTCGCCTGGATACGAGGCAGCAATCAAACCATCCCAAAAACATAAATGATCAGAAACTGGTGGGATTAAGGAATGCGTGCGCAAAACTGACACCCCAAGCTTGCATAAGAACAATGGCTGTCTTTTTCAAATAGTGATGGATTTTCATTTCCCTTCAAATTAAGCAAAAAAAAAATAAAATGAAAACCACCACAACACATGTCCATCAAAAACACAAAAGCTAGCCTTAAAACAGCATCTTCTATGAACCGATATCTAAAGAATCGCATTGTCCTTGTACACACTTGTAGCTTGAAATTATCAGGACACTATTTTATAAACTAGCCTAATAGTCATTAAAAAATTTTAGTCCTAGAAATGTCTCTTTGCATCTAGGGAAACCATGGTAGAGAGCAAGTCAGCGATCTCAATTGACAAATATACACTGAACTTTAACAGGCACAGGTTTGCTCAAAGCTCTTTAGAATTTGTCTAAGTCACTGGTTTAGTTTTACTATGCTCCAGTCATTTATCATGGAAAGTTTCTACGGTAACCCAGTCCTACATCAGTTCACTTTTGGCACTTGGCCACCCAACTCATACACATGTAAACAAATCGTGCTCCTATTAGGCAGCTCATGTTCCAAGTTGAGTTGCAATGATTCTACAAAGCAAGATTTTTGTAGCTGGTGGTTCTATACTTAATTAACGTTCACAGAACATATTATATGAAGTAACCTTGTAAAAGAACAAATATCATACAGGCAAACAAAGACTTGTGCAAACACCTTACAATACTTGAATCTATCAATATATAGTTATTAAAGTTACTGAATACTGACCTGCGTTTCCTTTACAGCATATCTTTGCAGCAAAGTCTTTTTCTCCTCATTAGCAAGCACCTGATGCTCAGGAACAAGAGAACGATCTTTTACATTGACCAGGAGCTCTGATTCCTACACTAACGAAGATCAAAATAAGAATCACAAGAAGATTAAAAAAAAATGCACGTGTGATATTTGGAGAAAAAGATTTCAAGAATAGGAACGTCCGAATCCCCACTTGCATTCGAATTGATTTTGTACCAAAAACATGACTTACATCAACTGCTGTCTTTATGATACCGAAAAAAGATTTTATAAAAGCAACATCTTAGAGGCTAAGCAAGGCCTAATTGTTAATTTGTTTGACCACCATTCAATCATCCTGTACACAAATCCATACAGTTCAACAAACTACATAGAAAATTGGATATCAGGAATTCCAAAAAAAAAGGCCCTACGACATTTAATTACATGTCATTGGAAAAAAGTTGAATAAGTCAATAAAAAATAAGATAAAAAAACAACCTTAAAACATCAATGCTTCAGCATCACATTGCTATAATAGGACTGCACTTTTCTCTGATGTTTCATCTGGTGATCCTATCCGTTCAGTCTATCCGTTACACCAACCTTTATTATAGTTTTTGGCTATCATATTGCAAAGCTAAAGAAAGTATACTTAATTAGATAAATCGTTGGCCTCAAAGCTTTTCATAATAGAAGAATATACACCAAGAATCACATTGAGAGCAATTGGTTAGTGCAGGTCCTTGATTAAGAATACTATCAGTAAGCATGATGACAGCTTAAGTCGAATCCACATATCAATAAAAAGCAATAAATTTAACCTGGAAAACTTCCAAATGGAATTTTGAAGAAATTTCATTAATACAAGTCCGAGCAAAGGGAGTCAAATTCTGTTGCACAACCAATATAGCTCAGAACACATTCTCCGATTTCATGCAGTTGGTATACGTCTTCATTGTCTTGACACCGACCTTGGCTTCATCAGGAAAGAAAACATAGATCTAGCACACAAACATTTAAAAACCCGTAAATTAATAAACAAATGAAGACCAAACTACAAAAGCAACAACAAGTTTGCTATAAATTCAAAAGCAATTGAGAAGTATTTAGGAGAAACCTGATCAGAGTTGTCATTTCGCTTGGTTTTATTGATAACAAAGATCATCCCTTTTCATGTTTGCGCCGTATTTGGAAATGAATTGTTCTTTGGACATGTTAATCTCAAAGTCTCCGACAAAATAACCTCTGTCTTTCAACATCTGCAAAACAATCTTTCGGATTCGAAACAACCTCTTGATTTCATCATCAGATAGAGCTATTTTTCGCTCCCTACTAGTCCCAACATTGGATTAATTGAAGTTAACTGAGAACAAAAATGAAACTCTAATTCTTAAAAGGGCAAGTAAATATAAAAGCAAATTACCGGGGAAAGAGATCAGATACAGCAAGAGCAAGAAAAGCAGAATCCCTTCTGTTCCGTATCGAGTTATTTAACTCGGCTGTTATTTATTTGTCGACTCAGCGATTTTTTCCCCGAACTATGATTTTTATTTGATTTTATTTTTGATAAAAATGGTAGTATTTTTTAAAATTATTAATTTACCTTTGAACCTGACATTACCTTGTATTCATCTTAATTTGAGACAGTAAAATCTCTATAAATCAATATCTAAATTAGAGAAACTGAGCCCAAATCTGACTTGGGGTTGTTAATGATGTAACAATCATATGGATTCTCAAAGTCAAATCGTTGGACATAATCTCTGTGGATAGCTTTGGGGGCCATTTAAAGTGAAACTCGCTTAATCATATTAAAAAAAAAAAAGGATCAGGTTATCGTCTCGTCCAAAATTAGCTCCAAATGCTTCCCACTGATATCATGCTTCAGTTCCTGTTTTAGTGTCTTCAATTGTCTCTCTCTCCAAGCGTAAATCGAACAAACCTTCGGACTTTTATGTTCTCTCCAAGTGCTGCAACAGTTTGCTTTACCAAGTCTTTAACGAACACACTGCCATCCTTAATGAACGGCTGTTCCAAAAGGGCAAGCTCTCCAAGCCTTTTTGAGACCCTCCCTTGAACCATTTTCTCCCTAATGTTCTCTGGTTTTGATGCAACATCTTCCCTCTGCTTCCCAAGCTCTTTTTCTTTACTCACAATGCTTTCTGGAATGTCTTCAATGCATACAAACTGCACCTCTGGACAGGCCACAACTTGCATTGCTAGGTCATCCACCAACTCCTTGAATTTTTCGCTTCTACCAACAAAGTCGGTCTCACAGTTCACTTCAATTAGTACTCCAATCCGAGAGTCATGAATGTAAGAGCCGATTCTACCTTCAGCAGCAAGCCGGCTGGATTTCTTGTCAGCAGTTGAAGGGCCCTTCTTTCTATGGTATTCCTGAGCCTTCTCAAGATCACCTCCAGTTTCAGACAGAGCTTTCTTGCAGTCCATCATTCCAGCTCCTGTTTCTTCACGTAGCTGTTTAACAAGTGCAGCAGAGACTGCTACTGTCGGTCTGCAAAAGAGAAATGAGTGAATATAAACCATGAAAAATTATTGGAATAGAAAAAAGGGCTACATTTCTTTTCTGCAAGTATTTCTAGCACACGTGCAAAAGGCCATCCAAGTGAACAAACACAAACAAAAACGGATAATTTTGGCATTGTCCGATTAACAACTGATTTTCTTTCTCAAACCTACTGCCTAATCTACCAAACATATATACACACTCAAAAGAGCTGTGTTTACTCCATAAATACTTCAGAAATTTAAAAGTATACACAGTGTTGACCATAATGATGTTGTATTAGTAAAAAATGAGAGCCATGGAAAACAGCCACTTCTTATCAGTTTCCTTGGCTTCCGCTGAAGCCGATTGCTCTTTTCCATCAGTAGAAACAGGTTTTGCCGCAGTTTGGGCAGCCACTTCAGCAACAAAATCCTGGCTTTTCTTCTCCAGTCCCTCTCCAAGATTGAACCTCACAAATCTTTTCACTTTATATTTTCTCCAATGGTTGCAATAGTCTGCTTTACCCAATCTTTCACCACCACCTTATCATTCTTAATGTAGGGCTGCTCGAGTAAAGCCAACTCCTCAAGCCTCTTCCTTATCCATCCTTCAACAATCTTTGATCTAATCTGCTCTGGTTTGATAAGAGAGCTTCCTTTTGCATCTCTAATTCTCTTTCATTGTTTACAATCTCCTCAGGAATATCTTCTGGAACAAGATATTGTACTTGAGAGCAAGCGGCAATCTGCATGGCTAGATCGTCAACAAGCTCCTTAAAAATGTCGCCCCGGGAGACAAAATCTGTCTCACAGTTAACGTCTACTAGGACACCAATCCTGCTATCATGAATGTAAAAGCCTATTCTTCCTTCAGCTGTGACTCGACTGGCTTTTTTATCTGCACTTGCCAACCCTTTCTTGCGAAGAAACTCCTGAGCTTTAACAATGTACCCTCCAGTCTCTGAGAGCACTTTCTTGCAATCCATCATTCCTGCTCCTGTTTCTTCACGGAGCTGCTTTACAAGAGCTGGTGATATGGTTGCTGCTTTTCATGCATATGAATCAATAAATAGAGAAACAAAAAATAAATGTCTTAAAAATGTAAATATCTCATAAAAACACAATTAATATCATGAATGTTTCAATACACACACACATTATCCAAATTGAATGTCCACATTTGGCTCGGCATAATATTTTATTAAAATTGTTTGACTTTAAGGGTTTTATATTTAAATTTTTTGTGACATTGATGTTTAATAGTTTTTAATGTCAAAAGGTTATTAAAAAAAAAACACAAAAGGGGGAATGTAGAATAAGAGTTTTAGTGGTTCAAAGATAAAAAGAGGGCATAGTTTCGAAACAACTCAAGATGGAAGAGTGAACATTCAATTTGAGACGGAGGGAGTATATCCATATTGAAAAGCACAGACAAACAACAAATTTAGCAGCTTTAAAGTGTCCTTTCAGGATTAGAGCTCAATTCAAAAGTTTGTAAGATGCATTTAATGGGAAGAACTGCCAAAATAGATGAAGTATAAACCTTTAGTCACATTTTCCTTAGGGGTAGAGCCATTTGAATCAGTAACCTCATCATTCTTTTGAGGAGCAGGTTCTGCCTCTTCAACTTCTGAAACGGAAGGAATTTCACCCTTACAAGCTGGTGTCTCTATATGCACTTCATCCTTGGTATCCTCAACTTGATTCTCTGCTTCTTCAATTGCTTCACTTCCTGAAGACTTTATCTGATCATCAGCTGATTCTAGAGATGGATCAGAACTTACATTGTTTTCCACTGTATCTGCACAAAATCGGCAATAAGAAATACGTAGATCTGAAACAGAGTGAATAAAAATAACATATCCTCATTTTCTCTAATTCTTTTCACAAAAGAACTGTTGCTTAGTTAGGGATGACAACTTTTACAGCATAATGGAACTCCAAAAAAGAAAAACTAGTCATTCTATTAAATTTAAAAGTGTACTTCTCAAACATTGATAAAAGAAAGAAGGAAATGAACAAATGGAATTGAATATGCCTCAACTCTCGAGGGGTTCAAGAAAAAAAATGGTACATTATGAAAAAGGTTGTATTCATTCTATAACTACTCATTTAATAGAACCTCGAGCTGTATCCCTCTTATAAATTATCTCTTGCCAACAAACATAGGCTAACAGTCTGAAAATTAGATTTTTAGCCTTCATCAATATTGCACAAATCAGACAGCAATGCCTTGTACGTGTGTGTGTGTGTGTGTATTTATAAGTGTTTGGATAATTAGTAATGCCATGTATATTATATGCATATTATACACAGAATCACAGATATTCTGTTTCCAATCATAATTTTGGTGCAGACTTATGAACATATGGTATGAGTTTCTCACAAAATAGGTTTGCTAGCAGTGTCATGGATATTTACCTTCAGCAACTTTGGAATCAGGAATATCTGGTTGTACACCTGTGCTGGCAACACTGCTATTTTCATCAGGAATAGCTCCAAGCCTCCAACTTCATCTTGAACTGATGCAGGAGGAGTTATATCCTCAGCTAGGGGTGTTTCTACTTGTTCATTAGGAATAGCACCAATTTCTTCATCTTGAACTGATGCAGTAGAAGGAGTTTTATCCTCAGCTAGGGGTGTTTCTACTTGTTCATTAGGAATAGCGCCAGTTTCTTCATCTTGAACTGATGCAGTAGAAGAAGTTTTATCCTCAGCTAGGGTTGTTTCCACTTGTACTTCATCTTTTGCCGTGGAATCTTCACCAACTACTGAATTTTCTGAAGTCATAACTTGATCAAGTATCTCTCCAGATGATGCAGCTGTTTCATCACTTTCCACCACATCTACTAAAGGAACTTCTACACTACTTTCAGGAGACAAAACTTCAAAACTCTCCTCTGTTTCCTTGTCCTTATCAGCAATATCAGCTACTGTATCTATTTGCTTTTCAACCATTTCATCTAGAGCAGTAGAGACGGTGGTCGTCTCCTCATCAATACTTGTTGGTTAAACCTCTATTTTCTCTGACTTTTCTCTCTGATCCAAAAATGCAGCAGTCTCCTTGTTCTTATGGAAAGCCAGCACAAAGGGATTTGTTGCAGCATGCACCACACCTTGGCTGAGCTGTGAGTCCAACTTGTCATGAGCCCCATCTTTCTTCATCGTCAAGGTTACTTGTCTCCTTTTGATGTGCAACACACGGACTTTGACTTCTTGGCCAACCTGCAGTGATGAATCTCCCATCATACTCATAAGTCCATCATCAGATTCTTCTGATGTAGGCAAGAATCCTTCTTCCCCCTCAGGAAGAGAGATGAAAGCACCAGACCTAGTTAAATTCTTCACCGTCCCCTCTACGTCTTGTCCCTTGACAAATTTTGAGCTTTTCACCTCCTCCTTTCTCTGGCTGGACCTTGAAGAATTCTTCCTGGCAGGCCTTGCCCTATCAGAAGTGGCAGGACCATCTTTCCGTGGCTGGTGCTTACTAGCATCATCATTTTCACGAATGGAAAGAGATATCCTCCCACTCTCAGTGTTTACTTCAACCAACCGCACCTTCACCTCTTGCCCAACAGAAACAACACTTGCAACATCCTTAACAAAGCTATCACTCAACCAGGAAACATGCACCAGTCCATCTGTGAAAGCTCCCAAATCAACAAAAGCACCAAATGGTTGGATCGATCTTACTTTCCCAGTAAACATTGCACCAGGAATAAGCTCCTCATTCTTGACAGGTGGCATCTCACTTTTTCTAACAGGCCTTGTTTGTTTGGACTAAGTTGGAGCAGGAATGGAATCTTTGCTTGTAGAATTTTCGCTTGTTTCAGATTCCATTTGAATTTCTGAGCCTCCACTTGAAACTTCTACCACAGGTGAATCAGATTGCTCCACTGGTACATCAGTCCCTGTGGCTGATATATAGATTCCAGGTTTGCTATGTAAAGCACACCCTGTTCTGTATTGTGGAAATGATGTAACACAGGTTGACAGAGGTATGATAAATCTTTGTAAGGGTGAAGCATATCTTGTGTGTTTCCTTGATGAACTGCATCTTGTTAAACTAGTGTTCTTCCTTACTGAAAAGGCAGCTCTGGGAATGAGTGTAATGCTGCTAATAGAACATGGGATCACGGGAGTCATGTTGACTTGAGTGGCAAAAGTTAAAGTACAGTCTACAATAAAATAAGTGTTCCATCTGTATTTTCACCTGCAAGAACAAGAATGATGTGCTCAAACACAAAAATTTCCCCTCAGTTTTTTGTAAGGCATGAGATGTCCAAGCACCAATCTTGCTAAAACCAAATGGTTAATATCTTCTACAAATGTAGAAAGCATCAGTAATTTAATTCAGCAAACAGAAATTTCAATCACAGGCATTATTCTGGTGATTAAATTTGTTAAACAAATCAAATTTTCATGTTCAACTAAAGGCATGATATGCTGGGCATACAATGTTGCAAGTGTGTGTTAGCTGTTTTGCAGAAAATACATTAGTTCCTGAAAATTAAGAGAGGTAGAGTTGGCGGATAATTATGTTTTTTTTAGATATTTCACAAATCACTGAAAGTTCAAAATGCCAATTACCTTTGACAAACAGATTCTCAATTAGGCATCTTCTCTGTTTATTTGGCCAAAATCATAAATTTAAAACCACAACAGAAGCAACTTAGCATCTTTCATCTAAGCGTTCTGGCAGCTGGGAAAAATCTCTCTTTTCAACAACAAACTAGACTTATATCCCATAACTTTGGGGTCGGTTGTATAAAAGGCCAAAAAAGGAATCATGTCATAGTTTTGAATCTTCTTGCGCCACTCATTTCTATCAAAAACAGCATTTTCATCTACTTCCTTAACCCTCGTGTCATTTCATGTTACTTACATCTATGTCTTTCGAGGTCTACCTCTAGAAGTTTTGGTCTCTCCTAAATCTAGAAGCTCATTTCTTCTATTTGGTGCACTAATAGGCTTACATTTCACATGTTCAAACTAAGAAAATAACATCAACTACAAAGAGAGAGAAATTCGACAAATTTTCTTTTAAATGGGATCTCAAAGCAAGAAACAATAACCAAATTATAACATTTTGCAATTAAACAACATTTTATGAACTAGCAAACGCACTTACCCTATAGGAAAGCACTAATCAATGAGCAATTCTTATAAAGTGCATTATGAACCAAACAAACACTTATGATGAAAATAAACCAAATCCTGCTTAACAGAATGGAAGAGTTCCTCATCAGTATCCACTTCGTTCACTGTTTTTTCACTTTCTGGATAAATGGTTTTTTTTTTTAACTTTTTGTTGTCATGTCACTGTTACATTAATAGGATTTCACTCCAAAACTAAAACCCAACATTTCCCTTCCAATTCAACAAACAAGCAAAGCAAATTCATTACCAGAATACCACAAAAACTCAAACTTGCCACGACTCCTGCCACAGAGAACCAAAGCAGAGGAAAAAAAAAAACCAACAACAACCCACCATTAGAAAGTCGCAGAAAAACAAAAAGCAACTTCAAAACCAATGACACATTGGCTTATAATCAAGCAAAAATTCTACATTTCTGAGAGCTAAAGCTTTCTGGGAATAAGTTTCAGAATGAACTAAACAGTTAAGTATCAGAAAAACCCAAGGTACTGTTTGGTGATAGAACTTATTCATCATCAAAAGAAGAAGATAGGGAAACGAAAGGTGGGGCTTTAAATCCTTTATCTTTGGTTTCAGTCATGGATAGAAAAAACCGAAAACACGATGAATATTATGGCCTCGGCTGTTGAACAATTTTTTTTTTCTCAGCCTTTAGTTTTTGATTGGCTGAAAAGTAAAAAGCGAAGCTGGTTAAGATGGAGTTACATTTATGGGGCGCTGGGGCCTACATTTATTAGTGGGCCAAAGACAAAACCCAAAAGCTTTTCTATTAGATTCTGAATTGGTTTGGACCTCAATTTATTATTATTTTTTTAGAGAGAATTGGACCTCAACTTCAGTTTCAGATGCTTTGCTTTTTTCTCTTGGGCTAGTTTTCTTTTTTTTTTTTTTTTCCATCAAACTCACAGTCGTATATATATATATATATATATATATATATATATATATGCCCAATCAATTAAAAATTCAGTATTTGACAATATGTGATGCCTTGCATTATAATATGTATGAAATCAGAATCTCTTCATGTACTTTTGATGAGTTTTTAGAAAAGAAAAGAAAATTGTCTGGTATGGATAAGAGTGATACTATTTTTACATTCAATTAAGGAATACATGGGTGGCAGAATCATATATATTTGAATCTCTCTTTCATCAAAAAAGAAAAGAAAAAGTGTATCTTAAGATGTGAAATAGTGGTAAAAATTGTATTGCTCTCATATTAACTCTAGCCATTACTATTATCTTGTCATTTCCTTTCAAGTTCACCACAGAAAGAGGGAATTTGGTTCAGTATATTTGTATCAACTTTTCCAAGGGCAAGGAACAAGATAGAGAAATTGTAATTAGCTTTTGTTTTAAGCAATGATATTGTTGTGGCTAGAAATTGATTATACGAATCACATCAAAAGCAAGATCTGTATACAGTTCATGGCGGAAATTCTTTAGAATCTATCAGCACTATCAAATTAAATGCTCACAGTAGTTACCAATAACAAGCATGACCACGAGAAATAAGAGACATGAAAAAGGCCAGCTGACTGTTGATTTAATTTCTTCAGAAATGTCAGTTCAAAACAACATCAACCCTTTTGTTTTCAGTACCTGTGTTCATTCGATCTGCCTTATGTCAGTCAGGCCAATCCTTAAATATATGGCCTAGCTAGGTTACAAACTGATGGACATTTTCCACATCTTCCACCTTTTTAACAGTGATGACAATGGCAATATTAAAAAAGAGAGTTAATGCTAACACTTTCTTGACTAACTAATATTATTTTTGTGAAGGATTTAAAACCCTTTGTGTTATCTAACACATTTATTAAAAAAAAATGGTGAAGAATATGCAAAGGTTGAAGTTGATCAACTCATAAAAGGTAGATAAATATTATTTGTTATTTGCTCACATGCATGCATGCAAGCTAGCTAGCTTTTTGCACCTTAAAAACAGGTGTTGGCCAGCAGAAACCAAATTCCTAACAGATTCATCATTCAAGTATAATAAACTAATAATGGGAGCATGGGCAGAAACCATAAACAATATTTCACCCCTAGGAGGCTGGAGGAGGAATGACCTCATACCTTGCATAACACTATTGCTACAATTACATCATATAAATTTTCAAGTTTTGCTGAACAAGGAAAGTTAATAAATAGGGCTGATACTCCTTTTATTCCCAATGCTAGAAGGCTGATCGGTTTTATATAATCCTACCCATGTGGGAAGGTGACAAATTGTGGCTCATATTTTATCAAAACTGCCTTCATTGTTCTGATCATCTTAATTCTAGTTAAAGGCTTTGTAAACAGAAAAAAAAAATCCCTTTAAAAGCTAATAATGCTAATCTAAATATTAACATTTTTCTCCCAATAAAAACAACAATAAGAACATATCTATTTAGATCTTCACATGTGCTGGTAGAAACTTGAATATTCACCCTGCCTTTTTTCAAATTTTTATTATGAGAACTTGAAAATGTGATTAAAAGAAAGGCTAAGGTGGACTAAGAGTAAAATACTTCATCCATTTATTATCTGATTAAACCAGCTTGTTTATGTTTAGGCACTATGTATATAATTAACTACACTAATTGACAGTCATGGAAAAAACCCAAGTTTTTTCACAAAAATATTGACCTGTTTTCCAGAAACTAATTAGATGCCTATACTTGAATAAGTAAAACAAAGCTAAAAAGGCTAGTTGGATACATCTGCACTTTAAAATTTTATATCAAAGCTATCAAAATATATGTGGTGCTAAACTCTTTTCAATATAATAATTAAAACTCACAATTGAGTATAAATAATGTCTATTAATCTTTTTTGAAGTATTATTTCTTAACATAGCTGATTGACAATGCAAATGTATTTTTATAATGGAAGAATGATCATTACAAGGAAACAGTATTTATTGGAATTTTAAACCAAGAGATTTGGGTAATCCTTCTGGATTTCTGAATCAAACAACATCAGAAAACCATATCCAAGATAGATCATATAGGAGCATTGGGGATGTTGGTTTATGAATGGTATTTTCAATTATACAGGGAGACAATGAGGACCGAATGGGGCCCTTGAAAAGGGTTTTCTTTCTTCCCCCCACCAATAGGCTGCCATGCATCCAAAGAAGCTAGGTGTTGAATTTCTGCAGCATCTGCCACACGTGGGTCAGGATCTCTCCATGCAGTTTCCAAGGTACCCCCATTTTCCAGTTGTGCCAGCCAACACCATCACCTTAATTATACAATTCTTATAAGAGGCTTGTTGCATTTAAAAAATATGCCAAAAAATCTTCCACCTAAGTTAACCATGGATTTAAGGATTACTTTTCCTTGGCTCAGCTCTCTGCAAAACTGATTAAAGAGATCTAGCCAGGTATAAGGTTTATAAACTCAATCATCATTTTTTCAAAAATTAAAAAAGCATGAGATCTTGGCCACTACCTAAAGCATTTCGGTATATATTTTTGTTAAAAAGCACATGATCGATCCACCAAACCATAAGCTGTACAATTGGTTGAATATAATATAGCATTCTACAAATGCAAATATTGTGGATAATTTCTAATTTATGCATAATTGCAGTAGCTGGCATTGTACATAGCTAGGAATCTTAACAAGGGGAAATAAATTTAAATATATAAATATATATATATACCGATGGGTATTAAGGTATGGTATCCGTGAGATATTAATTATATAGAAATCAGACTCTCTCAATTAACTCTATCAAATTGTACATGGAAAAAGAATATTGTGGATACTCAGCATTAAAAATATATAGCATTATCAATTTCTTAATATGGCTATATATCTGATGAAGCTCAAAGGTACATAAACCTTAGTATCGGTGAACCTCAACACCTTTATTTGCTACAAGATCAAACCTCAAGAAGAAAATTAATTTGTAACACATTAAAGACATTCTCTACATTTCAAGAATTGAGTTCAGATTTTGTTACTGATACATTATAGTTTATATGAAATTTAATCCATGAGGTATGGTTTGATATATCAGAATATACATTTCATATTAATATCTTTATCTTGATGCTACATAGCTTGCAGCTCTTTTGGAGCCAATACTTTGATTGGAGGAAATAAAAATAGAAATTCTAAACTTCCCAGAAGTTACGTACTTAAAGTTACAATTTCCTACTTTTTTGCAATGAACAACTGATCATCAATATCTCATAAAGGGGCTAACTTTTCATTTTCAACATATATATATATATATATATGTTTTTTTTTTTAAAGACTGAAAAGTTAAGAACAACAGATGTTTTATTATAAATATGGTACATATATCTTTCTGTGAAATAATAGGGCATGCATGATATTTTCCTTTTAGTGTCAAAGAAAATGCGTCTGTATGCACTTTTTCGAATGGCAATTGAAAACCCATCTGCATTAATAAACGACGACTAATACATTGTTGTAAACAATACAGTTTAAATAAAAAAAAGTTCAATTATATATATACACTAATTGAAAGTATGGAGCACATGTATATCATAGTCGCTGATGTTGGATCAATCTTTTTTCCTAGAATCTTAGAATATTCTTTTCTGCACATATGATTTATATATACCCTAAAAGCTGAGATATAAGACTCTAAACTAGAACAGCATTTGGAACAAGTCCCCGTGTACCATTTGAGAATCTCATGTATATAAAATGGGATTGAGGCTAGCTGAGGTGTGATTAATTTGATGATGGTGGGGGATGCTTCTTTGGCTTTATAACTTGGCTCATCTCTAATAATAACAATAATAAAAAAAAGAACTATACAAACAGACAGAGCGATTTGCTAGGGATTATATTTGGTTCGCAAATCGTGTGAAGTAATTGCAAACTGTAAGGGTTTTGCATGTGCCCACAAATCTATAGTAGATATGATATTCTCTACATCTCTCCCCACTACACTTTGTCTTTGTTTTTTCTTTTATTTTTATCATTGCTCTAACTCCATCACTCATCAAATCACACCAAATCAACATATATAATCCCCTGTTTTATTCTCTCTTTTACATTCTTAATTCTGTGTTTATCACTACCATTTTATTTATCATTAATATTGTTAAAATTATATGATTATATGGATTATATAATAATTATTACAATGCGGTTTCAAATATTAAGCCATCCCCCAATAACAAAAATATATTATGGCTTAGATTAAGATATTCACTCATATGTCAGTTGCATGTTTACTTCCTCATTACAATTTAGCCTATAGCAAGTATTATATATATATATATATATATGGTTTATTATGATTGTTGACTTAGACTAATTGTGGTTTAAAGGAAATCCTTGCGTCAGCATCGAACGATTCCACGTGGCAAAATCTCGTGAATCCATGGCCAGTTAGAAGTCACATTGTTTTGAAACGGAAAAACCTTTTTGTTTTTTTTTTTTGTCTGAATCATGTGATTCACGACATGGAATTAAATAAGTATAGTCGAAAATGATAATATACCAATTATATATCTTATTAAGCAAGGCAGCAATATTTTTCACAGGGTTTTGCATCAAAGCTATAGCATCGGTAATCCAATAAAATTTAAATTATTTATGGACCTTATGCAGAGACCACTAGAATAACAAATTCGGAAAACAAAGCAAGTGTTGGATTTATGTGGTACGTGTTTTTTAACCAAAATTTTAGGATGTTTCATTAATAATAATCTCTAAATGACTCATTTGTTACAAACATCTTAGGGCAAAAAAAAAAAAAAAGTCATGGGGAGATGCTCAATTGTTAGTTTTATATAATTAACAAACCTTTGGATTGGGATTCATAATTTGACCTATGATTCCACGCCCCTATTTGATTTATACTTGTAAAACTCAATAACAAAACTTATCTTCTTAATTAATATAATATATTTTAATAAAATCTCTTACATCGATGGATGGCGTAACATCTCCTTCGTTCAATTTATCTACACTCGAACATTTAGTTCAATAACTAATATATAATCTCTTTATTAAAGCTAGGTTTAGAGTTGGAAGGATTTGTGATAATCAGTTTTAAAAAGCCTATATAGCTAAACTCTTAAAGTCTCCAAAGCTGTGATGAGTTTAAACTGTGGGTATTATTATAAGAACTTTTCCTGATAATGCTTGATCACCTAAACTGATTATATTTTAGTGGGGGAAAACAAGGTTTTGCCTGCATTTACCCAGCAAATGCCATAGTTTGGGAGAGATTTATTGGCGGGGTTTTTTGGTAATTGCAACAGTTCACATGTGTATATAAGAAAATCGGAAGATTCTCACTTTCCACCACACACACAACTCATAAAATATGACCCACAAATCATGCGTTAAACAGCTCAATTAGATTTGGTCCCCTTTTGCCCTATTCTAATTAACATCATATCTTTTGGTCAAATTGGCCTCAATATTTACAATTAATTATTATTTTCACAAATTTATTTTATTAATTTTTTTCAACAAGGAAAAACTAGCAGTGCTTGATTTTTTTTTTTTTTTGAGAGTTTGAACTCTTTTGAGAAATAATATATTTTACATTAAAGGCCCTTTTATTGAAAACATTCAAAACAAAATTTCGAGATTGATACCAACTTTGGATGTAATCCCAAGAATATATATCTTCAATTTCTCCTCAGAGAATCCCTGTTAAGCAGCAAACATGATTTCTAGAATCTATAATTAAATGTCATTTGGTCCAACTTTATATTAATTTTTCCCCTAAACTTTTATTTTTATAGTTTCCTTTGCTTAATAGATTTTTTTTTTTTACAGTTAAGAAATTTTTTTTATGACAAATTAACATATCCATTTACAAGGGATTTTTTTATTTAGAAAATTTTTACAACGAAAATTTTAAAATTTACAATTAAAAAATTTAAAAATAATTAAAAAGACAGTCTAGTTAAAGATTTTCACATGTATCAAATTAAAAAAAAAAAAAACTTCTTTTTATTTTTAAAAGAAGATATCGAATCTTTAAAAAAAAAAAAGTTTTGCACTCCCAAAAGAAGATAAGATATAAATCAAATCTAAAATTCTTACATGAAGAACAAACAAATAAACAAATGAAATTTATGTTCAAGTAAATACCTTCTACCTTAACTTAGACAAAATTCTATCAAAATTTCTTATTAACAAAAAAAAAAAAAAAAAGAAATTCTATCCTTACCTGCTTCTTTAGGAGCGTGGCATGCACTCTTGTAGCATCGGTGAAGTTGAACTTTGAAGCTGTCAAGTATTTCAACGTACTGCAATTAAGCGTAGGGTTAGAATTTTATTTTATTTTATTTTTTTTGGCTAACGCAAGGTTGAACGAGCCAATCGCTTTCAGGTTTAAGGTAGCGTCTAATATTATATACTATTAAACATATTATGATTTGTATTAAAAATATTTTTTGATAATTAAAAATGAGTCAATTGTAAAAGTTAAGGGTGCAGTTACGAATGAAAATTATTTCTTGAAGGTAAAATGAACGAATAATAAAATAATTATGTGTTATTCACAAAGATATCCTTAATTAATAAAATTTTCTCTTTATTTATGTATATCTAAACAACCAAAATTAAATTTCATAAATAAAAAGTTTAACACAAATAAAATATTATAAGTAATTATATACGAAATTAAAATACAAATAAGGAATAAAAATATCTAACACAAGGATTTACAGATCTTTGAAGATGTTTTGAATTTTCAAAATAAAAATGAATTCAGTGCTGATAAAAAGTGTTCTAAAATTTTTTGTATACAACTTAATATTAATTTACTTGAATAATACTGAAAATAACTTATTTTTCTTTCAAACATTATGTCCTTTTAGATATTTTAAATTTTCATAACAAATTTTCACAATAATACTAAACACTCAAAAGTATTAAATCACAGGTTTTCATAGCAATTTTTTTAAATAAAAAGTTTTTCAATGGCAACAATAATGCTCAACTAACTTTAAACCTTCAAAACCAATTTAAAATTACCAATAATTTAAAGATTTTTTTTCTATATTTGAAGTAATAAAAAATTAGAAAAGTATTTGAAAAAACAGGCAAAAGAGAAGTAGTGGAAAAAAAGGAGCATAAAATCTATGTATATATATAAAGATATATCTCTAATAAATCTGTACAAAATCTGGTCCAGCGATGCAATAATTACTTAGGTCCAAAACAGCTTAAAAAGGGCCAGTGGAGATCTCTGATTCCTCAGGAGTTCTCTCTCTCCTTTGCCAGAAAGTTTGCCGCAAGGAGAAAGCTTGGGATTTGCAAAGCTAAACTGTATCTGTCATCTCTTCTTAATCTCTTTGTTGTTGTTGTTATTGTTTCTGTCTCTTTCTTTGACATATATTATCATCAATACAAAAGAGAAGATGGGTAGCAGCTATTTTGGAGAACCAAACATGGGAAATGAAAGAGGAGGATCCTCGTCGTCTTCAAGAAAAGGGAAGAAGAGTAATCCAGACAAGCCTAAGCAACCCCAGAGAGGGCTCGGAGTTGCTCAATTGGAGAAGATCAGATTACATGGACAAATGGGTTCTAGCTACCATCCTTCACCTTACCCTGGAAATTTGAACCAGGTAATTCACTTTTCACTCTTTTTCCCTCTCTTTTTGGCCTTCCCTAACCCTTTTTTGGGTTTTTTGTCCTGTATCAGACTATCTGTGTGAAGTTCTTTTTTATCTGTGTGAGGAATTTGATGAAGAAACAAATGTTTGTGGACATGCAGGAAGACATGAGAGTGCAGACAGCTTATTCATCTATGGCATCATCATCTTTTTCATATTCATCAACCTCATCAACTTCCTCAGCTTCTTATGGTTTCCACCCCAGCATGATGGTAGGTGAAACCTGTGCCCTCTTTGTTGTCTCAAAGAGTAGTACCATAAAATTCCTTTTTTTTTTTTTTTTTTGCATTCAAAAAATTGATGGGTCATTAATTTTGTGCACCTTTGACATGATTTTCTGTCACCCATTTGCAACTGCTGTAGCCTAATAAATGATGAGCTATGTACTATATATTGTACTGCATCTTATGGAGGTGAAAACATGGCAGAACATTTTTGGTGGATATTGCATTATATATGTTTTTCATCATCATCATCATGATAACAGCATCCAAGTTTTGATGTATATACAATTTCTTTCTGATATTTATAATCAAAATGCTCTTGTTTATGGATATATGTCCTTTGAAGTTGCTAATAATTTTGCTTACTTCTTGGTGCTAACCCTAGATACTAATTTTCCCCAAAAAACTAAATCTTCACTTACTTCCTATTGTCATACTCAGTATTATTAATTATACGTAAATGAGAGCAAGAAGAAAGGAAACTAAATTCGGTTCGGTTTAATTTTTTTTCGATTTTTCATCTTTTGATTTAAAATTCAATTTAAACTTAATATATATATTTAATATCTAAACTTAATTTAAACCAAATAATAAAAAAACCAATTCGAATCAAATCGAATACTATAATTTTGAATCAATTTTCAGATTTTTTAATTTTTTTTCTCACCCCTATGTATTAGTAATTCTCTATATAATCCTGAATTGTAAATTTCTAAAACAATTAAATTTACATGATATGTTACAGATGGGGCTTGGGGAATATGATCAAAGAGCAAACATCAGATATGGTGATTCCCAACTTATTACAACAGCAAGGTGCATATATTTAACTTTCCAGTTTCTTCTTAAAAGAATGCCCTTTTGGAGCACATTAGATTTCGATTATGTTTCCAATTATTTGCAGCAGTAGGAACTCCGGCAGTGGCATCTTAGAGAGTCAACATTTTGCACAACCAAACATGACCAGACAGCTTCTAGACCTACATGTTGAGGTTGCCATTCACATCCTTATGTAATTAATTGTTGAAATGAATGCTTTATGGTATGTCAAGATTCTGTTTTGTATTGAATTTTTTTTTTTTTTCCTTTTCCTATATGCTTATAGGATTCACAACCAACTAAGAGCAAGAAACACCGGAGCAACTCATTGGGATCCGGCAGTCAGAATTCAGAATCAAGTGACACACAAGAGCTAGATTTGGAGCTCAGACTGTCATTGTAATCAATAATTTTTCTGCCACTTAGTTGCTTGGAATGCATTATGCTTCCTACCTTAGAATTTTAGAATTGTAAGCTCGAGATAAGCAGTTGGTCTTGCAATTTACATGCAACTTGAGCAAGTTGATGAACTTGTTGAATTTCATTTGAAAGTAATCTTGTGTAACGAAAGGCAGATTGACTTGCTGCATGAGATATAGTGAAAATTTGATCTCTTGTTCATGAATTTTCAAACAAATGAGGATTAAAGTTATAATTCTCACAAATTTCAACTATTTTTAAGGCTAGCGGTCAGATCTAACAGTAGCAACTTCTTGAAATTAAATTAAATCCCATAACTAGTCCTGTTATTACTTTATTAAAGAAGGTAAAAGGAAAATTAAGAATAAAACATGTCAAGGGAACTGTGGTCAATAACCAAGTACGTACCAAGTGGGGATTAAAGCTTCTCAAATTAGATAAAAGTGATCATCATGGACAACTTTGGATGTCTTTCGAATCATTTTCTTCAAATTGATGAACTTACTATGTGGCATTGTTGCAAGCAACCGACCTCATCGTCAATTAGGTGCTTTTGCCTTTAGACCATGAAAATGAAACTAAAACCAAACCACTAAAAAAGGGTTTTGTCAGACAAGAGAAAAACATATCTTTCTTCACTTAAATAAAAGCGGTAGGAAATACTATAGCTGGGAATTTATGAGGAGCCAATTAATTGGTATGCAAGAACTCGCACTTGGCAAACAAAAGAAACGTATACTTAATTTTTCTTTGTATGGAGAAATATAATTAATTTGAATCTCATTGTCATAAAACTATGATTATGATTATATCTATGAATTTTGAGATTTTATATATAGGTGGTATAATTTACTGAGTAATTGACAGACTAAGGAAAAAGGTGAACAAGTTTACCCTAGGGAATCGATACTTTCAATGTTATGCAATAAGCAATTTTTTGCTTTGCTTGTGGCTCCCAGCTGCATTAAAAGTTTTAGTTTGGTTTTGGTTTGGAATCTTAGTTTGATTATTATATGATTTATGTATGTGCTTTGAACAATGAAATCTTTATCACATAAAGAGAGTTCTAACCATAAAAAAAAAAAAAAAAAGATTAATTTTGAAACATTTAAAAAATGAAAAATTAACAAAACAAATGAGACGGAAGAAATATATATTTTATCTTTTATGATATGTGTCAAATCTTTAGCAATGCCCACAAAGAGATACGTGGCTCTATTGTTTGAGAGGTTCAGTACGCATTAGTGGAGTAATTTATATTCTTTATTTGAAGTCTGTAGACTAAAGAAGTATCCTTTTTAGTTTGGAGGGTGAGTTTTCGATCGTAAAGTTGCTAGTTATTTCCTAGATTCAAGGCAAACTCATCACTTCTTGCATGATTTTCATCGCTTTTCCTCTTGAATTATGGCATAGAAAAGTAGCTAAACCCAGTTAGACTTCCCAGCTTGGTAAAGATTACATAGTTAATTTTGGCAATCGAGTACCATATAATATAGGGGTTATCAAGTCCTAATGTTGCATTTAATGTTTATATATAGATGCCTCTTTTCCATGTTTCATGTGCCTGTAAATCATGTACAAATTAATTCTAATGCTTACATTAGCTATAAAATGATGACTTTATCAAGCCTAGATATAAAAACCCTAGAAAATTAGCTAGGGTTTCTGTATCTTTCTTTGTTTCTTTAATTTTCCCTTCTTTTTTGCTGAGTTGAAACGTAGGATTATGTAGTCCTGTGAAAACAAGTGACCTTGACGTGTTTTGTCTGCTTTCACTATGCACAAAGTTGCCTACTTTAATATGCAAGTGTAAAAGCTATGAATATACCCCCAGAAAACAGCTCTGTTGATATGTCAAATCATGGAAAAGATACATAATCAGTCATCAAAGACCAGAAAAACTTATGCTTAAGATTACTTTTGGGTAATATCAGATCATTCATTTGAACCAAATCACTATCTTGATGAGGTTAATTTTATCTTATCTTGCCAGCAATCCAAGGTGATATTGTAGTTAAATTGCACAAAATTAAAATTATCACTAATGACAATTAAAGCGAAGAGATTGGACGAAAGGACAGATATATGTATCTAGGTGTTTTGGCATGGCTTCGGCTTGGATAAAGCGCAAGCGCAGTTGCCCACTTTTTTCATCATGAAAGAGAGAGAATTAACCAAAGATTTGTTGATTATAGTAGCCAATTACACTTCTTCCTTAAAAGTGAAACACGAGAGAATTAATTTACAATAAATTCCTTTCCCAATCAAGAAATTAAACAGGACATCTTTGCGAAATGAACCTTTCCCAAACAGGAAGCAGCAGGGATATGTGTCCCTCTAGGTGAACAAGAAAGGACCCGATTTCATTGCAAAGCCAATATAAATCCTCCACTATTTGTTTTTCAATTTTATGATTTCTTGTCATTAGTCTTTTTCACTTTACCGTAAAGAGAGCGTGATATCCTAAAAGTCCAATGGTCATTATTGCAAAAGCGAAAAGAAATTAGAGTGCCCATCAAACTTTTTTCATTAAAATTAGTTAATTTGTAAGAATTGGCTTATGAATATTTTTGCTGTTGGGATTAGTTTCAATAATTCCAAGTCTTACAAAGAGAATTAGAGCTTGTGCAATGTACTAAGTTGCTACAAAAATTGTTGGTCCTATACATACATAGTTTCCTGTAAATCCTGTCTTTCCTCATAGTTTTCAACCCTTTTGCCAGCTGAGGAATTAATGGATTAGCTGCCAATATTAATTCTTCCTGCTTTAAGAGGGGGCTAATTGGTTTTCGCTTGGTTTGCCATATATCAGAAACTTTCTAACACATTGGGAAAAGTGGTTCCTGGGCGTTAAATAACAATAATAATATCAATAACGTTCCTGCTATGTAAAGGCCTTAGATCAAAGTGAATGAAAATCAGTCAAGTTCAATTGTGAATTCAACAATTCTAGGAATCCCTTATGTAGGTTGAGAAAAACTGCATAACCACACAGTAGAAATTAATTTAAGTCCCCAATAAACAGAGAGGCTTGCCCAATAAAACCCCAAAAACCTCTCAACAAATTGTTAGCATTAGTTGGTATGTTTAAGTGTTCTAAATATGTGAACTGTTATTTTAATTAACCCCTGAAATAAGTATATGACCTGTTCAACTCTTTCCCAAATTAGGCTTCTCCAGGGCAACCATTGAAATGATAAGGTGTTCCTATAATTAGCTAAGCTAGCTCCTTATTTGTGGTTCCTGATCTAAACAAGGAGACAACGGAGATTGTCCAAGATTGACTGAAACATTTTGGAAAATTAAAGTCATGGATTAGAAAGATGCGGAGAGGAATGAGGGGACAGGAATTTGTAAGCAAGAAAATATATAAAGGAGGAAGGAGCCTGTATAGAGACGCCACAGCAGGGATTCGAAAAGGTAAATAAATTCTACAATCATGACGATGTTATGGAGAGGCTTGTGTATTCTACCTCTCCTTTTTGTCTCAGGGAACTGTCAATTTTTGTTCCCCTTTCTCCATCAGTTGGATAACCCTGTAGGCAACGTCCGCAAGGTTGGTGTCTCTGCTGACAAAATAAAGAAGAAAGGCAACGCAAATGGTAATGCTGCTGTGACTAATTACAAGGGCAAGTGGGAGATATTTACTAAAAACTCCGGCGTCTCTGCCATGCACTTGATCTTACTTCCCAAGATTGACCAGGCTTTGATGTTTGACGCCACGGTTTGGCAGATGTCAAAACTAAAGTTGCCTAGCCCGCCTTGCCGACACATCGAGGGAACCAATGAGGAAGACTGCTTTTGCCATTCGGTTCTCTTGGACATTGAGACAGCAAAGATTAGGCCACTCAGGGTACATTTAATTAGCTCTTAATGCTTTCCTATTTTTTCATAAATTTATGGTTCCTTCGATAAAATGGTTTTTTTAACATTTTTCTTGTAACAGTTGAAATATGACACTTGGTGTTCATCTGGTGCCCTTGATGTAAATGGACGGTTGGTGAGCACTGGAGGTTATAATAATGGGTCAGATACTGTCAGGATTCTCAACTTATGTCCTACCTGTGATTGGCAAGAATATCCTGGTGCACTTGGAAATGGAAGATGGTATTTAACTTAAATTGTACATTAATTTTTTTTTGTTTTGATGTCTTTTCGAAGTTGAATCTGAGCTGTTTTTGTGCATTGCCATTGAAGGTATGCAACACAGGTAACCTTAGGAGATGGTAGATTCATGGTTTTTGGTGGTCGTAACTTCCCAACATACGAATTCGTTCCACCAGAAGGGCAACGCAATGCCAAAAACCAAGTTTTCCCTTTCAAATTCCTGGCAGAAACCCACGATGCGGTGGAGAACAACTTGTACCCTTTTGTCTATCTCTCAACTGATGGAAACCTCTTCATCTTTGCCAACAACCGTTCCATTCTGCTCAATCCAAACACGCAGCAAATCATCCACGAGTTCCCAGTTCTCCCAGGCGGTGCCCGCAACTATCCAGCGTCGGGAAGTTCTTGTCTCCTCCCGATTACACTTCAACCTGACGAAACACGTAAACTCATCCCTGCTGAGGTCTTGATATGTGGCGGTGCATCACACGAGGCATTTGCACTGGCAGATTTAAAGCGCCCGAAAACGTTTCTCCCAGCCAACAAAGACTGTGCCCGCATAGATATCACCAAGAGGAATGGAAAATGGAAGATCTCAACTATGCCATCTGCTCGTCTTATGGGAGACGCCGTTGTTCTTCCAACAGGAGATGTGCTTCTCATCAACGGTGCCCAGAGTGGTTCTGCAGGATGGGACGATGCAAGGGACCCAAATTTCACCCCTGTCTTGTATCGTGTGAGGGGAGGAGGTGGTTCCAAGTTTACAGAGCTTAAACCTTCACAAATTCCCCGTATGTACCACTCATCGTTCGCACTTCTTCCTGATGGAAAAATCCTCATAGCTGGTAGCAACTCAAACGCGGGATACGTAGAAAACTCTCTCTTCCCCACTGAGGTCCGTGTAGAAAAATTCTCGCCACATTACTTTGATCCAATGTTGAAAAAGTTTAGGGCAGAGATCATACTTGAAAAGTCCGCCAATCAGATAAATTATGGAAAGAGATTCGTGGTGCAAATACGTGATGCTGATAAGGCCCTGGATGAGCAGAATCTCCAAGTAAATATTTACTATCCGGCTTTTACAACACATGGTATCTCCATGAATCAGAGGCTGGTTCAATTGGGAATTGTTCAAGTGATCAAAAACGTTGCCCCAAGAACCCACAACATCGTTCTTCAAGCTCCCATCCACAGCAACATTGCTCCTCCTGGTTATTACATGCTCTTCGTGAATTTTAATGGGGTGCCTTGCCGCCGTGCCATGTGGGTTCAGCTGCTCCCGTAGGTCACATTCTCATCGTTTCAAGCTCCAGTTTACCGAAGATTTCAACAAAAGAAATAGGCTGATGAAGAATGGAACGCCTCACCAACTAATTTACTACTCTAAATTTATTGATTTTATGTAAATTATGAGTCGTAAGTTGTCCACATTTTGTTATAGCCAAGTGTAGTACAGGTTGTTGAAATCATATAATGTGGACAATTTTTCTTTTGTGTGTGTGTGTGTGTGTTTCGGTACTTCTCAATCTAAATTCTTTAATTATTTTTTTGGGGCATTTTCTACAATTGACATAAGACTATATGTTGGTTTGCTCAAACATCCACGTCGCCAAGCAATTAGAATTTTAAGGGAGGACGGCAGACAAGTGTTGCAACGGAAAATGAAAAGCTGATGACATTAATTAATATTTAAGATTGTCAATAGGCGTGCACGACTAACTGTCGTCTAAGATTCCCAATCGGTCTGAATTTTTTATTAAAGTCGAAACCAAGAAGAAGAGAGACAATGTTGGAATTCTAAGTCATGTTTTTCACTCAACAAAACCAGCTGCTATCTGGTTTGGCCCTTGATTATTTCCAATATTAGTGGCATGCACGACGTTTCATTTCTCTCCCTACTCCCTTCGCCTACCAACTGACCTTAATTAATTCACTTTATGCTTAATGATGTTGTGGGTTTAGGGCTAAAGTCTCAACATTAATATATTTCTGATAAACATCTAAATTAAAAGTAAGTTCATAAATTACTAGGAAGCCAACAAATACGCGCTCGATTTCTCATTTTAGTTTGTGCCCTTTGCGACTAAATTCACATTGGTTTTTCTTTTGGACATAAATTCTCTTGTAGGTTTGTCAAATTTGACTGAATCTTGGTTAAAAAATGACAATTTTGCAATACAAATGGCCAATGGGGAAATACTTCTCCTGCAAATCCTTATGTGACTTTGTCAAAAGTTATAACTTAGTAGCATCTTTTCTTGTAATTAAAATACCCCAAAAATACAAGTTTAAAAAAGTCGTATAAGATTTCACCAAATGATAACATATTCCTTCTCTTTGCTCTCAAATAATTTTATAGGAGGGTCAAAAACGATGACAAGTTCAACATATTTCAAATGTTGATTAAAAAATTATAATACAATGTTCATCTTAGTAAGGCACGTTTGCTGAAACAGGCTATATAAAGCCATCGAGAATAATGGACAAAAGCATCCTTTTTCAACGATATTGGTTGACAAATACGGACAGAGCCAGCTTCTCCATTGCAGTTGAAAATGGCAAGTTTACAAGCTTTCTTGTTGGCTCTTTTCATTACTGCAGTTGCACTTAATCAAAGTTTAGTTGAAGCAAACTTTTCCAAGAGCATGTACATTAATTGGGGTTCTTATCATTCAACTGTTTCAGGCAATGGTGACGACCTTCAACTTGTGTTGGATCAAACTTCAGGTAAACCTATTGTCCGACTTGCGGTAAATTTATTTCTTCCAATTTCCATTAAAAGATTCATATGCTAAACACAAACAAACAATACTAAACTGAAACATATTGTTCACTCTTTTGACATTACAATGCTGCCATTGAGTTTTAGGTTCTGCTGCTAAATCAAAGAGGGCATTCTTAGTTGGAAGCATTGAAATGCTAATCAAGTTGGTACCAGGAAACTCAGCTGGAACAGTCACAGCCTACAATGTAAGTGCAACAATGCAAAGCTAACATGTCTAAATCAAATAAAATAGTACACCGTAGCCATCACATTAATTTGATTATTGTCAGCAAAGCTTCTATATTCAGTTGTCTTTTATCCTGTTAAAACAAGTCAAAAATGAATTCCTCGAAGAAACCACATTCAACAAGATCAAGAGTTGGTAATAAGCATTCAAGTTGAAAGCAACTTAATTGCAACTAAATGCCTTGAAGTAAAAATATTCATTCACCGAATCAATGACCACATAGATGGAATTAAACCTTAAGTATATAGGTCTTTAATTAAAGCACAACTCAGGAACTATAAAGAACAGAAGAAATTTTCATAATGAAGAACATAACATTGTAATGTTTCATTCTTAAATAAATAAACATAGCTGTCATCTACTGGGGACAAGCATGACGAGATCGACTTCGAGTTCTTTGGTAATGTTTCTGGATAACCATATATTGTTCACACAAACATCTACACACAAGGGAATGGAATCAGAGAACAGCAATTCTACCCGTGGTTTGACCCAACTGCTGACTTCCACAACTACACCATTCACTGGAATCCCACCGAAGTCGTGTGAGTTAACTCCCCTTCAATTATACTAGATTATCATGTGCCTTATCTCCAAATATGTTCATTAGAAATCTCGTTCAAGCAGATAGCAAATGCATGCTACTTTTCTTCTATTACTAATTTTTCAGTGAATTACAAGACAACAACAACGTACGATTAAAAATCTTAATGCATTTCACTGTTCTCATGAAACTAACCAAAACGTACATGATGGTTTTAGGTGGTACATCGACAACCTGCCTATTCGTCTTTTCAGAAACTACGAGAAGGAAGGCATTGCTTTCCCCAACAAGCAAGGAATGAGGGTACAAGCCAGTTTATGGAATGCGGACAATTGGGCAACAAGAGGTGGACTCGTCAAGATTGACTGGAGCAGTGCACCTTTCATTGCCAGATTACGAGGGTTTAGGGCAAGAGCTAGCAAGTGGGATGGACCAGTGAGTATCAATCAATGTGCCTCCAGATCCCCAGCTAACTGGTGGGCTTCCCCTACTTACAGCCAGTTGAGCAGTAGCAAGATGGGTCAAATGAAGTGGGTCAGAGATAACTTCATGATCTATGACTACTGCAAAGATACTAAACGATTCAATGGACAGATGCCTCCGGAATGTTTTAAACAGCAGTTCTACGTCCCCAGATGATCAGAAACCAACCTATATGAAGACAACTTGAAAAAGTTTCGAAAGGGTTGGAAATTCTGAAATCCCATTTCTTTTCCGAAAATAATTATGTTTGATTGAGTAAATGTTGTCTGGTTTATTGTGTTTCAATTGTATTGCATTTTCTTCATCAAAATGAAACATAATACATGTATCGAAGAGAACAATAACTTCATGTTTCCAACTAAATACAATAACTGAACATGAACTTTTTAAAAGTTATTACAGTCTTACAGAGAATAAAATGCAAAGCACATGCAGATCATGTGATACAAAGCCAAACACCCAAAACAATAAAACCCGTACCCAATAGAGCATGACCAACCCGGGTCTCCTCACCCAGGAGGATTTGGCAGCAAACGTCGTCGCATTGATGACGGCGACCGCGAACGAAATTGGGGCCTGGCTTAAGATAGCGAAAAAGGTGGCGGACGCGGAAAGGTTGATGAAGAAAGGAAGCGAGTATTGCCAAAAGAAAACGAGGGCTAGTCAATTGGATCATGAATTTAGGAGCTTTCGGCCGAGTTTCTGAGGTGGGTTGACTGGGGGTGGAATGGATTTGAGAGATTGGGCCTAGAGGACCGTGCCCCAGCGCATTGCGGCTTTGGTGGCCTCCCAAATTAGGTCCATTGCCAACATTTTCTCCACTTATCGATCATTGTTTCTGATCTTGGGTTGGGCGGGGCTTTTGGGCCTAAAATGCACCAAAAATAAAGAAGTCTTGTAAGAAGCTGACTCCAATGCACGATAAAACGTCTTCGTTTTTGTTGTAAGAATGAATGACTTTTGTTTAAGTGGACTCCTACGTGAAAAGTTTGAATAATATTTAGGTAACCAAAGGTTGATAAAGTTAAAATTGTAATTTAAGGGTTATCATTTTTTTTATCAATATATATACAAGGCATAAAAGAGGATATTTACAAATCCAGCAAAAAGATAAGAAAAATAATAATGTTATTAGTTAAATAATATTTTAAATCGGACAAAACCGAATTTAAACTTGAAAAACTTTATGCAAGGCTGGGCCCGACTCGGATGAAACCCAATCCTTCCGACCCTTTGACAGGTTTAGGAGATATAAAGTATAGAAATATGAGAAAACCATATCAATTCTATGCAACTGTCATCCACGTAAATGTGTTGGGTAAAAGTCGAAGTAAGATGAAATTGACAATAATTAATGGTTAAAAACTTACAAAAATGGGGTTAACTCAAATGTTAAAGAAATATATATCGTTTTTAAGAACTATTTTCTGTGCTTTAAAATTTTGAAATGCATGGTAGCATCTGTGTTATTAATTTCATGTTGATTTTGGCAGATATTTTATCCTCATAACCGTCGGCTTCGTTTACACCTGCTGGCACCACAAAAAAAAAAAGGGTTTTTAGTTATGTTTATTCTTTAAGAACGTAGTTAATTGTAAATTTATTGCTCTTTTAAGTTTTATATGCACATGATATACTCATTCATTTCTTTGAGTTGTTTTTTAGCCTATTGAAATGCGAGCGGATATCAAGAAACAGGGAAGAGATAAAAAGTATTACGAAAATATTATCATTTTCAAGACATTTCTTTGAGATTTTGAATCATGGAAGACAAAATTAACATTAATGGGTTTAGCATACCAGAAATGATATAGCTAACATCCATTTCTGCTTAACTCTTTCAGAACAGTCACGACTTTGGCCAACACAATCCCTGGTTCCATGCCGTCAGCTCCAACCATTCCTGCCAATTGTTTGAGTTTCTTCCTTGTTCCCTCGTCATGGAACAGATTATTCAGGCACTGCTCATCATCTGAAACATCAATAACCTCATCTCTTTGAAAACAAAACAATGATTCAGCATCAGATTTCACATCATCAGAGACATATTCTTTAAACCCCATCGAGTCATCATTCAAAGTATCCAGATCAATCAAGGACTTGGTTCTCTTATCAGCTCTAGTATTTTCAAGAGCATCAATAGCCTCACGCTTCAAGCGATCAAAGTTGATATAATGGCCTTGCGGTCTGGAGCAAAAGGCTGTGATGAAACGGTTGGAACGGTCAAAGATAAGGTATTGCTGCTTTTCGCTTGAGCAAAACTTTCTATCATCAGACTGTTTTCTTGCTGCCATCGGAGTTTTCTACCCTCTACTGAGCACTGATTTAGAAAAATATGGAAGAAGATGGTTTTTAAAATAATTAGGACGAATGTCTTTGAATTTGCCTTAAAGAAATAACGTTACAAAGTCTGGCAGGAAATTAGTAGTTAAAACTCTAGCTTGAAACTGAAAAAGTTTAAATGAAATTATGATAAAATTGAACAAGGCTGAAGTTTCGGGGTTTAAATGGTACATATGTTGGAGTCATTAAGGGCCTAAAGAGGTTTAAATAAAAAACCAATTGCTTATCAAAATATTCCTCTTACAAGAGATAAATCCAAAATTGAAAGAACAGAGATATCTGCCAAAAAAAAAAAATCCATAATTTTATTTATCCAAATAATCCAATAGACTCCCTTCAATTGTCTAATAAAAAAGTATACAACTGATAAGCTTGTATGCATTATATTCTTGCATGTCTGAATTTACGCAGGGAGCATGGATGGTTCGGGACTAGTGTCAGAACACTTCAAACATATACATGGACGAGGTGATGTATTATGAACACTAATTAAATTTAAAGTAAAGTGGCTATGTTTAGTGTATAAAATTCGATAAGATAAGATAACATAAAATTATAAATTAAATTAAATTAAATTAAATTATCTATCTTATGTTATATTTGGTGTGTACAAAAATTAAAAATAGATAATATAAAATTATAAATTAAATTAAATTAAATTATATCATTTTGTGTTATATTTGATGTGTGTAAAAATTAAAAATAAAATAAAATATTATTTTACTATTTATTATATTTGTTATGAGCAAGATTAAGATTAGGATATGTTGATATTTTTCATTGGTCAAATTTTTTCTTTATATATTAATTTGATTTTTATGTAATCACAAGTGATATAATTTGTCAACTATTTTTTTTAGAGATCATCTATCAATTAATTCAAAGTACTCAAATACCTTTTTAATTGATAAATTCTTTCAACAATTTTAACTTAAAAAATACTCATAATAAACAAATAAATACATCAAATAAATAATAAATAAATATAAATTCAAATAAAATTATATATTATTTTATATTAAAAAATTATTAAAAAGCTTATAGCTTAGAGTTTTAAAAATATCAAAGTTTTAATTAAAAAATTATAAATTATAAATTAGCAAAGTTGGAAAGTTTGAGAAATAAAGAGTATTTTTTCCTGGGAAATAAATGAGTTTTTTGTATAGATGAAGAGTAAATAAAACTTAGAGAGTGGAAAATATTTTCAAATATTTAATAATTTTAAAATTTAAATTTAAGGGTAAAATAAAAATATTCATTATTTAAAATTTTTTATAAATTATCTAATTGTATGGATTGAAAACAATCCCCTATTTTTTCAAAGGATGAAGTTATTTTATTGATATATGATATCTAATTCTTTTAATAATTCAATCTTTTTATTTAAGTGCATAACAAAAATAAGATAAGATAATTAATATCTTATTTTTCAACTAATCTTATATACCGTATCCACTATGTATTAGATTTCAGTGACAAATGTTTTGATAAAGTTTTCCTTGAGACGCAAAAACTTAAGAATCAACAACCTTAAACAGAAAGCATTGCAAACATATTTATCACGGTAATTCATCTCCTAACAGATAGCTGAATCAAACACGAGTGTTTTGTGATAAACAATATTTTGTTGAAACAAAAAGTGAAAGATAACCAAACATCTCAAGATTTCTTCACTTCCGCTGAGCTAATGGCCATGCGATTGTCACTATAAAAGATTTATCTACAAAATGGAATTCGCCGCATCCTCATGGGGAATTTCTTCCATAAATCCTTTCAGCTCAGATTTGGATTTCAGTGTGAAAAGGATAGTATTAGAATGTGCCCAAAACTCACTCCAATTCCTTGAGGAAATCAATATTATCAACAAAAACCTGCAGAAATTAAAGAGCAAAGTGAGTCAATTATGAAACAGAACACGAAACACAAGTTGACTCCTAATCCTCAGCAGAAACAACTAAAGAAAAAAAATGATGCATTCATTAAAAACAGAAAATTTTCTCCATTAAGCTAATAAAACTCATGTTGGATCAATGCACATGAATGAGCAAACATTCTTGATAAACTTTTTTTTTATTTGAGATATTGGTGATATAGTTGAATGATAAACAATTAAAAAGTAAAAATTTTCAGCTCTCAGATGACAAGCATCAATGTATAAAAGCTTCGAAAGGCATACCGTCTTCCAACCATCAGGATCTAAGCATGCAGTGATCTTGGTGTTAATACCAGGTAAAGGTCCAGGTTCCCGGGTAACTTTTCCACCGAAAAGCTTAACTACCTCTGCAGTTTTATAAACATCATCTGTGCCAATTGCAATCTGCAGGGATGCAAGCAATATGCCTTTACTTTGTTCCCATGTGTAAGATACACTGCATGCAGTTACATTTAGCAAACAAAACAAGAAAATCATTTCAACATTAAAGTGAAAAGAAAGCAGAAATATTTTGACCTGAGCATAGCCATTTCCTTTCTCATAATCAGTGACTCCATAGTTGTACGTCAACTCAAGCACAGCATTTTTATCTTCAGGCCCATAGCCCATCATGGCTATTGTATACTAAAAGGAAAAATTATAAACTAAGTCAGTGCATATATCTGACATACCAATTACTAGAAGGTTCACAAGAATACTTTCATCAATCAAACTAAGCAAAACAAAGAAACAAAGAGCCATGAAGACAGCAATTCAGGACACACAAGAAAGCACACATACAAACACAGTATATGCATGTGTCCTTTGCAGCCCTTTAACAACCCCCACCCCTTCATTCTTCTCCGCCATTTGTTTCTCTTTTCACTTTTCTTCCCAGAATACACATTTTAACTGGTTCTATCTGCCATATGGAATAGAGGTGATGCAGGACAGCTTATGGGGCTAGGATTTTATGATAACAATAATTTGAAATTCTTAAGAAAAATGAATAAAGAAAAGAAAAACAGAAAAGAAAAGATAACCTAAGCTTCACACCTAGAGTTTCTTGATTGCTTCATAACCAAGAAGAAAGATAACCTAAGCATCATATCTAGGGTTGATTGCATCACACAATCTGAATAACAATAATGCTAAAACATTCTCATAATCATAATCTGCCTTTTAAAAGAAAAAGTACATTGTTTTTATATAGGCTACTAGCCTATTACCAACCTTAATCCTAAAAAAGAACTAGAACTCCTATCTAACGTAGGACTTTAGGAAAACTTTTAATAGAAGACTCATGAACTTAACTTAAAAACAAACAAAACCTAATAGAATAAGAAAGTAAACTAAGATACAAAACCCTAATGTAAATGTAAAATACCGAATATAACCCTAAATCTATAAAATTACAATTAAGCCCCATAAATACAAAAAGAGTAATAAAATAAAACCTTAAGTAAGCTAATCGTACTCTGGATCAGCTTACTAGGGTTCTGAATCAAGGGGATAGTTTTTTACCTTGTACTCTGGATTATCTCGTGTGCGAAGAAGCTCCATACCAAAGGCCTGTAACAAAAGGAGATGCAGATTAAGACCTACCACGACTTAAAACATAGTAACCCACCCCCAACCCCCCCCAAAAAAGGGCAAATCCATGTAAAAGACTGTAAATAGCATCAGATATCATTGCCCAATGTTCTCCAGCAACTCTCACCTTCTCATAAAAATTTATGGAGCGATCAAGATCCCCGACACGAAGCATTACTTGGCACAAAGGTTCAGGGGTAGGCCCCCTTTCAATTAGTTCAAACTTGTAACCATCAGGATCCTCAACAAATGCAATTACAGTAGTACCACCTTTCACTGGACCAGGTTCTCTGGTTACTTTTCCACCCTTGGCCTTTATAAGTTCCACGGTCTTGGCAACCTAATCCGTGGAGCACATAAGCATTCAGCTTTGAAAAGCAGAACCTAGCAGTTCTAAGATACATAACAGTGTCATTTTGTTAAAAATGGAAAAATGTAATGCAATTTCTGGGAGCCAAAGTTCGAGCTTACATCCTCAACAGCTATCCCAAAGTGACCAAATGCAGTTCCAATGTCATACTTGTCAACTCCATAATCTGGTAGCACCATTCAAGGAAAATGAATATCCATGGGACCACAGCTGAGCTCATATATAATGTCTACTCTAATATTCACATGTGGGAATGAAATTTTTCATAAATAGCTAATTACTTACGACATTCAGATTTATCATAGTTTAGAAAAGCAAAAGAGTAGTCCAATAGCTTACTGTAAGTGAGTTCAATAACAAAGTGAGAATCTTCAGGCCCATATCCAAGAAAGGCATTTGTGTATCTCTCCTCTGGTATGTCCCGTTTCCTCAACAGCTTCATTCCCAGGCACTCACTATAGAATCTGCAACCACCATACATTCGAGTTAAGTTCAAAGATTTCAACGACAAGATTGTTTAAAAAGAATAGATGTCTGCGCAATCCATTCATGAGATTAACAAATGAAACAAAAACAAGAACATATCTTGAAATGACATACTTGATGGTTCGGTCTAAATCCCCAACTCGATAAACAACATGAAACATTCTTCTTTTGTCCTTTTTAACCCACTCTAAGGCAGTTTCCTGGGCAGCTGCCGTGCTTGCCTGTACCACATTTCTGACCAGAGGCATACCTGCCCTGCTTCTCTCAGCTCTCAACATCTTGGAAGCTTTCATACCAAAGAATTGCAAATGTGGAACAGCTGGATAAAATTTCAAAAAACATATATTTATATCAAATCCATCAAAGTCATTTCTTTCACTCCATAAAATTCAGCAGAATCTCTAGATATTGTTAAGTTCCTTAAAAACACTCCAAAATGAATTCCAGTAGTTCAACCAAATTGCCCGATTCAATCTAATTCTTCGATCGGCAATTAAATTCGTATTTAACTAAAGAAACTAGTACAATAAAAGTAAGTAAATTATAGGGCATACAAGGGAAATAAATTCATAAAAAAAAAAAAAAGAAATGAACGGTGGTTACTGACTTACTGCTGCCAAGATACGAGAAAAGGAGGCGTCGAGGAAGGTGAAGCGGAGAAAGGGAAAGGCCAAAACGCGTAGTAGCAACGTCATCGGAGAATCTAAACAACGAGAGCGCAGGCCGTATTGAGGACGCCATGGGAATTATCCTCACCATCTTCGTGAATTTCTATCTCTCTCTATATAATACTAATTGCTTTTTTTTTTTAAATAATAGTAATAGAAATCTAAAGCAGTGGTCTGTCTCCTCTGAACGTTGAGTCTGTGATGTTTGTAACGGCCGTCTGTGACTGTATCGTTAGCGTCTCTCTCTGTGTCTTTCTCTCTTTGTCTGTGTTTTTGTCTGTGAAGTAAGACAGAGGTTGTGAATTTGCGATGATATAAGTTTTGTCCATCTTTAAGATGTGAAAAACAGTAATAATTAAATTTAAAAAAAGAAAAAAGAAAAATGCAAAATATTAAAAAAAGGAATAAACAAAAGAAAACACAGCTATTGGACGTGAATGGCTGATGTTCTTTTGATTCGAAAATAGCCGTACGATTGGATGGGGTCTAAAACAATAATTTTTCCCTTTTAACAGTTAATAATAATAATTGAACAAATAAGCCTGGTGAAAATTGGAAGAGGAAGAGCCCAATAAAAGAACTCATGAAATATGAGAGTAGTCGGCCCATGTCATGGACATAGCCCGTCTTTACTCCATATTTAGCCCTAATGGTTGGACAAAATAAGCTGGCCCAACAAGACTATATAAACTTAATCCAAATTTAGATTAATTTGATTTTAAAAAATTTGAAGAGACAGCTTGGTGGCTCCTACAAATAATAATCATGCTAATAGAATCGTAATTAAAGAATTTTATTTTTTTATTTGAGATTATTAAAATTTAAATTTTAATCATTAAATTGAAAGATAAAATATTTTATTAATAAATCACATAATTATTAGCAATTAAATAATTTTATTATATATATCTTTAATATAAAATTCTAATCAAAATACTAACATTGTAGGGATATTCTTTTTCTAGGATGTAATAGTAGCCATTTCTTTATTTTCAAAGCAATGATGATAATATTACCAACACTTAATACAGCATCAAGAAGGGCCACAATCATATATTTCAATTTATGTTACACTAAAATAAAACACAAAGCACTAAACCCGAATATCCCAAACAAGTCAACAATTTGTCTAATACATGTCTTAACTCTAACGTTACACTTTCCACTCAAAATCCAATAAATTTTTATGCTAAGAATCCTTAAAACTGTTCGAAGGCACAAAGTTTTCGGCAGTTTTGATAATATCCTGACTGTATCTGGACATTTTGTTCATTGCTTAAAAGGCCCCACACCGAGTTCACCTAGCCAGTGGCTACCCAACCTATATAATGTTTGTTAAGGCCCCCACTTTGTAAGAGGGGCCAATTAACTAATCAAAGGTTCAAATAATGAGGGTTCATCCCACGCTGGTGAGCTGACGGGTGAGCGGTGCAATGCAAAATATATATATATATACAATAATAATGCAGACATTTGGTGAATTGTTGTGGTTGGTTTTTGCCTAAAAGATGATGTGACATGGCCAACAGAGAAACCCAAAGCTGGGTAGGTGGGACTGTGGGAGAGGCTAGAGAAAAAAAAAAAAAAAAGCTAAAGGAGGCGTTCCTTTGTTTTTCTTGCTTGTTTTTTATTTTTTATTTTATTTTTTTGTGGTTGTCGATGACATGCTGTGGCTTACTCCTTTTTGATGGAGAAATTAAGCAACTTGGCTGACTTGGATTTTGTTGTTGTCAAATTATTGAGGCAGTTAGCTACTTACTTTTCCATAATAACTAATGAAAGATTTCCTTTTGCTTGTGAAAATTCTTCATTCATTGGAGGATATGAGTTATGTTTGAAAATGATAACTATTTTGTGAAAGCCTTGATAGTTGGCAGGACCAAAACAATAATAATGATCGGATTATAATTGAAGGGTGAAATTTTACAAGTTTATAAAATATTAATTTTTATTTTTTTATTTTTAATACACCAAATCATCAAATAAAAAAAATAAAACTTCTTATGTCACATAAATATTATTTTAATTTGATTTTTCAATATATTTTTATAAAAATCGAGCTTAATAAAATATTTAAAATATTAATAATTAAAATAAAAAAAATTAACTACAAAAAATTATATAGTACTAATTATTTTCTGTCATCTTTTTTTTATTCCTTTATTATTGATTAATTAATTAATTTAAAAATGCTCAAATAAATTTCAATAACTTCTCCTATTCTTTTGACCTTGACCTAAAAAAACAGGTGAAAAAAAAACTTTTTATGACACAACGTCTTGCTTTATCTTTGCAACTACTACTAGTGGTAGCTTCTTTGACTCTTTCACTCTCGCCAACTGAGATCACCATCCAAAATGTTATACTGTTGCAACCTAATTGAAAAGTCACTGTTTATTTTTCTTACGGAACAAATTGAAGGAAAATGTAGAAAATCTTGACTCCCACAAACCTCATTTCTGATTAGACCATCAAATCTTTTCTTAACCAACCCATCTAATCAACCAACCTTTTTCTTTCTCTTTTGGAGATTGATCGAGTGAAGGAAAAAACGACCACGTCAGGAACCAAACTCCCAGACCAAACAGGTTAGAGTATGGTTCAGTCGGAAACTCTTTTTCTGGGTCAGGTCTGGGGACATCAGATTGAGATAACGAGGGACCACTCTCGAAAGAAAAAAAGGGGCTTGTGATAATTATCCAACGTGGGTAGCGTTCTCAATCGCTTTGCCACTTCCACGACTGACGCCTGTGCTCGAACCAAATCCGTGATTGTTCCATGGAAGGGAGGATTCAGGTCCAGGTCACACAGATTTGGAGGAATTTAAAGTTTTTCAACTTTAAACTCCCCCATCAAAAGTATAAGTAATAAAAGTAAATGTACACTTGTTTCATTTTTTTCTCCTTGAAAGAGATGGAGAAATTTGCTTGTTTTTTTTTTTACTTTAACAAAAAGGGCTACGACAGTAGAGTTTTGTTGTGGAATAGTTGATGGTTACTGCACCTGCTTAAAGATTTTGGCTCCCTCGTTTGGTCTGTGTCGTGGGATGGTGGCCAATGGGTCTTTTTGTACATGATATGTCTCCAAATTAAAAATTAAAATATAAAATTTTGTGTGTACAAATGTGTGTATGTTTTTTTTTCATACTATTATGATGTAAATATGCTATAAAAAAATTATTTCGAAAAATATTTTAAGTGATAAAAAATTTTATCACTCTTTTACATGAGACTTGGATTCTCCCCAAGATAATAATTTAATCATGCCAATGATCTAAAATTATCACTGCATCAAAATTTCAAATTACAATCAAATACAATAATTTTATTAATGTAAATAAATCACTTGGAAATTTTAAACATAATCATCTATTTCAAAATCCATTAATTAGTGTTCATACGCTGTAATTAACAAAAAAAGTAAGCAAATTTCATCCAAAATTATTAGAGGTACTAAAAATTTTCCTTTTAATGCAAACATAATGTTGGATAGCTCTTCCATGGCTTAAATTTAAAATCTAAATTATTGGACTAGATATTTTCAACTACTCGATGAGTTATACCGACTTACGAAACATTCTAAAGGAAACCCATTGAAAATTTTCCACTTTGCATACTTCTATTATTGTCCTCAATTGTGAAAAGACTTGCCAAATAGAGTAAGACTCGGTATAATTCAGTAGGATGATAATGTTATTATTAGAAACTTTGCTCATTGTCCCCATTTCACCATTTTTTTCAACCAATGTTCAAAAAAAAAGTGAAAAAACTTTTTTACCATTATATCCATCATGCTTTTTTTTTTTTTTTCTGGTTGAAAACTATTACATATCAAAATAATTAACATCACTAGCTCGAAACATTTTATTTTTCATAATTTAAAAATATAATGTAAACAAAATAATGATTTTTTTTTAATAAAAGAATATTACTTATGATTTATAAGTATTACTCACAATATCAATTGTTTAATTATTTATATATATTTATATGTTAATATATTTATAATTGTAAAATTCAATGAGGGATGTAGCATATAAAATTTTTTTCATGTATATTAAAAACATTAATTTATATATATAAACTCCATAATCTCTTGGAGTTTAAAATTTTCATCTCAGTGTATAAATATGAATTATAAATTTACAACATATTTTTTTTACAGTAAAAATATAAATACATTTTTACACACCATGTTAATTTTTTAAAATTTTAATATTAAAAAGATGATATATGTATTTTTTATTATATTAATATTTTTAATAAATATGTATTATATTTTTAATTTTATTTGTAAAATTTAAAATTTTCATTAATAATAAATGAAATATTTTTTTATAAAAATATAGCGAACACATTTTCTTTAATTAAAATTTAATACACTTCATAAGAATATATTTTACGTAAAAAAGCAAAAGACAGAAAAGATCACACGCTCTCTGTTAATAGCATAGATACGACCTACAAAGCCTAGGACAAAACAAGCGCGTGAACACACCCACAGCCGCAGAAAGAGCCGTTCTGAGCTTTGTGACACTGTCGTTTGGTCCAACTAGGCGCATTACGCACCCCTAACTTTAAGCTCCACCTCCCTGTGTACCTTACGCACTACGCGCTTTTTAATCTCGTTACGCTAACATACGCTCTCTCATCTGGGTTAGACGGTGAGTGCCTTTCGAGTAATGAAATGAACTGAAAACTGAGTCTCTCTCATTTTTGTTTTCTATTTTTTGACTTTTTAAGTGTTCTATATTTATATAATAATTTAATAATATTTTAAAACTTTTTTATAGTAATTTTTGTGTCATTGCTTCGCTTTTTTTTAATTTTTTCTCTGGAACGGTTTCTCAGAACAGTAGATCGCGAATTTTCTCTATTTTTTCTTCTAATTTCATTTCAGTTACAAAATTCCGAAAATTCTTTCAAAAAGGAACGTCAAATCCGTTAAATTTTATCTAGTTCAAATCTCTTTCTCCCTTTTCCTTCTAATTAGAAGCCGCCATTTACTGCGTAGTCTGAGGAGATTGAAACAAAATCACAAAATTCAAAATCCTTCGCATTTTCGAAAATTATCTCCGTTTTTTTTTTGGGGGGGGTGGATTTCGACGCAAGGAATCGAATGTCCATTTTCCAAACAGCGATGAAATGAAATATTTGGAGATTTCGGAACCTATTTTCATCTCCAACTCTTGTTTTTAAAACAGTTGAGAGTGATGGGCTGCGTCTACTCGAGAGCTTGCATCGGCGAGATTTGCGTGCCGAGAGATGCAAGAATCAAAGAACCGCAAAGCGCAAGACCAAACGCGGCAGAGATTGCCGTTTTCTCGCCCGCATCTTCAAACGAAGACGAAGAAAACAGAGACCAAATCCACTCTCAGTTAAGCTTGAACCGAGCCGGTGACCCGGAGCTTGGCATCACCCGCCTCTCTAGGGTTTCGGCGCAGTTCCTTCCACCGGACGGCTCCCGAAACGTTAACGTTCCGTCAGGCAATTACGAGCTTAAGTATTCTTACTTATCTCAGAGAGGTTATTATCCAGATGCTCTAGATAAAGCTAATCAAGACAGTTTTTGTGTCCACACTCCGTTTGGAACAAATCCCGATGATCATTTCTTCGGCGTTTTCGATGGCCACGGTGAATTCGGAGCTCAATGTTCGCAATTTGTGAAAAGAAAATTATGCGAAAATTTATTAAGAAATAATAAATTCCACGTTGACGCCATCGAAGCTTGCCATGCCGCGTATTTGACGACGAACACACAGCTACACGCCGATAACTTGGATGATAGCATGAGCGGAACGACGGCTATAACGGTTTTAGTTCGTGGTCGGACGATATACGTGGCGAATTCTGGTGATTCAAGAGCGGTTATAGCGGAAAAAAGAGGGAAAGAAATCGTAGCCGTTGATTTGTCGATTGATCAGACGCCGTTTCGAGTTGATGAGCTGGAGAGAGTGAAGCTCTGTGGAGCGAGAGTGCTTACATTGGATCAAATTGAAGGGTTGAAGAATCCGGATGTGCAGTGTTGGGGAACGGAGGAAGGCGATGATGGTGATCCTCCGAGGCTTTGGGTGCCGAATGGGATGTATCCTGGAACGGCTTTTACGAGGAGTATTGGGGACTCGATTGCTGAGACAATTGGTGTTGTGGCGAATCCGGAGATAGTTGTGTTGGAGCTTACTGAAGATCATCCTTTCTTTGTGCTTGCTAGTGATGGGGTTTTCGAGTTCCTTTCTAGTCAAACTGTGGTTGATATGGTACGTTAAGGAATCATTTGAATATATGAAATGCTAATTATTAGTAAATAAACTGAAGCTTAGTTGTTGCTGTGATTACATGTTTGGGTACTAGTTATATTGTTGGTAGATTACTTGATATTCGGTTGAACTGGGATGACTACTTAGGAGCTGTCATTCTGTAGATACAGTTTAGATACGAGAAATTTGTATTCATTGATTATACAAATCAGGAAAACACTTTACTGAAGTACACTCCTTGAATTTCTGTTTGTAAAAGGTTTGATTCTTTCTTATCTTTTGTCACTTGTATGTCTATATATACATAATGGTATTTCTTAATTATTTTCATCATCTTTCTATGTAGATTGTTTTATCTGTTCTTATCCTTAGATGTACAATTTGCTGCCAAATTTTAAAATTTCCATATTCTTTTCTTTCTTTATCAGTAATTGTCTTTAATATTTTCAGGTTGCAAAATACAATGATCCTCGTGATGCTTGTGCTGCAATTGTAGCTGAATCTTATCGACTTTGGCTTCAGTATGAAACTCGTACTGATGATATTACTGTCATTGTTGTGCATATTAATGGACTAGTTAGTGTAAGTGAGCAAGCTTTTTGCAACAGATGCATTTCTTGTCTTTTCATTGTTATTTACTTCTCATTGGTTTTTCCCCTTAGGCTGATGGTGAATCAGCTAAACCTTCTACTATTTTACGGCCTCCTGTTCCTCAAGTGTTAGAGGGGACAGGATCAGAATCTCCTTCAACCTTTAGCTGGAGCTCTAGGAACCACCGAGCAAGGCATGACTTATCACGGGCTCGTCTTCGTGCTATTGAGAGTTCATTGGAGAATGGACAAGTTTGGGTTCCACCACCTCCAGCTCACAGGAAAACTTGGGAAGAAGAAGTAAGCCTTCTATTATATTCTATTAGTTTTAGATACATTAAAGGGTTTCCTCTCATGACCATGCTAAGCTGTTCTGTATTTATGTCTTACAGGCACATATAGAGCGGGCATTACATGACCATTTCCTCTTCAGAAAACTAACTGATATGCAGTGTCATGTTTTATTGGATTGCATGCAAAGAGTTGAGGTTCAACCAGGGGATATTGTGGTTAAACAGGTTAGTTATTCAATTTGCACCTTAATTTCACTTATTGCTACTATATCATGTAACTCTGATGTTCTCTAACTGCATGAGCAAATGTCTGGAAACGATTTTACTGCTTCATTGCTGTCCTATAATTTATTAATAACGCAAGCAAAGATGCCACTGTGGTAGTGATGAGTAGCATATTTAATGCTTGAAGCACTTGCCAGCAGTAAATGCCATGAATAAGGTACTGATAGTCAAAATTATTAGGTGTTTAAGGTCAAGGATTTGCTTCCTGCACATAAGAATGCTTTCTGGGTGCCAGTTTTGGTTTGAAATTGAGGTTTTCTTTCACAAAGCTGAACCCTGGTTCAACTACCTTGGCTTCACATGCAAGGAATGAAGGAGCTGATGTAAAATACAAGTTGGAGATGGAGATTTGACATTGTTAAATAGAAGTTAGGAGTTAGGACCCTCCCTAATTCTTGTTATATTTTGCAGGGTGGTGAAGGTGACTGCTTCTATGTTGTTGGAAGTGGAGAATTCGAGGTCTTCGCAACCCAGGTTTGCTTGTTTTGATCCTTATATATATATATATTTATTTATTTTACATGTTATTTATGTTAAACCTTTCAAAGCTCTTGAGGACCCAAGCTTGTTTTATGAGATTTAAACTTACTTTTCAGTTCAAATGTGTACGTTACTTGTTGTGGCTCGAAGCTCAATCTATTCATGTTCTAATTCTCTGTTATCACTTTTATGTGTTATTGATGAGTTCTTAGTTCATATATAATTGTTTATTTTCTGTGAGATTTAAGTTTTTCACCAGAAACTATACTGGCAGGAAGATAAAAATGGAGAGGTGCCTAGGGTTTTGCAGCGGTATACGGCTGAGAAGTTATCATCATTTGGGGAGCTGGCACTGATGTATGTGTTGTTCTTTTTTCTTTCTCATCTCATAGTAAATAAAGAACTCTTTAATTCTATTTTTTGAAGTTGACAATTTGTTTTGCTTAGTGAAAATTGAAATGCACATTTAAAAATCTGGTAGAGAATTGATGCTGAGTAGGAAACTAAAATTAGAGTACATGTTACTGCCATTTATATGGAGTAGTAACAAAGCACTAATTTTCTAAATTTTCTTAATGCCAATCATTCTCTATTTTGGTGAATATTTAGATTTTCTTAGATACTTGTGAAATCTGTTGGTTTCTTGAGAGTCAGGATATTTTACCGCTCTTTCTGCCTAAAAATGTGGTACAACTTTCCCTGATAATGTTGTTCTGTTGCTATACAGGTACAATAAGCCTCTCCAGGCCTCTGTGCGTGCTGTGACAAGTGGAACTCTTTGGGCCCTAAAACGAGAAGATTTTCGTGGAATTTTGATGTCTGAGTTTTCTAATTTGTCATCCTTGAAGTTGCTTCGCTCTGTAGATCTTCTATCGAGGTTGACAATCTTACAGCTGAGTCATGTTGCAGAGTCTCTTTCTGAAGTTTCCTTCGCCAATGGGCAGGCCATAGTTAACAGGGTAGATGTTTCTCGTTCCTATATCATTTTTCCCTTTCTCTGTATTATTTTTTTGTAGTGTACACTTTTTGGTTCGCATTCTTGCATCTTATATTTCTCTTGCATATCTGCAGAATGAAGGCCTCTCTGCATTGTACGTTATCCAGAAGGGCCAAGTGAGGATTACTTTTGGTATGGATTTGTTAAGCAATCCTAATGTCCACAGTCTCAAGTCTGATAACCCCAAAGAGGATGATGATCGACAAACCAGCAAAGAATTGTCTGTTGAAAAGACAGAAGGGAGCTATTTTGGGGAATGGGCCCTTCTTGGTGAAGAGATGGGTTCCTTAAGTGCAGTTGCTGTGGGTGATGTCACGTGTGCTATTTTGACGAAGGAGAAGTTTGATTCAGTCGTTGGTCCTTTGACAAAGCTTTCCCAGGATGATCAGAGGTATGTCTTTGTCTCATGCGCTCAAAGTTGCATCCCTTTTTTCCTCCTTTTTTTTTTCTTGTTAGGATGTGTTCCATTTTATATTTCACATCATCCTTCCATTTTAGATTCTGTATGTAAGCTTTTAGACTTCTCTACCTGGAAAATAATGGATTTTTTTAATTCTTTTTGTTCTTGTTTGAATGTTTAATTCTATCATTGAGAATGATATTGTTGTTTTTGTTGCCATTTTGGACTAGAGAATATTCTCCAGATGTGCACAAAGATTCTGTCAAGGAAATTGATATTTCAGCTTTTGCTAAAGTTAGCCTCTCTCAATTGGTTAGAAATGCTTAGTTCTGCCTCTTCCTTGTTAATATTTGCAAAATGTTATCAGCAAGAGACCTATCTCTGAAACTCAGCTAATGTCATATGCAGGAGTGGAGAACATGTTTATATTCCACTGACTGTAGTGAGATTGGGCTTGTACTTCTAAGAGACTCAGGTTGGTTCTTTCTTGTATGTCTCTGTATTTATTTTTACTCAGCAATGGTAATTTTAAGATTTGCCTTTCCCTTCTATAACAAATATAGGTATAAACGTTAATTGACATGTGATATTTAAACTGCTTTGCATGCTAAAATGAAGAAACAGGTTTAGGCATGTCAGGTGCAATATGAGATTTTAGGGAAATAAGCCTGTTAGGTGCTATGTGGTGATTTTAAGGGAAGTTTGTCATGGATCAAAAACTGATGAAATATTCCTTTGTGCAAAATTGATTGTTTACCAGAAATTTTGCTTAGTTTGAAGAGGTTTTCAAAGCAGAAGGTCAGAAAACTAGGAAAAGCAGCACAAGTTTTAAAGGAGAAGGAACTGATGAAGAGTATGAGTTCTGCAGCTTGTGTGCCAAAGGTGCTGTGCACTTGTGCTGATCAAGTGTATGCTGGAATTTTATTGAATACATGCCTTGCCTGCCCTTTGGCTTCAATACTTCACACCCCTCTAGATGAACAATCGGCACGGTTCTGTGCTGCCTCTGTTGTTACTGCCTTAGAAGATCTACATGAGGTCAGATTTCTACAAGCAGTCATTTTCTTACACTTCATTTCCTCAATTCTTTATGCATCTGTTATTTATTATAGTTTGTCTTTTTCAACATCCATATTTCATTTTGAATTTCAGAATGGTGTCCTTTACAGAGGTGTATCTCCAGATGTTATAATGTTGGACAAAACAGGCCATTTACAGGTTGGTGCCATTATTTGTTGAATTTTACATTTTGTTTACATGTATATTTAAACTGATATTATTTTATATATGATCAAAAGTTTCCCCTCTTTTTACTCATGAAGGGTGCCTAATCACATGATCTAAGCTTAATTATTTTGTTTTGTTATGCTGCTTTATAGCTAGTCGACTTCAGATTTGGGAAGAAGTTATCTAGTGAGAGAACATTTACAATTTGCGGAATGGCAGACTCTTTAGCACCAGAGGTGGTTCAGGGAAAGGGCCATGGTCTTCCTGCTGACTGGTAAAATGCATCCTATTCTCCTTTCTTCTGTTTTGTCATAAACCTTGTCATGCTTTATTTAGCATTTAAAGGAACACAATTGAATAATTTGAAATTGCAACATTGCTAGCTTGCTAAAGAACCTGACCATTAGTGTTTTCTTAGCGCATTAGAAATGTGTTAACACCAAGGGAATGTTTTTGTTGGCTTACTGAAGGACATGATATTTTGGTGAGGCGGTGGGTCTTAATTTACTATTTCTTACCAATGGGGTTAAATACTAAAATGTTCTGTGCAGTTTAATGCATCCTTCTTCCTCTCTGCCCTCTTCTATGGCATTATGTCTTTCCAACTGTTTAACTTGCAGGTGGGCACTGGGAGTCCTGATCTATTTCTTGCTGCAAGGTGAAATGCCATTTGGATCATGGAGAGAAAGCGAGCTTGATACATTTGCAAAGATTGCAAAAGGACAGTTTATTCTTTCGCAAAATTTAAGCCCTGAAGCAGTTGATCTAATCACTAAGGTTTCTCTATTACCATTACTTCTTAAATACCTCATTAAAACCATAGAATCCCTCACATGTTTGCATTAAAATAACTTTTCAGTTACTTGAAGTTGATGAAAATATAAGACTGGGATTCCATGGTTCCACTTCTGTGAAAAGTCATCCATGGTTTGACGGTGTTGACTGGAAAGGGATCAAAGATTGGAGTTTTCCTGTTCCTCACGAGTTAACTTCCCGTATAGCTCAACATTTGGAAATACATTCTGATGATTGCCCTGTTGCTGTTAGTTCCCCAGCTCAAGATATAGCAGGGCTCAATGTTCCGGAGTGGCTTGATGAATGGTAGAAGAATGATCTATATGGTTTTCCATCATTCTACTTTTTGCCAATGGTTTGGTAGTGGAGTTCCATTCCACGTGGTAAGATTGACTACTGGATTATCGGAAACTGGACAGAGAAATCATTGCAGGCATTAGATTGCTCATAATTCTGTGATTTTTTTGATGCCATTAATTCATAGTAGCATTGGAAGAAACACCTCAATTAGGTGATTGTGCTGTGTTGCCAAATTAGCGATCTAACCAATTCAGTGGATAGCTCAGTTGATAGGTTTTTGAATTTTAAAATCTTCAATTTTTTACATATTTCCCACTTTTGTAAATATGTAAATGAGGGCTCCCTGTGATTCAAGATTTCCACCTTTCTTGCCAGTGGCAGTCGATAGTTAATTGATTGGCTTTGGCCGTTTGGGTCATCATAGATGTATGGCACGTTATGATATGTTATTTGATATAAAGTGGGGATTGTTTTGCATGAAACAACTGGATTTCAAATAAATAAACATCAATGGTGGAATACCTTTGCAAGCAATATGAATTAGAGAGGTCAATCATACAGCAGAGATGCAGTATCTATGGTGTTCAAATGACCCACTGCCTCGAATATTTTCAAACGAGCAGTGATGCGCTCAGGTTGGTTTGGTATCTGAGTGGCTTCATCTGGTCAAGGAGTTATGGACAAAGAAAAACAGATAAGCTGGTTTAGTTTGGTACTAAATGTGATTGATTTTATTATATCAAGTGGTAGAGAAAAATGTGCCATTGAAATAAATAGCATGGAACCTTCAAAGATGCCATAGATTCAGCAAAGCAGGACAAGGAGGGAGTCAACTCTTACTGCTGCAGATCAAGTGTTTTTTAAGTAGATACTAGCTCTTGAGCCAGCGATTTAGACAGGCAAACAATACCAAAAAAGGGGCTGAATCTGAGAAGACGCCGCCAATATAGATTTTTTTTTTTGGTGGGATTATGCCAATTGACCCAAAGAAAGATGACCGCTGATTGGCAGTGAAATTACATTGTATTTTTAAAGTGAAATGAAACTATATTGTTATATAAATAAAGGACAAATATGCGGCCATTGTTGCAAGTTGACTATGAAAGCTTAAAATATTTTGCGTAGTTTTTTCCTCTTTTTTAGATGTGGGGTGGGGGGGGGGGGGGGGGGGCGTTATGTTAATACTGTAATAGCCCAAGAATTGAACTAGTATTTTGTGCCATATGTCCCCAAATTACTAGGAATCACAACTGTTTGATGTATGGTGAGGCTGAAAATTGTACTGTATTTTGAGGTAACTTAACCTTTTGAAATTTCATTATTTTTTTGGGATGTTACTTGAACAAAAGAAGTGGTATCATTGGCAGATTTGATTCTCAAATCCAGCTTCCTTGGTTCTGCAAATGAGGAAACCTTAAAAAAATTAACATGCTTAATTCAGAAAACCAGGTTGGCGAGCAGGCTGCTTGTGCTTATCTTCCATTAATTATAATGCAGAAAATTGTATTCTTTTTCAAATATTAGCGGATAAGAAAACATCAAACATAGCAGAAGATGAAGTAAGAAGGTAGCTTTTTGGTTGCTGTTGCTTATGTAGCAAAATACAATAATAAAATGGAATGGATAAATAAATATACCTGTCACTTACTATATATGGCTTTGGACATGTCTTTTACAGAAACAAAATCCTTAAGAAAAAAAACAAAATAAACAGACTGAAATTGGTGTTAAATAACGGAAAATAATCAAAGGAAATGTGTAGCTCTGCCTATTGAAATTATGCGTAAAATGCAATTATCTACATGAAATTTTCTACTTCAATCAACAGATTCAAACATCTAAATGTTGTGTTTTATCCTGAGATTGTTGAGACCTTTCTTCTTTATTGGCAAACCATTGGACTGTTCTCCTAGCAATTGGCAACCAAAGCCGCCTTATTCTTTCCTCCTTTGTGTAGGTTTCAGACAATGAAGATTCACTTTTTCTGTTTCTTGTACTGACATATCTAAACCTCGATAAAGCAGTGATCTCAGACATTGATCTTTTCTCAGTTTGATTAACAATCCTTGATGTATGAGTCAAAGTGGTTGCAGAATTTGATGTTGAAGGAAGACCAGCAGCTGAAACTGGGTTGGTTTTGTTAATTGAACTAACTTTGCTCTCAAACAATCTCTTTATCTCCAATTCCTTATTAATCTTCATAACTTGCTCGTTTTCAATTGGTCTGGTTTTTGTAAACTTCTCATCATTTATTTCCAGGGAAGAAAATCTGTTGCTCGACATATCATTAAGCATCTCAGAATTCAAGAACATCAGGTCTGAAGAACTAACACTGCTCCACCGGTTCTTCAAAACTAAATCAGATACAATGATCTTGTGATTGAACTTATGGAAGCCCTTCCCATCATCATCATCGTCAGCTTCTTCTTCTTGAATTAGAACTTCACTTTCGATCTTGCCCTTTTCAGTTTTCCGGAAACTGCTTCCAATGCTGAATCTTGGTGAGCCATGATTCTCTTGCTCTCTCTGGACATAGAGCTCTATGTTTGAATCCGCTCTTAGTTCAGATTGACTCGTTGACAACCGCATGCTATTTGAGTATGCAAAGATTGTTGGGTCCTCAGCGTTGATCTTCTGTCTGCAAAGTGGGCAGCTCGAGTGCTTCTCTAGCCACTGATCAATACAATCAATGTGAAAGGCATGTTTGCACTTAGGCAGCAACCTTAGAATTTCAGTATCTTCAAACTTTGATAGACAGACTGAACATTCAAGCCCTTGTTTTGATCCTTTAAGGGAAGAGAATTTAAAGAACGGAAGTGATTCTATAACTTTCTTGTCAATTCCAGAGAACCGAGAGCTTGTTCGATGCAGTATTCCAAGGTGATGATCACCATGAACTGTTGCCCCCCTGTGAAAGAATTTGGCATAGACAAGCAGGAAAAGTGTTAAACCAAACATGACACAGAGAATACCTATGACAACCGCAGGGCTTGGTTGGAAATTTGAAGCAGCATCTCCTGAAGTTGCATCATTCCCACTAGACGGTTGTGCATCGACAAGGAAAAGCAGGAAAAAAAGGACTAAACTAATCACCCTTAATCGATTCATTGGAGGATTTGTATCTCAAAATTCCAGGAATTCTAATGCTTTACTGCTGGTATTTCACCTGGAAAATGTAAAATTTTCCCAGCAGAACTTTTAATAGTCCATGTGGGGGTAGTTTGATATGGGTTTGTTATGCATGGTCCTGACTAACATGTCACTCCCCCAAAAGGGTATCCTTCTTGTTTGTCAGTTTGCTTTCTTTCTTTTTAGGCTGTATTTGCAGCCCATATTTTATATTGCAATGGAGGTTTTTAATTGTGAAAATTTCAGAAGTGATGACATGGTGGAGTGGCTTTTGATAAAATACAAATTTTGGCCTCTAACCTGGTGGGCTTAAATTTCTTGTATAGCAATACAAAAAAAAAATATGATGTCATCCATGATAACAAACTAAAAAAGTTTTGTTTTCCATTACATTACATGTTTTCTAACTATATAAAAACATCATTGCGAAACTTGCAACAGGTAATGCATTTAACATTTTTAGTGAAAGCAGAGATCCAATTGAGGATGAGAAAATCTTCTCAGATCAAACTGTGTGCCTTATCATGAAACCAAATAAATTTTCATCAGATAAAACTGTTTGATATTCCCTTCGCTTCTATAACACGAGGAAATATTCACTTTATTTTCTCAAAAAGAAAAGGTTTATCCTTCCTTGTTGGCTGTGAAAGGAATATCAAAGATCCAACCGAGTCTACTTTTGACATCAAGGAATATCAAGGCCTGCCAAGGGGTTGCGTCTAGTCTACTCTGCTTTAAGTTAGGTTGTTTTAGGTGAGCCCATTAACTGATATAGCCAGCTAAAAGACTCAGAAATCCATTATCAAAATTTTCGTCTAATATATAAACACCAAGTCAAATGGGAGAAATTCTTGGAAAGTCATGGTTGTATCCTACTAATCTTCATTAAACCAACCTAGAATCAGACAAGCCAACCTTTCTGATTGATTTTTAAAAAAAAAATCACTGTCTAAACATGCATGAACTTTATATAATTTATATACGTTTACTAAATTTGGTCTTCTTTAAAAAGAATATAATATTACATTATGTATGCATGCACATGTATATATAAAAATGTAAAGGAGCAATAAAATATAGGTTGTTTTTAGTGAGGCTGTGATGTTTACTTGGAGTCATGACATAAGAAAAGGAAACTTGAAGAAATCCATCTGCTTCTCCAACTAGGAACTTAATTTCTGTTTCTATTATTGCTTAAAAGCACTGGATGATGACAAGAATACGATTACCAGTTGGCTTTGAAGAACCACACCCTGTCTGTCAATCTGAAAATGAATTCTATGAAACAGTTTATGCTGAGATGAGATAATAGTAAAAAAAATATAAAATCCTATCTCTTAGGCAGTAGGCTCCAACCTAATGGTTGTATGCCATAAAACTTGGCTGCAATGTGAAAAGTTTCTAAGGTATAATGCATTTAATTTCCAAAGTCACGACTTCTTCACTTTAATGACTGCTCAAGATTGATAAGGTGTGAAAGGATAATATGAAGCTGGTGAATGATGAATCCAATCAGATTATAGCCCTACCGAACCCTTTAAATAACCATGAACTCCTCATTCTGCCAACTGACAGCATACATGTTTAGCATTCAAAAGTAGTATCATAAAAACCTAAGACATCCATATATACCATAGTGGTTGAGAAATTTCCTTTTCTGCGGTATGAGAGAGCATGTCAGAATCTCAAGCTTAAACTGCTGGCAAATAAAATACAACAAAAAGAAAATGCTTTTCTCAAGGAACTGCTACTACAGAAGTAAAATGGTTTAAACATTGCTATTTGACAAAGAAAAGATGCTAGAAATTATTACATACAAATGCAGTATTTAACTGCAGCAACTAATACAACCGGAAGGGAAACAAATAACTAAATTCAGTGAGTAAAGGACCCTCACTAGTGTATTCAAGGCCATAGCAAAGTCATACTTGAGACATGTATGTTATGGGGCTGAAGAAAGATTTTACACTTCAGCTCTGAGCAGAGGCAGCAGGATTGGTACTAGGAAATGTTGCCAAACCATTGTTATTATCTGGATTATCTGGATTGGTGCACTCTGCACTGGCATGCCGAACAAACTCTTCAGGGGACATGTGGGTACCATGACAAGCACAAACAATCTTTACCTGATTTGCACTGAATCTGTAAGTAACGCCAGAAATAGTTCTACCGTGTGGGCCAGTTCCTGTTGTTGAAACCCATGGTAAATTTGGATAAGAACCAGATCCCCCAAATTTCAGGTCTGCAGCAATACCAGGTTTTATGGCTGAAAAATCATGAGGTAGGCCTTCTGCTGTTGGTCGATCAGATGCAGCATTTGCTCTGAGATTCACGCTGCTTCCTTTTACATCTTCCTCTGCCTGAGTAGAGAAGCCTTCCTCTGTGGCATGCTGTTTACCTTCACCTTTGACTCGTTCGAATGTCCTGCCATCATATTTTGCAGCCTCAGAGGAATTGAGTGCAATTGTATGCGTGGAAGCTACATTGAACAAAGGGAAAGTTCATTAACAACTATTGGCCTTGATGATAATAACATGAAAGTAAAATAGTATTCCTAATTAACAAGTGATCAACTGATTATTAATGCTAGAGGTCAAAATAACATACATATAAAAAATTTGAAAATCATTGGCAGCATGAATCTGAAAAGATAAATACTTGGAATTCAATGCTGAAATAAGTATAATATAAAAATTCCTTCAAGGTTCTTTGTACTAGGTTATACCAAGACAGACGGACAGTAGCTCAGTTTGCTTTTGCTTCAAGAATATTCAACAGCACTTATTAATCTTGATTTCTTATCCGGGCAAGAAAGTTTCAGGATGCACAAACTATATATCATTCTTTTAATATAAATCAAGATCACGATAGATCAGAGCTCTCCATAAAGAGTAGAAGAAACAGATAGTAGCATATTTACAGATCATACCATCCATTAAACCCATTAATTGCCCCTTCCTTAATTCTTTTCTTCAAGCACAGGGAGAAAGAGATACCTTGTGATATTTTCAATCCATCACCGTGCTTATCTGGATTAGGTAGACCTCTGCCAGCATATGATGGGTGGACCTCTGGAGGGAGAGAGACCATTCCCCATGGATTATCCTTATCCAACAGTGGAAGTTGGACAGTTGAGTAACCAAACATAACTGGCAAGTTTCCAGGATTCACAGGCTGGACCCCAGACCGTTCACTATTTCCAGTAGGCATAATCTGTATCATGCCAGGTAGTATGTGACCTGATGAACTGGGGGTTCCAACAGAGTTGGAATCCTTCATAGTTAATGAGAAAGGTACATTCATGACAGTTACGGATTGAACTGGGAATGGGTTGCTATAAGTCAAGTTTCCAAGCTTAACCTCGTTAGGCACCTCAGAAGAACCGCTAACTCCAATAAATCGCTTGGCCCCATCATCATGGCGTGAAACCAACCTTGAGGTCAAACCCTCAACTTCAGACTCTGCCACGTCTTCATTTTCAGCAGTGGAGCCATCTTCTGTTGTTATGGACATATGTGATGTTTTGGGCTTTTCATGAAAATCAGTATGATGAGCATCTCTTTCAAGCTTCTTTGGATTGTTCATCTCATCAAACAACACCTTACGTTTACTACCAACTTCTGACCACTTGTCTTCTTCGATTTCAGCAGACCTTTTACTGTTTGTATCCCAGAGACCTCTACCATTCAAGTTCGCAGAAGCTTCTGCATCACCAGCAGCCTTGGAAAGATCGTTAAAGATGTTTTCTGAAGGTTTCACTGGATCAATTCTCTGAGAACCCACAATGGGGTCCTGTTTCTGGCTTCCAGCTTGAAGAAAGTTTTTAAAGTCATCCACTATTTTGATGCCTCTATCGCCTTCTTCTGCCCCAGTATCTGAAGAGCTACTAATTTTGCCTTTGGATTTGGCAGATGATGCACCACAAGAAAGACCCAAGCTAAGCTCAAGGCCATTATCATCCTCCATTCTATTGATTCACAGTATATTCCTGTGGTTCAAGTATAACCTCTGCTAATCCTCTCTACAGACCATCCATCATAAAATATGTAATACAACCTCAACTCATGCTATAACCATCTTAAACTTAAATGCCTGCATTAAAGTCACATTTATCAGGGGAAATACAAGAAGGAGAAAAAAAAAAAAATTAGTTCCAAATAATATTACCACATATACAAATCTTAAAAATCAAACAAAAATCATTAATCTTTGGAGATGGCCTCCAAAAAGAGGAACTTTAGGCTCAATCCGAATTCAATCTACCAGAATTTAACAAAACCATTTTCATATTAGTCTTACCAATCTCTAATGTTAGAAAAAATGGTTAAAGGAAATCAATGGAGAAACACAAAAACAAGAATATTATGGAAGCCAAAGGCTACCGAAAGGATGCTGTGATCAACTAGTAAATCATCACATAGATTTACAGAATTCTGACTACTCTAAAGTCTACACTTACCAAAAACTTGAAGAAAGCAGTACAAAAGATTACTCTTCAGAAACCGAAATAGGTGACTACATAAAACAACAAATAGAACTGTTACTCCAAAAATATCCATATGATCCAAGTGCAACAACAAGGCTCCACTTATTCGCCAAGTAAAGCTAAGAAAAAAAAATAAATTTAAAAAAAATAGAATTCTCCGTGATAATAGTCCTGAAGGAAGTACAAAACTTAACTAATTAAGCTAAAAAGTTTTTTTTTTTTTTTTGAGAGGAAGGAGATGGGTCAAAAGAAAAGAGCATGAGACCAAGAATCCTGTATTTATTTATTTTCCATATTCATTTATCAGCATAAAAAGGTCAATCCAGATCCATTCTTAACCAAAATCAAGGAAATCAAAATTTAAAAAAAAAAATGAGCATATTAAGAAAATAAAATCAAACCCAGAATCAGTTTGGACTAAAATTCATAATTAGATCCAAACAAAACCAGAAACCCATTTTCAATAATCAATAAATTTCATCAAAACACTCCACAGATTCAACAAAAAAATTAAAAAAAAAAAAAACTGCAGAAAACACAACACTTAAGAACCATATATATGAACAGTAACATAGAGAGAAGAGAGAAGGAGGAAGTTACCTGAATGAAGACAGAGAAGATCAAAAGAACCAAAGCCAAGGTTGTCTCTGCACATCACAAGCATAGGTAAACGAGAGCAGAACACTGAAAAATGGCAGTAAATGTTCTAAATTACCTGCTATGTGATAATCGTGTGTGTGTGTATATATATATATATATATTCGTATTGCCGCTATCATACCATACATATTTTATTCTTTTATCCCATGTCCAAAATCTTTTAGCTAATTTCCACTTTTGCCCCATCCTCTTGTCTTTGATTTCACTTTTGTCCTCCAGGCCCAGTTCATGTCAAAAAATGTTTCAGATTTACTTTGTTGTTTAAGATACACTGGACTAACTGGATCATTGTTGATTGTTTAACTAATTAAATCCCAATCTTAGATTATCTAAGCACTACTTGTAGTAGGTTTTTTTTTTTTTTTAATTACTAAATTATATCCTAATCTTACATCATGTGAATCAGGATTCGGTCTCTCTCTCTCTCTCTTTTTTTTTTTTGTCATCTTTCTCTGTATAGTTTCAGTCCATACTCTTTTTTAATGCACATGAAGCAATATAAGAGGAAAAGAGGAGAGTTAACTTATGTTCATTTGTTCTGGTCTATCTTTACAAAGATTTATAAAGAATTTATGAGTTACTAACTCCAAACAGCATTGAATTGAGTGCAAAAATCTAAGCCTTGTAAGACTTTCCCATTAAGGGGAACTAGTCCTCAGCAACCAATCAGGGGTTAGTAGAATTTAAAAGGGAAAAAAAATACCCATTATCCATTATGCTAAGCTGTGTAGTTAATAGAATTTAAGTGCTAGATTGAATCAATATGTTACTGATAAAGAAGCATGCAAAATCAGATTTACTAACTAGATCAGAAACAAGACAATCTTGTGACAGAGATGCACATTATTTGTTATCTAGAGCGGGAAATAGAACATGAGCAATTTCTTGTTTTTCACAAATGATTTGTGCTAACCAAGAGTAATAAGATAGACATTTCAGCCTATATTATTAATGTTGTTGCTGCAGATTAATTACACAAGAGGATAGGCCAGTAACTGAAATGTATCATAAACAAACTTACAACAAGCATCAAACTATGAAAATAATAATAGTTAGTTTAATTGATATATAGAAATTCCAGAAAGGGTATTCCCCTTTACCATCTTTCCCCTTAATATTTCCAACATACTTTATATAAAATAAAATACTCCAGGCATGATGCCTTGCCTCTTCCTAATCCTAATATACCAAGAAACTAGTGTATATAATCAACTCTAGTTCAGCCTTCTCCTCTTAATATTGCTTCAAACGCTTGCAACTTCCTAATCCTAATATACCAAAAACCAGCACATATAATCAAAACCTGATACAAGACTGTTAGCATCTCAGCTCAACGTCATTTCTATTTCAGCCTTCTCCTCTTAATTGCTTCAAACACTTCCAATCTTCTTGAAGTGATCACAAAGCAAAGATCATCTGTTTGAAGGTTCCTAAACACCCACAATGTAACAAAATCTTGGTGTGCAAGTAAGCTATGATCATTGCAAAAGTTAATCCAACCTTCTTTGAGGACATGAAGTTTGAATGACCAAGTTATAAACGTCATTGGGTACTCTTTCCCATCTGCATCATAAACTTTCACTGGAATCCCTTCACTAGAATCCTCTTCTTCTTTCAACAATGGCATCACAGCATGTGCCACATCAATTTTGTTGATTGAAAGCCTGCATTGACTAACCTTCACATCACTTTCAGTCAGCTGCTTCTCAAATGGTTTGCTGCACCTTCCAATGAGGCCATTAAGACATGGCACTGAAGGGATATCTGGTGGAAAGTAACTGCTTAAAGGCAGGAATAAATTTGGGGTTCCAGGCAGATTTTGTGCATTGACTCTTTCTTCAGTTAGATTATCTGACTCTTTTTGCGCTTTGGGTTTGTCTCTTCTTGCTCTTATTTGACGAGCAAACTTGGTTTTCATCCCATGCAAAGCCAACGCATTTTCACTGCTTAATTTCTCATGCTTCAATGAAGCAACACAAAGAGCAGCCCAGCATATCTCCTTGTATTCTTCTGGACTCTCTATCCCTTTCAACTCCGCCATTATTCTTCCTCCTATGAAAAGGAGGTAGTTTTCTATGTAGCAAGCTTAGTCAAACATAGGATATAGGTTATAAAAAAAGTTTAAAGGCTAAAGAGCTTCTAAACTAAACAAATATATTGACTCCCGGCCTAGGGTAACCAAAGAAAACGGATTTCCCAAGAAAATTTGCTTGGGGCTCAAGTAAAAGTTATTCATCAATTGATATACTAATGATGGGTCTCAACTCTCAAAGCTTTGTGAAGGCTGAACCCATATTTTGCAAACTCTTGGCCCAATCTTGTTTAAGGCCATGATTCAATACGCTACCAGAATACTACTAGAATTTCGTGCATGTACTTTATTAAATAAAAAATTTAAAAAAGATGACTAGTTTTTTTTTTCAAGATGAAAAGATATACATATTTTTAAAGTAATGTTATTTGATTTTTTTATAATTTTTTCTAGTATAATTTAATTCGTGACATTAAATTCAGTCAAAAATTACTTTATAATAGTATAGATTTTACTTAAAACAAAAAAAAAAAAATACATGAATAATATTAAAATAGAGATTGTTTATTTTTGCTAGTAGTAGGGATAATTTTATCTTGTAGATAGTAAATTTTAATTTCTTTGACAAAAAAAAAAGTTAAAATTCAAGCTAAAAAGTTGTCGGGTACTCATATTGTCGAGACATAACCATGAATTTATGCTTTTGCACCAATAATTGGACCTTCCATTACCATCGTATTTGGCAAATGAAAAAAAAAAACATCACATCATCATTGCTTTTATTTCTGCCCAAATAATTTTTGTTTCTTAAAATTATTAACATTTTTTATTTTTCATGCCATTGTTTTTATTTCTTGACTTTTTAATTGTTTGGTTTTCATATTAAACAATATTATAGTTTTATTATGTACTAAAAATATTTATTATCCCTTTATTTTCACCCAAATTCACAAAGTTTATTTTTCAAAAGAGAAAAAAAAATTGACTTTTGCAAAAAGTTTAAGATGAAAATACTTGAAACAAACTCTTTGGTTTTTTTCCCAAACTTGTTGAGAAGTTAGAATTTGATGGTGTCTTCAAATGAAATTAGCAATGTTAATTTGCATTTTTTACCATGATAAAGTCATGATAATATAATATCTTCATTCACACCTTGAAACAGAAACCTAAAATTAACTAACAAGCCTTAATTCCTGATCAGAATTTGATGGTGCAATTTGCATGAACCAGGAACCCACAACTCTTTTTGCAAATCATGTTAAAGGTGTGATAACAAGTTTTTGAAAATAGGCCAATGCTATTGAAATTTCTTTCCTTCTTCTCTCCTCTATGTAAGAAAAATATATATATATTTATTTATTTACAAAATTAAATAAAATTTACTCGCAATATGAAGTTGAATTCTTGAACTTGATTTATTGATCTAGAATAATAATAATAATAAAGTGTGGCATTGAAGGGTACTGTACTGGCTGGGCTTTGGGCGGTGTTTCAATGACGAAGCAAAAAGCAGCATGCACGAGGAAAATGTTGACAGATAAGCTAAAGGCAAGTTGGGGTCAAAAATGGAATTTTGTCACTCCAACTCTACAAATGGATAAAGCTTTTGAAGTTTGTGGAAAAAAAATTCTTTCAATTAGAAATAATGAAGCAAAGATGTAAAGAATTGAGTCTACGCAGCTCCAATGCTTCTATCTTATCCTAATTATAACACTTTTGGAAATTATCATTTCAACAAGTTTTTTTTAAGGAGAAAATATAAAACTAATAATTAGTTCAAAGCATGTAACCAGATTTTTTCTATCAAAAAAGGAAATACAGTTATCAAAAATTGGTGCAATTGGGAGCATAAATTCTATAATATATAGATATAATAAGATTAAGAGTTTTAACAAAAATTATTAGCACTACATATAATTTTTGTCATTTATCTATTTATTTATATAAATTAGAACAATTATTTGGTCCGAATTTTATTTAATTTGATATATATGCATGATAATAATTTTTTAAAATATAATAAAATTTTTAATTTTAATAATTAAAATATAAGTTAAAATAATTTTAAATTTAAAAAAAAAAAACATCCTTATCAAATTGGTCCTCAATTAACGCATTGAAAATTGAAATTACGGGGCGGAATTGGCACCAAGTGAAGTGAGCAAAAAGTCAGGTAAGAGAATATTTTATTTGTCAATTTTGTTTTGTCATAATTAAATAACAAACAAAGGGCAAGTGGACAGTTGAGAAAAGAAAATTATTAGGCTTTTGAGCAGACATTTGACAGTGAATTTCATTCATATATTTTCATGTGCCTTTCAATTAATTAAGCAGAGAAGAAAATTACCACAAAGTGATAAGCCTCATCTTTTGGAAATTTGTATATTTTCCCCGTCAATTTTTTTAAGTTCGAGTCAAACTTACGTCTCATCAACCTCATCCCTTTCCAACCTTCGTCTAGTCGAAAACTTCAAACTATAAACTGCTTTGATTGGACTTTTTTTGGTGGGATGTATTTGTTATCTTAACCAGTAACAAATTCCAAACCAGTTGCTTATTTGGTAAAGATTCCCATATACAGGCTGCTTGCCTAAAATCAGGGTGAGATGTGTTGAATTTTGGTTCTATATGTACCAATTCTGAGCCAATAAATTTACAAGCAAAGTCAAGGCTGAACTTGGATTTTATCACGAGTAAATAGCTAAAATTGGCTATACAAAATACATAAATTGATTTAAATAATAAAACTTGTGAGTTTCAACATACAGCTACTCTTTGATTTTTTTCTGTTGTCTACTAGTATGACGACTGGATATATAAAGTCTTCCTCACATACTTTTCCTGCTTTCTTTGCTTTATAGGTAGATATTTATTTTTTTATTAAACTAGTCTTCCTTTCATCAGGTTGACACTGGAGCCTGTAAAACACTTTCTGCGAGAACCAGAGTTCTGTTAGTGCATTTCAGAGGGTGCTAACAGGGAATACAGAGAGAGGAAGGGGGGAGATATGGCTGGTGGAGGGTTTAGCGATAAAGCGAATTTGAAGAGAGCTCATCTCTATGAATACAAGATTACCAATTATTTTCTCTTTGCTTGCTTTGTTGCGGCTATGGGAGGATCCCTTTTTGGATATGATCTTGGTGTTTCTGGTGAGTTTTTTTTTTGTCTGATTCACTGTTTTTTTTTCTTCTTTTTGTCTGGATTCTGTTCATTTCATAAATATTAGCAAATGTTGAAAATTCTTTTTGCTTTGTATCTTATCTTCCAGATTTACTAATTTGATGTCCATAAAGTAGTATCACGTGCTGCAGTTTGAATAATTTTTTTCTCCGTAGTTGTGTTTAAGCAACTGTAATTCAATGTTATCATCAAGACATGATTATATTTATTTTCAGTACCAAAAAATTTTTACAGTTTTTTCATCATTTCATTTATTAACGACCATATTGATTAAACTTTTTTTTACTCAATATTGGAGAAAAGTTTTTCTCAATAAAAATAGAGAGAGAAAAGGCAATAATTTAGGATTTCATTTCCCTCCAGGACTCTACTAGAATGGTTAACCAGAAACAAGAATTTTTTTATTGCAGTTCTGCATTCCTTCAAATGTTACAGAGGAATATGTTCTTGAGGGTGTAGGCTAGACTTACCAGCTTTTATTCAGTTCTTCTCTTTAATAATTTAACTTAGTTTGTTTCATTGCAGTCACCTGATAGAGTGCATTTCTTGATTTTCTCTGTTTCCTTTTCCATCAAAATGAAGCCTTGAGAGAAGAGTTGATCCCTCCAAATTTCTTTAATCTTCTTATATTGTTGGACAAATAGGATGCTTAAAATACCAAACTTTTCAATTGATCAATATCTTTTCTCCCTTGACAGATTATGTACTTTTTATTTTATATTCACTAAGAGGACGATATCATGCTTATTTCAACGTGATGACAGTTTACCTTAATAATGGCTGCAGGTGGAGTGACTTCCATGGATGATTTCTTGAAGGAATTCTTCCCAAAGATATATAGAAGGAAACAAGCACATCTACACGAAACTGACTACTGCAAATATGACAACCAGCTCCTCACGCTTTTTACTTCTTCACTATACTTTGCGGGCCTCATTTCCACATTTGGAGCCTCCTATGTAACCAGGAATAAAGGACGTAGAGCCAGCATCCTTGTCGGTGCACTCAGCTTCTTCCTAGGAGGAGTCATCAATGCAGCTGCAGTGAATATCGCAATGCTCATCATAGGACGCATTCTTCTTGGTGCAGGCATTGGATTTGGCAATCAAGTAAGGCCATAGCTCCTTAACCTGAAAAAAATTATGCTAGTTTCCCAAGTCACTAACACTTTTCTTATGCTAATGATGCAGGCAGTTCCCTTGTATCTGTCAGAGATGGCTCCTGCAAAGCATCGAGGAGCTGTGAACCAGCTATTCCAATTGACAACCTGCCTGGGGATTCTAGTAGCAAACGCGATCAACTACGGAACAGACAAGATTCATCCATGGGGTTGGAGATTATCTCTTGGCTTAGCTACAGTTCCAGCGACACTGATGTTTGTTGGGGGCCTTGTGCTTCCAGAGACGCCTAACAGTCTTGTAGAACAAGGCAGATTAGAAGAGGCCAAAAGGGTGTTGGTAAAAGTCAGAGGTACCCCCAATGTTGATGCTGAATTTGCTGATCTCGTTGAGGCCAGCGATGCAGCACGGGCCATAAAGCACCCATTTAGGAATCTTCTGCAGAGGAAGAATCGTCCCCAGTTGGTACTAGGGGCTTTGGGCATCCCAGCTTTCCAGCAGCTTACCGGCATGAACTCCATTCTCTTCTATGCTCCTGTCATGTTTCAGACCTTGGGTTTTGGCTCAGAGGCATCCCTCATGTCCTCTCTCATAACTAGTGGAGCACTTGTTCTTGCTACATTCATTTCAATGGCTTTAGTGGACAAATTTGGTAGAAGAGCATTCTTTTTGGAAGCTGGTATGGAGATGGTCGGTTATATGGTTAGTTTGAGAAATGCCCCTGCTTTTTTTCCACTTTTCTGTAACTAATTAGAAGGCAACATTATTTATGTGTCTGGATGTAATACTTTGACTATCTGATCCAGGTGGCTGTGGCCATAACTCTGGCGTTTAGGTTTGGAGAAGGAAAAGAACTCCCTAAAGGCATTGGTTGGTTCCTTGTGATTATCATCTTCTTGTTCGTCTTAGCTTATGGAAGGTCTTGGGGTCCTCTAGGGTGGCTGGTTCCTAGCGAACTCTTCCCCTTGGAGACTAGGTCAGCTGGCCAGAGCATGGTTGTCTGTGTCAACCTCCTCTTCACAGCTTTGATAGCGCAGTGCTTCTTGGTGTCACTTTGTCATCTCAAATATGGAATTTTCTTGGTATTCGCTGGCTTGATATTCATAATGAGCAGCTTCATTTATTTCCTCTTACCTGAGACAAAGCAAGTTCCAATTGAGGAAGTCTATCTTCTCTGGAAGGATCATTGGTTCTGGAAGAAATATGTTGAACATGATGAGCGATATGGATTTCAGAAGCCACCAACAGTGTAAAACACCTCCAAAAAAAATGACCATTGTTCACATTCTTTGCTTTCAAGATGTTAAAGCTGCTTGGATTCTCTGATAAATAATTTTACTGTAATTTTTAAGAGGTTCCGTAGTCAGAAGTGACAGATATTCATCTTCTTAATTATCTTGAATTCCTAATCTCAATCTCTTTTAAGTTCGTATTTATATTTAGTCTCCCAGCATGTTAAGTTCACTAATAAAACTGATGTCATTAAACTATTTTGCCCAGAAGGTTTGTAAATGCATTGCTCTTTTCCAACTTCAAATTACAGCATTTCAGTGGCTTCTGCAATCCTATAAGCATGAAAAAATTGAAAATGCAAGTTTGGCTAGTAACAGATAAGGGAAAGAGAAAATCAATACGAGGTCTTGTAATTGTAGTAGAACACAAGCAACAACCTAAGCTATGTAATAAGGAGTAAATTGAAGCATGAGGAGTTAATTCTTCCACAAAAGGAAATCGTCTTATGACAATTTCATAAAAACATATCACAAGGCTCCCGATTAGGTAAAACTCCTGGGGAAAAGATGAACCCAATGCAATGAACAAAATTGGGTGGTGTGTGAGCAGGGGAAGAACTCGTGCTATAGAATGCGCAAAGTACATCATTGAAAGCGCCAATGTAGATTAAGCTAATAGCTTAGCAAGTTCATCAACTCCCAGGCTTCCTTGTGGTACTACGTCCAGATGATGTACATCTTTGATTCTTTGAGTTTTAGTCGCTTGCTTCTCATTTCCTCTCTTATAGGGAACTGCTCGCACTTCTTTCACTTCCAAATCCCCAGGTTCATGCATTTCATTCTTTTGGACAGCCACCTTACGAGAATGACGCCTAAAAACTGGCCCAGGTGGTGCAGACTGGGCAAAGGCAACAGCCCTTTCATATACTCTGTCAGCATCCAAAGCAGCATCATCTAATACGACTGCACACCCGCTCTCAACAGCTTGCTTCATCAGAAGCAAAACCCTCTCAATACTAGGTGCACTCATTCTTGCTGGCCCATTAATATCTTGTGAAGCTTCAGCAACGTCTTCCAGCTTGGCACGATTCAGCGAATCCATAATAGAAGACACTGACTGGCTTAGAGTACTCTCAGGACTTATTGACATGATATCACTTTCCAATGGCATAGCTACCGGCTCTTCACTTGCTATGCCAGAATTATCCTGTATTGGCTCAGGACCATAGGCCTTGCTCATGGTTTCAGATTCACCATTGGAACATTTGATATCACCAGAGACAGTTGTACTTCCAGAGGTATTCCCTTTGCTTTCTGACTCATCACTGGCATAATCTATCAGATCTAATGTTGCTTCAGTAGTCTCCATTGTAATTGGCTTTGCATTGAGAGCTGCATTTGTCCAGTCATTTGCAACAGAGGACTGTCTTTGCTCAATGCTAATATCTTGAGAACTTATGAAGGTTGGGCCAGTACTAGCTGTTTGAACATATGGTGGAGATAATTCTTGGCTTTCCAACTGTCCAGTGATGGATGTTGCACTGGCCGCATTACTTTTCTCAACACCTGAGTTAAATGCTGGTTTTGGGAAGGATGACTTCCAATTTCGTCCTCTCCACATTAGTATGTGTTCCTCTTCAAATGAGATTAGCATGCACGGGACCAGCTCCTGCAAATAAATAATTCAGGAAATTGAATTTAATATTCTCTAAATAAAAAAGGTTTCATTTATATTTGAAAGAGTTATAATAAAAAAATATAAACTCTATAAATTATACTGAACCTTAAGTTTGGCACCAATTTTCTTATAGTCGCTTCCCTTAATTCCTTGACAATTAATCCGGACAAGTTCACACTCTTCAAATGCCTCCCTAACATTTTTTACGAGGTCAGCATATACACCATTCTTTGCTGCAAATACACAAAACATTAACTTTAGATTTCCACAATCGGCAAATTTGAAGCATTTTTCCTATAATTTCACTTTGCGCTGTCAACAGCAGCTTACCAAGTTTGCGTATTGGCGTTAATATCCTTCCCTTCTTTCTCATCTCAGTCACTTCTTCCAGCGTTAGACCTTCTGGAACACGCGGAACCAACCGCGGATACACGGGGGTAACAGGTTTCCACAGCATAAGAGGGAAGCGAGGACGAGTTTTATAATTATAATTTCTACCTCGGAAAAGGAATAGCACGCCTCCTCTTCTGAAAATAACTTTCCCTCCTGTTCTTTCCTGCAAATCGTAAGTAAAGTGAAAACAATACAAAAATCAAACAATTCTATCGACCAAGATTTCTCATAAATCAAACAACAACACAACTTTAGACAAACCAATCTTAAAAAAGAGTAACAACGTAAGTACAAACCTCTAACTGCTCACACACATTGTCCATATCGACTGTACAAACTCCCTTGCATTTTATCTTACAAACTCTTCGCCTTTTCCAATGAGCATGTATATTATCTAACATGTTGTGTGTCAAACCATCCCTACCTAAACAAAGGGGCCAATGAAGTATAATTCGATTAATGAATAAATTTCATAACCAATTAGTACGTGAAATTCAATAAATAAATAAAAAGGGATTTAAATAAAAAGAAAATAATCAGATTATTACCCATATTCAACTGTCGTTGTGACTTCAAGCAACTGTTAACCAACTCCTTAATCTCCTCTGCATTCAACGGCTCTCCCAAAATCTCCTCCCTGGAATGGACATACCTTGGGCCTGTCCCAGGCAAATATGGCCCGGGCTTCTGAATGGGCTTGACCCCTTTCTTATTAGGCCGAGGCAATACAAAAGAATCGAACTCCTTCATCTTTTTCTTACTGGGCGGCAATGGAGCCCGGCCCGTCCATGGCCTAGGCATGGTCGTGGGTCCAAACGGCGAGTACGGTGGTTCCCTAAGCTTTATCGGCTGCACTTTCGGCGTCTCCGTGTAACTGTACTTGAACTCGAACGGAGCGCCGTCGATGACGAAAGAGACGCCATCATCCCCGACGGAAACATTCGCGGGTTTCTTATCGAATGGTGTGGGTGGTGGAGGGTTTGCTGTTTTGGAGAATTTGCGAAACGCCGAGTGGTTTAGGGGTTTGGAGTACTTGGATTTCTTGCCTGGAATTGAAGGCCTGGAGGGAGAGGAAGGGGAGCCAAAGGATTTGTAGGTTGGTGGTGGTGGTTTGGCGGAGGAGGGTTCAAAGCTGGTGGCAATTTTGGTGGCGGAATCCCAGCGTCGGTAGCGGCGAATATCGTCTTCGATTTCTTGTTGGGTGCGTTGGCGTTGGTTGAATTTCTCGGCGTTGGCGTTGTTCCAGCGGGATAATCGGATTTCCGTGGGTGGACGATGGGCAGGTTCGTTCGGGTTAGGAAAAGGGTTTGGGATTTGTGGCGCAAAAATTGGAAAGGAGATGTGCAGTTTTAGCGCCATCACTTTCAGCTTTCATTTAAAGAGGGTAAGTGAACAGCAAGCACAAAAGAAATAGTCTTGTCGAATCCTGAAAGAAGATGACTTCAACGATGTCGTATTGACATACTTTGGTTAAGAACAGAAAATATCTTGTTTGGTGTAGGGAAATGGCGGAGGGATTGGGGGCTCCTCTTATAATGGCTTCATTGTAATATTTGGTTAGAGCGAGGGTAATTAATGAGCATGGGTGAGAGTGTGAGAGTGTGAGAGTGTGAGAGTCAGAAGTACCCGGTAAACTGAAGTAAAGCCTGATCGATATTGGAGGACACTCTTGAGTGTTTGACCATGGAGAATTTACATAGGTAAATTCTCCTGTCACACAAAAAGGTCAAATCTTTTGCAAGCACTTTCTTTTTCTTTGGATTTCATGGAACATTCAGAAATATTGGTACATTTTCTGGGTTACAATTCTTTTTATCTTACAAGTGTTGTAGTTTTACCCAAATGAATAGATGATCTATCATTACGAAGAATAAGCCCTGTCTTTTCTCTTCCAAAAAAACAAAAAGAGAATTTTTCTGTTTAGTTCGTATTTGGTTCATTTGTTTTCTTGGTTTCTTTCCTTCTCTCATATGTTTCTTGCTTTGATAATCTACTGGTTGTTTGAGTATAATGTAGAAATTCCATTAGCCACGCAGGCAAGATTGAACCCTTTTGCTCATTGTGGTAGTTTTGCTAATCTACACAAACAATTGCTTCATGATTCATGGGGTTGCAAATGTTGAACTCTGGCTTCTTTGTACTGAGTGAAGCTTTGTTTTTATTTGCCAGGTAGAGTGCTTGTTTCTGCCAATGGCTATGTGAGATAGGGCTTCAAGATTCTAATTTTTGTTTGCAAGGTAATTCATCTGCAGTTATACCATTTTAAATCAGCTGTAGTTGCTGCTTAAGGCCTACAAAATTTGAATTATATCAGTATAGTTGAAATGAAGGTGGATGATACTGTTAAAAGTTCAGTGAACAGCTTGAGAACCAGTGGTGGTGCAATAAGGCAGTAGGTCCATTGTCGTATTTAAGCTTGTTTCCATGCGCTCCCTGATCGAAGCCAATGCAGTAACTGCTGTCATTCATCAATTGTGAGCATTTGATTTTTCAACTATCTAGCTTGCTCTTAAAGTCTTTCTGGTGTAAATACGAGGATGCTGTTGTATCTTAAGTTCTTAACCAAACTGATCATTCGCTCATGTGGGACAGTCAAGCAAGGGAATTTAATTGATTTAATTGTCTTTTTCATAGATGTTAGACGAGCTTTGATTGATGAAGTTAGCATATTTAGTTTGCTAAAACAGTCTAAACATGCGGCAATTCAGATAAAATGGCCTTTTCTTATCCAGCAAGATTATTTAGTGGATGTACTTGTTAACTCTGAAGGAGAATTTAATGATTCCACTACACCTTCTTGTAGGACATTAAAACTCGGTTTGCCATTATTTCAACCAGTAATTGAAGGCTGCCTGTTAATAGAATAGTAACAATGAATAAGGATTGAGGGTGCTTATTGATTTAGCAAAGGTTTTTTTTTTTTTTTTTGACCGAGGAGATTCTTGTAAAAAAGCATGAAATCATACATTAATCAATTGAAATAAGAAATCATACACTAATTAATTGAAATAATATGTAAAAAAAATTAAAAGATATAAAACCTCTTAAATAAAAATTTTATAATCGTAATAAATTAAATTTTCAAATATTTATTTTTATCAATTGAATTTTTATTAAATTAAAACTTATTAACCGTCAACCTTCATTATTTAAAGATTTAATTAATTTTGAAGTAAAAATTTTAAAATTTAATTTATTATAAATAATAAAATATCATAAATTTAAATAATAATCAAATATTTATTTGAAAATTTTTTCGACCCTTTCACCAAAAAAAATGCATTAACGAACCAATTAAATCAAATGTTGGAATATCGGTAAAGTAAAAAATAAAATAAAATTGTGGCAATTTGGAAAAAAAAAAAAAAAAGGGATTAAGTAGCAAAGATATAACAAAACAACAGTGGGACCAGCAAGCACTATGGCATAGGAAATAATATCCAACTGGCTGGAGTTTTTTGGCAAGCTTGGCTCGTGGACCTCTTGGCAGAATGGTGGTAAGGCCTACAGCCTTAAAAGTTAAACCTATAACAATAAATTATTTATCTCTTCGGGCAAACCATTTGAAACTTTACCTAAAACACATTATTTATGTACTACTTTCATTAACACTATTGTTATAAACAACTTTAATAAATCCTTCCCACAAAAAAAAAAAAAAAACAAAGACAACTGTCAAAAGAAAAAGGAAACTAAAGAAATTAAAAGGTGTAGCCATGTCCAAATCCTTTGAAAGACAGACCAATTTTTAGTGACAAAAGAGTGTTTAAGCTTTGCTGTCATCATTAAAAAATCACTATCTTCCTATAAAATATTTATTAACACAAGAGATTCGTGTATGATAAAAAGAAAAAAAACTTTGAACCCACTAGCACCATACTCAAAATCAGAAATCACCCTAGAGTTGACAAAAATTCAGATAAACATAGACAAAACTACGTCGTTTTACTTCCCAAGCCCTCCTCTCCATAAAACTTTAACCTTAAAGCTGGAAGCTTGACCTTCAGCTACCACTTTGTTGTAGTTCATAATCAATAAAAGCTTAAAAAAAAAAAAACCTATAATAATTACAGGCTGACAATGTGGAATCATTTAAATTTCTTAAACAAAAAAACAAAAATTGAGAGCCTTAACAATATTATTATTATTATTGCAATTAAAAATAGATTTTTTTTTTTTTGTATTTTTTCCTTTCCTTCTTATTAAAAAAAAAAAGAATCCACCATTTATGACTTAATAAATAGTATAAACCCACCATTTTATTCCCTCTTTCTAAGGGAATTTTTGGTTACTAATAAATCTTCCATGGCCACAACTCCCAAAAAAAAAAAAAATCCCATTTACTTTTCTGTTCTGGTGACTCTTTAATTTGCCTGTTTTCATTTTCGTTTCTTTTCACTCTTACAACAGTCAAACCTCACGTAAATTTTCCCACCGACAAGACACCGAGGTTTGAGGTTTTTTTTTCTTTTAATCCTAAATTTCGTGTCTTTTTTTAACGCTATTTGGTAGTTAATTCATTAATGTTTATTTTCCAACTGTATACTAGTAAGTTGTTGAATCAAGTTTGTGTTGTAAAGCCTTTCTGGGTGTTGGTTTGTTTAGGCTTGTTCTGCTTATGGAGTTAGTTAATGGATTTAGAAAGCTGTTTGGTAATGAAAATAGGAGATGGGTTTTTTTAGTTGCAATAGTTGCTATTACTCATTTATTGTTTCAGTCCTTTTTGCTTCCATATGGGAATGCTCTTAGGTCTTTGTGGCCTGGTAATGAAGATTCAATAGAGAATAGTAAAAATGTTATTCTTAGAGTAAAATCGTTTGCTAATTCTGCTATGGTTCGTGATCCTCTTACCATTACCATCAACGCATCTGATATGAGTACAGGGGATGTTGTGTTTAATGTGGTGCTGAAAGATGGTAATAGTTCTGATTCTAATGTTGGTGGAGATGTTGGAAATGGTAGCGGAATTATGGTAGATCATGGGGAATTGAAGAATGGTCTTGCATCTGAGGGAATGGAGTCGGATGGTAGAAATAAAGTTGCTGTGCATAGAAATATCAATGATGATCATGCATCTGAGAATGCTGAAGATCTAAATGAGATTGCTGTTTTGGATGATATAATTCGAGATCAAGATAACTTTCCTTTGGAAGATGTTGTGGAACCTGTCCATGTAGTTTTAGCTAACAAACTTGCGGAGAATGATGCAAGTCAGAAACCAAAAGAATTTGGACTTGTAAATACAACATCAGAAACTCCTACCTTGGAATCACCTATGGTATCTTCATTGACAATGGAGTCAACCGATGATGCTGGAAATGGCTTTACTCTGGAGCAGGTTGTGAAACATGGTCAGGAAGTCTCAACCGGGAAACTTCTTGAGAATAAGACAAGTCCGACACCTAAAGAACTTGGCCATGTAAATATCGCTTCCCAATCTCCTACCTTGGCCTCACCTGTAGCATCTTTAATGGTGAACAAGGCCTATTTGAGAAACTCAATTTCAAATGGTGGCCCCTCTTTACAACTGACACCTATGCAAAGTGATCATGTGCCGTCAAAAAATAATTCTCCAATGATTGCTAAACCAGAGAGAAAAAGGATGAAATGTGAAATGCCACCCAAATCAGTGACTACAATAGATGAGATGAACCGCATATTACTACGCCACCGCAGGTCATCCCGTGCAATGGTAATCTATTTTTTCATGAATGATTAAACATTCCGTTTACTGCTATATTTGCTGAACGTAAATAACTTTGTTCTTATGTGATTGTAGAAACCACGGTGGTCTTCTGTACGTGACCAAGAAATCATTGCTGCAAGATCGCTGATTGAGAATGCTGCTGTCATAGTCAATGATCAAGAACTTTATGCTCCTCTTTTTAGAAATGTTTCCATGTTTAAAAGGTAAGACTACTTTAAGCATAGCTCTGGATGTTGACCTTCACAATTTTCTTTTTGTTGAGTTTGAACATGAATATGATGTGACTGTTGAATTACTTTCTCTTAGTTTTATTGTATTAAATTAAATCAGGCCTGCAAGTTAGACTTGTTGTATCGGCTTGACCATTGGACAAGCTGTAGTAAATTATCTTGCAATGTGATCAGGCTTAAATTGGAGTAATAAAACCACCCTTGTTCATAGTTGGTTGTGATAAGTTATAATCTGGTATCTTTTATTGACATTCTAACCGAGGTATGATTAAAGATGTTTGCTTGTGACTTGTAAATCAGTAGCATAATATATGGTTCAAGTTTGATTTTAACAATCCTTCTGCATTTATTGTAAGCTTGAAGACCAAACAAATAAATGGCTCAAGCAAAACGTGTCATCTCAGAACTTCTTCAGATTTACTATTGTTGTCCAACTGCAGATCTAATTCTCTCAGTGCTTCCATATTTGTCTGTACATTTGCCTTCAAGCAGTTTGTCCCTTAAATATTACTGCCTGGTTCACTTTCAGAAAACTGTTATGATACAACTCACACTTGCTTGCACTTTGCAGGAGCTATGAGCTCATGGAACGCATACTCAAAGTTTATGTCTATAAGGATGGGAAAAAACCTATCTTTCATCTGCCGATACTTAAGGGATTATATGCCTCAGAGGGATGGTTTATGAAATTGATGCAAGGGAATAAGCGTTTTGTTGTGAAGGACCCTCGAAGGGCGCATCTGTTTTATATGCCATTTAGTTCTCGGATGCTAGAGTACACCATTTATGTACGAAATTCTCATAATCGGACAAACCTAAGCCAATATTTGAAGGGTTATACAGAAGGTATTGCTGCAAAGTATCCTTACTTTAACAGAACAGGTGGGGCAGATCATTTCCTTGTTGCTTGCCATGATTGGGTATGTTCTTCAAGCACCATCCGATTTTCTCGCTTTCATCCTATAACTTCCGTGGAGCAAATTTTTGTTAAAATGACCAAGGCAACACTATTTGCAGTAGTGTCTGTCTGGTCTTCAATACTTTATTCTAGACACAGTTTTTTGTACGTATGCATATTATAAAATGTCATTAAAATATTATAACTGGATTATCATAGGCTCCATACGAAACAAGGCACCATATGGAACACTGCATTAAAGCTCTCTGCAATGCTGATGTCACGGTAGGCTTCAAACTTGGGAGGGATGTTTCTCTTCCAGAAACATATGTCCGATCTGCTAGAAATCCTCTTAGAGATCTTGGAGGAAAACCACCTTCTCAGAGGCATATTCTCGCCTTCTATGCTGGAAGTATGCATGGCTATCTGCGTCCTATCCTACTGAAATATTGGAAAGAGAAAGATGATGATATGAAGATCTTAGGTACAATGCCTCCTGGTGTTGCAAGCAAAATGAATTATATCCAGTACATGAAGAGCAGCAAGTACTGTATCTGCCCGAAAGGTTACGAGGTCAACAGCCCACGGGTAGTTGAAGCTATCTTCTATGAGTGTGTTCCTGTTATTATCTCTGACAATTTTGTGCCACCATTATTTGAAGTTCTGGATTGGGGGGCATTCTCGATAATACTTGCAGAGAAAGACATTCCCAACCTGAAAGACATACTCCTATCAATACCAAAAGAGAGATATCTTGCTTTGCAACTTGGTGTCAGAAAGGTTCAACGGCATTTTCTCTGGCATCCTAGGCCTGAGAAGTATGATCTCTTCCACATGACACTTCATTCAATTTGGTATAACAGAGTCTACCAGATAAAACTGAGATAGCAATGTTAGTTTGCATTTAAATTTTGAAGTAATGCAATGAGTGAAGACGCGAGTACGAATATGTTAGGCCTGAAATAGAAAAAGGGCTGCTTCTTCTGCCTCCTTACTCACTCTGTCAAGTTGTATAAAGTTTCTGTCTGAATATGACAAACAAGACGAGGCACTTGTAATTGAAGTCTGAATGATTACATCATCCATAAAATGTACATGTACTGTTGTATCATTTCATTTCTTTTTGTAAAAGAAGAATAAGATGCTATGTTTTTCTTGGATATGTATAGAAGCTAATTACATTTTTCAAATAGGCACCACTGCAGGAGCTATTGTTGTTGTGAAGCTCTTCCTTCTGATTCTTATGCTTATAATCCTTTTTCTTCAATTTAAACTTGCTGTTCAGAGACATGATATATTTTCTTGTCATTTCAAGTTTCATGGAGAACAATTTGATGGCATTTGTCCACGCTTACCAAGAGTTTGTTACCAATACGCCACGTGTGCATCATATAGAAGATGTGGGCTGCGTTTGAGGCTTTCGCATTCAGAAATGGAAAACACATGGCCCAGGCCAATTCATTTGTAATATATATTATCTAGTTCCAGGTATGAGACTACCCAGTTATCATGGCTATCTCGTTCATATCATTTGATATAGGTTTGAGCATGCATTAATATTGCTGATCAAGTTGCTTCCAGGAAATTATCACAAGAAAAAAAAATTAAGGAATGAGCTTCTTCAAAGTGCATCACAGTACGTACCTGCGTACCTTCCTGCACGCATTGCTGTCTTGCTGATATGCTAGCGGTTGGTTATCCTAGTTTAGTCTAGTCTTTATTTTGTACTTGGCCTTTGGCCCCCCTTTTTACCAAGAAAAATAAAATGTACTATATTGCTTGGTGACGTATTAGCACTGAGGATGTCAAAAATGAGATGCTAAAAGAAAGCGTCCTCTTATCTCTCTTTCCTCTAAGAAGCAACGGTGACTCCTGGTGTCCTTGAAAAAAAAAAACCCACTCATGCTACAGCTCAGGCGGAGCTCTCTCAACCTCTCCCTACTAAGTTTGGGTTGAGGAATCTGATGATTAATGTTGGTGAAGCCAGAAGCCTGGTACCTCTAGTATAAATGTACCAATTTCTGATGCCATTAGCTGTACATGCACTTCACTTGCAGCTAAATATGGGGAGAAGAGTGATGGATTGGTGACATGCCGTGTTATGCTGACGCTTCCAGGTTCAGTTGTAGTCAGATCAGAGAGGAAGCTTGGGTCCTTGACCATGCATGCCAGATAATATTGGTTTAGTCTTCATGAACCTGGCTGGCATACAAGAAGTCTAAGTTTTGCTCTTACTTGTCCAGGTGGTATTATACCACATTAATAAATATTTAATTTTTTGTAATCTTATATTTTTTCATCTATTATCAATTGATTTTTCGTTGAATGCTTAATATTATTTGACTTTTAATTTTTTGATCTGTACTGCTAATGCTATAAGGTTGCAATTCTGCCATATTTATCATTTAAAAGGTGTTGATGATGCCTGGCATTAATGGCATGAATTTACTACTTAGAAGTGGAATAAAGTTGTGGTAGGAGGGTAAATTAATTTCACTTTACTTCATATATTTCTGCAAAAAGAGAAGCTATAAAGTATCAAAACTACTCCCAATATTGTAAATGACAGCAGCTGAAATCAAATTTACTTGGAATCCACAGCATTCACAGATTTATTCTAGACTACCAATTTGATGAAAACATCCATCTTATCGCATCCATCAGTTCCAGCAAATGCTACCTGTGCCACTTATTACTACCATTATGACCGACTGAATTGGCAATGCTGCTATCCTCTGCCTTAATTACCCATCTGCGCTCTTCCAATTCACAAACACAAAGTACTGATAACTTATTTTTCTTTATTCTTTCGAAAAATGAATAACAACCGTTAGATCAAGTCCCGGTTATTCACCGAGTACGAACTCGTGTCCTGAGTGGAATCATAGGCCCTGATGGACTGGTTTTGATTGCATTAATGGGATTCAAATATGATGTGAAAACATCAAACAAAGGGTACAAATTGAAGCCTCCCCTTAAAAGAAACAAGTACTGGACAAACGATTCATTGTCTTCAAATATGGACCTCAGTAATTTTCCATCAATGAAGGATTGAAGAGGGCCCCCCACAATCAGGCTAGCTGTATTGCTTCCGGACTAGTACATGGTGAGACCACACCATTGCTTCTCCCAAAATTTTGAGTTGTGGATGTCAAATTCACATACAAAGCCTGCTGCTGCTGTGATACATAAAAATAACCAAAAGGACTGAGGATGGTTCTTTGGAAAATAAAAAATTATTACAATTTTCATATGCTGTGAGGTTTCATATTCATATATTGCATATTGGTGAGTGTATGGTCCACAATAAATGATACTCTTAGTCAATAGCCCATAAACCACGTATCGGCTGCCAAGTCCCAGCAATAAATTTGGTAGGCCCAAAAGTATCCCCAGCCCATTAATTATTCTTATCTAAAAAGTAAACCATGAATATTCTTGTGTATAAAATATTGATAATTTGTATATATTTATTATATTTTATATAAAAATTATGTATTATAATTTTTATTAATATAAAAATATTAAAAAATTTTTATTTTGTTAAATTTATTCATAATTTTTTTAATTTTAAATCGTATCATTTTTATATTTTTTATTTGAATAATTTACATATTTTATTATTATATTACATTTGAAATTATCAGATTTACTTAAAAGTAGTCAACCACTAATATTTTACACGATACATGACACGAATTATCAAGTTTAAAATAAATAATGACCAACTCAAGCACTAAAAAGCTTCATTGAAAGAAGATTGCAATTATAGCCAACTATTAAATTAACCTGTCTTTGGTAAAAATTCTAAAAAAACTTTTTTATAAAGTGATCAGATATTAAATCATGGTTTCGAGTTTATATTCCAAGAAAATATAAGCTCAAGCAAATGAAATTGAACAATATATGGTATCATTTTCTTTTAAAGACTTTTTTTATTAGGATTTTTAGTACAAATTTAAATTTTTTTAGTAGGGTAAATGAAAATTTGAAAAAAAAAAAAAAGTTCTAATTGTGCATTCATTATCCACAGAATCAAACTTTAAAGACTAATTAAAGATGGTAATTAAAAATACTGATTTCGAGTAAAAAATAATTTTTTATAAAAATTATATCCTTACCTAAAAAAAGAAATACCCGATAGCCAAAGTGTTTGATAAAATTAGCCAGCCAATTGTCGACCAAAACCGTATGGAAACCAAGTGCTCAAAATTTTCCTTAAAGTGTGCATTGAAACGAATTTATTAATTTCATCAAATTCGAAAACTGATCTGTACTGGATGGAGGATTGTCCAACTATATCATTGCTACTTGATCGAATTGGCACTTTCAGTAATGGAAAGCAACTTTCTGTCAAAAAATCTTAAAATTCAATATTGCTTTTGACAGCTCATATATGGTACGGTCTCGTGATATAACGTTGTATGTGGAAAAACATGAATTTAGATAAGAAAACGAGGGTGCCGGACAATAATTTAAGTTTTAAATGATTGTCCGTAAAAATAGTGTTAAATTAATGTTCATGAAATTTCGATAAAATTTTTAAGTGTTTAATTAAGGTATTCAAATTTCATAAGAAAATTTGTACACATTATGTAAAATCCAACAAAGCATTCAAATGCTCATTTTATGATATTCGGATGTTAAATGCAAATTTTCAAATAGGTTGCTTTTAAACTTGGTCACTTAATTTTTTTTTAAATGATATTTATTTTTTTTAATTTTCACTTAAAAACTAAACATCATTATTTAATATTTATACATATTACATTAATTATAAATTTTGTTTTCATAAAATCATTAAAAATAGTTAAAAAAACATTTATTTTTTGATAATATATACAACATAAGTTAATCATAATTTAAATAAGCTTTGAAATAATATTGTTTTTGCTTAGTCTATGAGTCAGTATGAAATAAAGAGAAACAACTAAATAAAACTAGTAAGCAATCGTCTCTTCACGTCGAGTGCTATAATTAAATTTATAAAAAATTAAGAAATTTCTAATAAAAATTGACGAGTGAGGCAAGTAAAAATTTTAAAAATATATTTTTATTATTGGATCTATAGAAATCAACAATTAAAAAAGTGTAAAATTAAAAAAAAATTACATTATATAAGTTAATCATCTTTTATATAAAAATATATAAGTAATAAATTAAGAGGTGAAATAACTATTTGAATTTTGGAAATCAATGAAAAAGAGTCATCTAATAAAAAAATATAGTACGATCATAAAAAAAAAAAACAAAATAAAATTATTTATTTATTTTAAAAAATATATGCATTGTTTGGTCCTTGAACACTGCTATAAATCATGAACATTATTTATACCTAATCAAATTTTTTGTTCAATTAATTGAGGAAATTAAAAAAAAAGTATAATTGATTATAATGAAATATAAATAAAGGCCTAAATATTTTTTGGAAAGCACATTGCTATTTATTCAATCCAATAAAGCCATTTAGGAAACCCATACATTAAATACCTTACACACAAAACAAGTAAGACCCCCAGCTCAAATTCACACTCAACAAACACCCAATCTAAATTATATGAATAGGTGTCAAACACTCATTCCTTATGAAATTCTTTTAATATATAATAGTATTGATGTTACAAAACTAACCTTCTGAATCAATCTCTTCCAATCATGTCATTATCACATTAGAATAACTCAAATGTTCAATTATAACAAATGAAGATATAATAAAATGATAATGAGACTAAATTAAATAAAGGATGAAACAAGTCGATCATATCAACTTTCTTAAATGCTACCATCTATGATTACAACCCTCTCAAATGTATTATTATTTCAAGGATTCTCTAGTTGTAATTTATTAAGTTAAAAAATGGGGGATCGTGGTGGCGAAGCTCACTCAAAACTTTGGCCCCTTTCCCAAACCAAAAAAAAAAAAAAAAAAAAAACTTTGTTTTTCTCCTAATAAACCATTATTTTCAATAAAATGTTAAGTACACAACAAGTAGATTATCAATTGTGATTAACTGCTGACCAATCATGCCCCATAAACATAAAATCACATAAAGATTTCAGCATTAATTAAGGGACATATTTAGGTCCCTTTTAGTTATATGAATTAATAATAATGCTAAATTCGATCATATTATCTTGAGTTTGAAATTGATTATGATCACAATGTCAAACAAAATAAAATTGGCCATCAAAAAATTTCAATTGCAATGAATTTACTCTTGAAAACAAAATAGTTTTTCCATCACGGTTGTAAATCACAATTGCAAAATCAAACTTATTCATGATATTTTCTTAAAAAGAAAACAAAAAAAAAATAAAGAAATTAAGTGGAGAAGGGAGGCATTCAAAATTGTCTAGATAATAATTGGAGAAAGATTTATATGAAATTTGTTTGATGAAAATCATGAAATTTTTTATTAAATTCGATTAAATAAAATTAAAAATCAAAAATTAAAATCAAAAGATTGAAATTTCTTATTATATAGATAAAATATGCAAATTTTGAAAAAAAAATTAAAATTTTTTATATGTTTTTTAAATAGGTATTTTTAATAAAAATTTTGATAAAAATTTTACCATTAAATAAGTATTAATCAAATTTAATTATAAACAACATTTTTAATCATTTTTTTACATATTATTGATATTCTTTTTAAACAGTAGTGAATCTTGACATTTGATTTTGGAGGGACCTATTAAAATTATATATTTTTTATTTATTATGTTACTTGAACTCGAGAATCAATGTAGATATAGATGCACATATATGCTCTTTTTAAATTTTTTTATATATTTGAGCTGTCCAGCCTCTATAATCATATTTTTTGCAAATGTATTAAACATAAATAGTTAAGGAAAAATGAAAATTTAGAATAATTAATATAATTTATTTGAGATTTTATGAAGAAAAAAAATTAAGAATGATTATAAAGTATGAAAAGAGTATAAGTGTTCAGTTAAAAAGAAAACATTACATCTTTTGTACTTGGTTAAAGACTTGAAACTTTATTAAGAGAATTAAAAAGTTAATTTATTTCTTTAAGTGTACATGAATATGACTTGATATTTATGATAAAATTATTTAGTTTAGGAATTTGTGAATAATGATTGTGAATGCAATAAATAGAGAAATTATAATATGATTTTAATTTCTCTAAAATAATGATACATAAAATTAAGTTAAAATAAAATTAACAAATAATAATTTTAATTTAAAAGTCAATTTATTCTAATTTAATATAAATATATAAAATAATTATAATATATAATATACACCCGCCATTGAGTCATAGAATTATCTTGCTAAAATAAATTTGTTTTAACAAAAATAATTGTAGAACCTTCACAACTATCCATGTCAAATACAGTCTTATTATCATGTTTCAGTTGCAGATACTATTTTTTGTTTCTAATCTATTTGTTTTGACATAGTATACTTATTAAGGGGTATTCAAAATATTTGGGGGCCAAGGCTTCCTCTGGCTCTGCTTACTATCCGTCGTTGTATTTAAAATCTATCGATCTATCAATTTAAATTTTTTATTAAATTATTTTTAATAAAAAAATTTTACAATTTTCACCAAAAAAATTGCGTATAAGTTCTTTCTTGATAACTGAAGGTTTGTGAAGAATTCACCGTCTCAACCTATAAGGTTGAGAGAACCAAGAACTTCTGCAAACAGTAAGCATGCAGAGCGCCATCATCTGAATCACCGGGACTCTCAATCATCAACACTCTCATATATGATATGGGGCCCAATCCAAATGCAGTAACGGCAAAATTTGTTCTAATTAGCTCAATATTTGTCTCCAAGGAAAAGAGTAACATAGATTTTCTCACTATTGAAAATATTCTTTTATTTACTACTCTCAAAGAGCTCGGGGAAAAAAAAAATCGATTGCTAGGAAAACTTCTAGACCTTGTATTTATATCAGTATTAAATTATAATATCTGGTGTTTGGCTCATTTGATGAAGTTGAGTTTTAGCTGTTTGTTGAATCAATGAAAAGTGCAAAGCATTTTTTTTCTCACCCCCCCTCCTAAACCCTAGTACAATATGCATATAACTTGTTAAAAATTTTCATGAAAAACAAACAAATTAAGTGGGAGGGGGGGGGGGGTTTGGATTCCACAATTCCATCGTATTTTTTAGTATGATGCAGTTGAATTCATTATATTATAAGTTAAATTCAAATATCAATTTTAATGAAATTTATTTAATATAAAATTTTTAATAAAATTTATTCAATCATAATTATAATAATTTTTTAATTACAATCATAATAATTTTTATGTCTATTTTTAATTTTACCAAAATTAATTTTATCATCTATTCAAATAAACTCTAATAAATCTCAATACTTAATGGAAGAGGATAAGCAAAACTCAAATGATTTTTGTGCAACACTATTTTCTTTTCCTTCAACATCATTGTCTTGAAATTTTACATAATTCTAGAACAACATATTAACAACTAAAAATAAAAATTAAAAAACCAAAAGTATGAAACATTAATAGCAAAACAAGGATGGGAGAGGAATGTGGCAAAGAGAAAAAGAAAAGGCAAAAGATAGGTGTGGGTTAAATTAGTGAATCTGCTTAGGGTTGGTGAGGAACAAGAATAGTATTATTATTGTCACCAGACATATTGGACAGGAAATATTAGGTGAAACTAAAAAACTAAAAACAAAATCGAGTTTTTATTAGAACAGTTAAATCCAAAAAAAAAAAAGGTTTTCCTCTTGAGTGGAGTTATATATTGTAGAAAAAACAAAGTTTGGTTGAAAAGCTTATTTGTTAGTATGATGGGAGAAGCTTTCATCACTATAAACTGCCCAAAAACCCTAAAGTAAACTAAACATTTGTAACTAATAAGTAATGCTAAATGCCCCAATCTAGTATGGAGAGTAATTACTAATTAGCAACCTCCCCGCAGCTTCCTGAGGCCGGCAGCTCTGCCCCACCCTACCCTCTCGCCCTAGGACGACCCTTCCGGTGGACCCTTTGACACCCCTAAACTTCTGTGGTGCTCCCTTATCTCTCTCCTTTAATATAATAATAATAATAATAATAATAATATTTTAAGACTATATTAAGTTTAGTAATGTGTTAATATGGGTAAATGGAGAGCCGCATCATTAATAGGGGATGATAATGAGGTTAAAAAGGCCAGGTCGGTCGTGTTCGTGTGTGTATCAGTGTGGGGATCACTTAAGTGCACCACGTTTCCTTCGATTTTTTGTTTGCTCTCTCCCCTTTCCTTTCCCTTACTAAAGCCCCCCCTTGTCCTCCCTCCCTTACTCTCCTCAACTCAAAGTTCTCCCTCTCTTCTCTCTTCTTACTCTCACTTCGATTTCCTCTCATTCTTCCTTCCGCTGAAATTTACAACAAAATAAGAAAACCCACCAAGCAAAAACCTTAACTTTCCCGATACTCTGTTCGTAAGCTTGTGTACAGTTGCTTGCTTTACATAGTTAGCATTATTTTGAATAGGTTTTTTAAGTGTTGGGGAAAACCCTGAATCAGAAACAGCCAATGGGTGACTCACCAAACTCGGAAACCGAGTCTAGCACTCTTAGCAACAACTCCTCTGCTTTTTCTCCACCTTCACCATCCTCCTATGGTGGTAAAACGAAAGCGGATACTGACCCGACACCCGACCCGAAAAGGCAAAAGCGTACGAGGGATAGTAGCAAGCACTCGGTTTACCGTGGGGTGCGAATGAGGACATGGGGCAAATGGGTATCCGAAATCCGAGAGCCCCGGAAGAAGAACCGGATCTGGTTAGGTACTTTCTCGACTCCCGAAATGGCGGCTCGTGCCCACGACGTTGCAGCTTTAAGTATCAAAGGCAACTCGGCGATTCTCAACTTTCCTGAACTCGCCGGGTTGTGGCCCCTACCAACTTCCAAATCGCCCCGCGACGTCCAAGCCGCCGCTGCTAAAGCTGCCTCAATGGAGTTATTAAGTAATACTAGTACTAGTAACAACATCAACGCCACGTCATCATCATCGTCGTCGTCAGCTTCAATATCATCATCATCGAATGTAGATGACGTGTCGACACCGGAGGAGTTGAGCGAGATAGTAGAGTTGCCGAGTCTAGGGACGAGCTACGAATCGGCTGAGCCGGGGAGCGAGTTTGTGTACGTGGACCCGGTTGATGGGTGGCTTTTCAATCCCAATTGCATCCCTTGGTATTATGAAGAAACTTGTGGGTATTTTGGGGAAGAAATTTCAATGCAAATGCAAGAAAGTGTGATTACAACTGGGTTTGGTCCATTACTATGGGATCATTAAGGCATAGTACTCCCAAAAATCAAAGCGTGTTCGTTTTTCTTTAAAAAAAAAAAAAACTCTTTACAATCTTTATATTACGAAATTGTCCTTTTTCAATATTTTTTCTCTAGGAAAGGGCAAAAAAATACCTTGCTTGGTTATCAAGATGTTTGTACTCAGCTGTGTTTAGAGTTTTGGGTCTGTTTTTCAGCAGTGGTCCACTGGGGTGAATCAAACCTTTATAAAAATGGCAAATTTAGTCAGAGACCTTGAGCTTTGGCATGCAGTTTGTTTTGCTTGGATTGGTTAAAATTTTCTACTTTTTAGAGAAAGAAGAATAATGGATGTGGTAAGACATAAAAAAAAAGAGGTTACAAAGCTTGAAGAACAATTAATCCTTTTTTTTTCCCAACAGGATAAAGAAAAGGTTAAAGACAATGCGTGGTTTTTTTTTCTTGTAAATCTATATTTTTTATCTTTGTTTGATGATCTTTGTTTTAATGGTGATTTCGGGATTGAAGTGTTTAGTAATTAAAGCTCATGTATCTTTCTACTTGGAGTTATTCAATTTCCAAGACACTTTCAATGAGGTTTTGATAAAACCATTGTATGTGTAAAAAATTTTCACTTGGGGTTATGCATACGATGTTCGTCCTTAGTTTACACACCCTGGTTTCTGGAAAGTGTTAGTCCTGGCAAAATAATGCCTATCTGCCATTAAATTGATTAATTGAATGTGCTTTTTTTTTTTTTTTGCATTAAAAAAGGAAAAATGCAATGTTGAAAGGAAATTGTGATGTACAATTTAAAAGATTGATAAAATTCGTTCTCTTTCCTTTCCCAAAAAAAAAAAAAAAATACAGCTGCTGCTGACAATAGATATTTGTTGCCATATTAAACTTTTTTACAAAGAGTGATAAGTGAGTTACCAAGAATCTAGATCACCCAAAACAAGAGGTTGGGTACCTTGAAGATTTAAACAATCAAACTAGTTAGGAAGCTTTTATTTCATCTGTCCCAATCTGGCAATGGAAATTGAAAACTCATATAACATACAAAATAATGGTCGGGCTTTAGTTGGTTTAAAGTTCTCCTAATATACATTCTCCTCTTAAAAACATAAACCTAACTCTATGGAGCAGTAAAATGGGGGAAATTGATTGTTCTTCTTGATTATTATAATTTAAAAAAAAAATAGAGAGGAAAATAGTATAATAAATGGTCAGTTAGAGAGGCTTATTCCTTTTGACAGCTGCATTTCAACCACCATGTTCGTATGCTTCTCTCAGGTCCTTACAAATTGTATTTATGCATTTTTTTTCGTTCTGATTCTTCTCTCTCTATGACCATATATGAGAAATAATAATAACAATTATTAGTAATACAATTAATAAATAAATTTGTGATGTAGGTATGATGCCAAAAGAGAGTACTGCCTTTTGGCCACTTACAATTACAAATTTCAGCTGACACCATATCATATTATTATAGTTTTCTAACAGGTTTGTTAGGATTTCATTTTTGTTTCCTTTTCCCCGGCCCTTCGACTGTTCTTGGTTGCTATCTTTTCCTTTCTTTTAATCTTTTTTTAGATTGTAGCTTTGGTTCATGAATGCCCCCCATAATAATAACTTCGCATCTATACTTTGAGATATTCTCTTACCAATTCGAATGACCAGGGAAAAGGAAAAGACAGGTGCATACTTTTATCATTTATTCAAATGTTCGGAGGTGTTGAACTGTTCAAAAAAAAATAGGGAATCGAATTACAATGGGAAGAAGGTATAGTATTTTCCATCAGGCAGGCGTATGGTCATGTGAAGTGCCAAAGAAACAGCAAAGTCCCATGTATAATAATAGTTCACTACTGGAAAAGTTTGACCAATAATTTACAAATAGCCTTTGGCAATTACGTGTATTATTGGGTGCTGAGCTCAACAAACAAAAAAGAAGAAAGAACTAGAATTGAATGCTAGTACAAAACTCATGTCTTCATCTCCATTCCACAGTTTCCTCTAATTTTCTGGCAAAACAAAGTTGTTCTGAAAATCATTTCATCAGCGTTAAGAAAAGGGCAATGCTTTCTAATTCAGGGCTGGAGGTGCTGAAGCTAAACAATCAGTCTGAATTACTGCACAATAATCCTTTTTCCAACAACTTTGGTGTCCTTTTATTTCTTCCCTACATACTAAATATCTAGCTCACAACAATCAGCTACTGCATTAAACTTTTTGTCATTTCCTGTCTACTAATCAAGTCAAGTCCCAAAGTGCTCGCAGAAGAAAGGGCAAGCTTCGATGGATCACTACTTCATTACGAAGAGAAACTTTTCATTAACTGACAAACACCCCCTAAAAAACAACCAAGCCCACTTTTCATTTCCTCCTCTAATATTTTCTCTGCGCCATACCATGGCTTGATCTCCACCTCCGGAAGTTGTCTTATTTTTTATTTAAAATATACAGAAAAACATTAAAGAAGTCAAAATTCCATGACCCATTGCTTAGCTGGAAGATGTGAGAGCAAAGTCAAAAATATAAATTTTTGGGACCCCATTTTGCTCTCACTATATATGTCCTTTGATAATGATATATCTTATATCTTGCATTTTTATTTTTGTAAAAAAATTAATTATTCCTACTATATTTTTTATGTGGTTGGAAATTGGGAAGAGACCTCAAATCTAGCAATAAGATCACATTAGTTTATTTTCATTTTAATGCTGGACACAGCAGAAAATTTAAAAAAAAAATGAACTCAAAATTAATGGATCGATTTTCGATAAGCTTAGTTGCTAAGTAATATTATAAGTTTTTTAATCTAAAATTTAATATAATTGATTTAAGATTAATTTTAAAAAATAATATTTAATAAATTTAAAAGGAAAAAATTATAGTTTCTGTTGCAGTTTTGTGATTTTTTCCCGTAATCAGTCGCACGTGCACTTTTTAATTAGATGGTTGACCTTTGGTTTCGAAATGGAATTATTTGAGAAACACAATTTCAAGCATTTTTAATTCTTTATTTCTTTTTTTTTTTTTATGTTCAAATTCATAGAAAACTCAAGAATATTACAAGTACTAATGTATGATTTCTTAAATTTTAAGAATCAAATTTGTTATTCCGAAGAATGCTGTGATCAGATGTGATCTAGCTAGCTAGCTAGCTACAAAAAAATCTTGCTTATTTGTTGCGTTAAGGTAGCAAATTTAAACATTAATCAGTGCCATAAGACAAGAACCGACCGCGCTAATCATGTGTTTGATTATAATAATCATCGTTCAACGAAGACCTAACTTAGAAGCGCGACAAATTGGATGTTACTTCTTTTCATTGCGAAAAAAAATGTCGAAGTTAATGACCTTTTTTTCATGATTCTTAGTCAATAATTTCTAATAATCAATTCCTAATCATCGTGCTTACATATGAGCAGAACCCTTCCTTTTCATTTTTATTTTTATTTTTTGGCATGCTTCACACAATCAACTAGAAGGTTGGATGAAGAATTAATGATTTAATTTAGTAAATTTATACGTAATTCTTAAAAAATGATTTTCAATAAATTTATAATTTATAATTTTTTTAATTCTCAAATTACGCCATTTTGTATAAAAATAAATGAGGATTATTTTTCAATTGATTGCGTGGCACATGCCTCATCAGTTCATTGAATTATAAGAATTAACAATATAATAATCCATTAATCAGATATACTAATTAAAAGAAAATAGAAAACCCTAGTTTAACAAACACGTTGTATATATTAAATATATATTAAACAGAAACAATTATAGAAATTCTCATTAATACAAATTTTATGCAAATGTAAGCGATTAATATCAGTTTGATTTCAGACTGAAATTAGTATCATGTACAAATTATCTAGTAATGTTCCCCCTGCAAGTTTGGATTCTTAATCTTAATTTGTTCTCTAACAGTTTGATTGACCAAATAAATTGGAGCTATTCCCACATTTTTTAAAAAATAATACAATTTATGCACAAGAAAATAAATCAAGAATAACGAGATGCAATTGGATGAAATAATTAAATGATTTTTATAATTTTTTTTGTTGAACTATATATTGATGATATCTCATTATATGGCTGGAATTTTTAGTAGGCTTTCAGGGTAGTTGGTGGTTCATTTGGAGACATCCCCTGCCTTACAACCATTTTTCTCTAGAAATGTGACGTTTATTAAGTTGAGTTGGCACAATGGAAAGCTGACTATTAATTTAATACTCATATGAAGGTAATTTTAGTTTTATAAATTCATTAAATTTAATATAGATAAATTTATTTAAATCGATTAAGAAAATATATTAGAAAAAACTAAAATCCCAAGAGCTAATATATATGTTGGAATCCATATTTTAGCTTGTAATTAAGAAACCTGATTTTCTTCCATAGTCACACTCTCTCATGACTCAGTAAAGTACTGTTACATAGCAATTAGCCTACTGACAGGGGTCGAAACCAAATCCTCTAGGTAGAGAAAGAGGTCATCATCGAAGTTAAAACAGCTATATCCATAATCTTGTTCTTATGTGTGGGACTGATCAGAATCCCTTCTAATTTCTTGGTTGTTGCTGTTATTTTTCTCAAACCTGAAACAGGTTCCAGATGCATTGCAGGACAAAATATGAAACCCATGTCTCTCTTTCTTTCTGTTTTTCTTCAATTGAATTTGGGAACAAAATTGGTGTCTTTAAAGGCATTATCATATAATATTATCTGCTTTGGATAGTCTGAAAACGTTAGGTGAAGTGGATATTGGCGCTGCAAAGACATTAGCCCTGTCTTCAGCCATGAATAGAGCATCTCACCAGCCTTCTTTAAATTTTGAGCAGCTAGCTATATATTATCATTATCAGTTAGTTTAGTGAAATTTGAGGAATAGAAAGCTTTCTCCTTATAATCAATTCCAATGTGGTCCAAGTTTCCCAATACTAATTTAAGAAGGTTTGGTATTGGGTTTTGGATTAACTTGAAAACTGCTAGCTATTATTCCATTTCAATGGATTCCAAAGATATCTAGGCAACAAGTGCCACAAATTTTCATATATAGATTAATTATATACTTTCACCAACTCCCTTGAATGAACTACCCCCCTTTTATATAGATTTTCTCAATGTATCAAGAGAAAACATGACTTTTAAACATGTAAATAAATCATAACCTATCTATATTTGTGGGCTAAACTTGCAGTAATTAATTACTACATAATTAAACAAAATTCGTTGCGGCGTCAACTAATGATAT